ATTTTCGGCCTGTACTACTGCTGACTGCCCACACTCAGTACACTGTCACACTGAACCTTGCAAAACTAAATTTAGGCCGGAACAAATTTTCGGCCAGATATGACCAGGCCAAAAATAGCCGATAATAAAGATGCGCCGAATATTTGTTGACTTGCAATACATTGACCGTTCATTGCCGTTTTGGAAGTCATTTTGTTTTGTGTTTTGTCTGTGTGGTTGTGTGTGTGTGTGTGGGTATGTGCATGTATGTGCATGCATGTACATGTGTATGCATATGTTGAACATGTATGTGCATGCATGTACATGTATATGTACATGTATATACATATGTTGAATATGCATGTACATGTATATGCATAATGTTGAACATGAATGTGACCAGTGACATGTTGGCACCGGCCTCTGGCTTCCAGAGCCTTCAGTTTCGCATTGTTGAGAACCTGCTTGGAGTGAAGAAGGTAAGGATGTGGCTGAAAAGTGTGCTGAACTCGTTGTGTTGCCTATTCAGTTGCGAGCATGGCTACACCTACTTCTGCTGCGCCGCCGCTGCCGCCGCAATGTGCGCTGATCTTTGCCACAGGACTTGTGTCTATTTTTCGTTTTTTTCCTTAAACTGGCCACATTCTCATTGCTTGCAGGATCAGTACTGTAATTTCACAAATTTTCGGTGTACTTTTATTTTCGGTACTTTCGGTGCATCTGTTTCATACCTAAAATTTCAATACACCGAACAAACACTAACACACATAATTCAATAGGGAACTGCTTCTCTGTACCTAAAATTTCTGTTCATCTAACCTGGCCTGTTGCCCTCATACCGAAAATAGTGGTCACCGAAAATTTCTGAAATTAGAGTATACTTGAGAGACATGGCAGACCTAGCAAGAGTACTCTGAAGGCAGTAATAAGGATAGATATTTGTGATGCTGTCATCTCCTTTCCAGCATAACGAATGTGCAGTAGAGTCAAACCCTTTTTATATGATTCACAGCCATGTGCAAACCTGCCCTTCCCTACTGTCAACTTCCCCAACCTAATAAATACATGTAGATGATCTACTGTCAGAACCGCCGGAAACATTTTTTCAATTTTTTGTTTGGTCCGTTAGTACCAGTGCCTTTCATACATTGTGTATGATATGGTGGGTACAGATGCCCTCCACAGTAGGAAACACGAGTTGGTGGCCAAAATGTTGGTCCGGTAATAACCTGACCAGGACTGGTTCCGGCGGGCCTGACTATAGTTATGGAACAGTACAGGTAAGATCTGGTCCCACAGCTTATGGAGTTGTCTGATAAGTGCTTTCACACGAAACTCGGAGTAACAACGAATTTCTAGGCTATCCATCGCTTGATGACTATAGTTATGGAATACAGTAGGTAGACCCCCAGTGTGCTCTCCTTCTCATCACTGCTGACTGTCTGATCTCCCTTTGCTGCCATGTTGTTTACCTGTATTAGGAGAACCGTGTTTGTCTGGAACCTCACTATACGTAAGTACTTGTCACTATATGGAAGTGCTCGTGGAAGAATGATGAACATTGAGTACTATCACTACATGTACTGCTGGGCCTGCTTATTGCTCCTGTTTCTCCTGCTGTTCTTCCTTCAGTTGTTCCTTTGCCTGCTGCTGCTCCTGCTGCTGCTGCTGCTGCTGCTGCTGCTGTTGTTGCTTGTGTGCGTGTTAATCTGAGAATCTCCTGTCACACAATGGCCATGTGCAGTTTGGTCTAAAGTATGTGACTTGAGTCATCATGGCATTACAATCTGTGTGCACATGTTATTGGGGTAGCACATGTTATTGGTGGGGCACTTTGACAATACACGGTATGTCTGTTATCTGTTTTCATTTGAAACTACAGAGAAGTGTTCGGAGGTGATGCTGAGAAAATCCTCTGTGAGTCCGAAGAAGGTCCATCTCTGCTGACAGCTGTGGAGGTGAGAACATTACATGTATCTGTAGTCCTCTGTCCAGTAATGCTGCTGCTGCTGCTGCTGCTGCTGATGTTGTTGTTGTTGTTGTTGTTGTTGTTGTTGTTGTTGTTGTTGTTGTTGTTGTTGTTGTTGTTGTTGTTGTTGTTGGTAACTGCAATGTACTACTACAGTCCATTTCAAAATAATAAGCAATCTTGCTCGTCCCGCATTGAGTTTACTGTTTACCGTATGAGCTGTCTGGAAACATTCGCTGGGAAATTGGACATCTATTCGATAAGTTGGGGGGGGGGGGGGCAAAAACTTCTTCAGTGGAGTCACATCAATAGAGGACATGTCAACAGCGTGATAAATGTTGAAGTGCGGCACGTCCCACTTTGTTTCATGATCAAACATAATTTCTTTGAATTGCGATGCAATTTTCTCTCGTGTGACGAAAAAAGCATGGGCACACACTATTCCCTTATATTGATTGTATACCGTAAAATTCCGTAAATAAGCCCACCCTAAAGAACGCCCATGTCCGATAATAAGCCCAGTTTTAGGCGGTGTACACTTCAAGTCCGTTTTAGCGCCCATGCCCGAAATAAGCCCAGGGCGTAAAGTGGACTCAAAATGACCAGCACGCGAGCGTGCGTTCGCGTACAAACTGTAGAACAGTTGTAGATCGAGTACGTGCCATCCAACGTGTCATTTAGTTTTCTGCCTTACCTGCTTCAGCGTCACGACGTTTTCAGCCATGCCGGTACCTGTTTTGCCTTGTACTTACCATAGCAAGTGGTTTACCTATCAAATCTGTAATTTATCGCTACATTCTTGGTTACAACCAAATTTCCAGCTGTGGTTTAATGTACCTGTACCGCGCTCAGTGTGAATGGTGGTTCACTGAAACTAGTGGGTTGCTGATAGATTGATCTGCAGATTGCGTCCGAAATAACGCCCATGCCCTAAAATAAGCCCATGCCCAAATATACGCCCGGTTTTTGACACTCTGCAAAGGGGCTTATTAACGGAATTTTACGGTATTGAATATTTATTTAGGGGCCGTCCGTAAATATCGATATTTTTTTCAAGACGATATTTGTTCATTTCTCCCCAGACCCCTCCCTCCCCCCTCAAAACGAACATACACATGTTTATGCAAAGGATCGATATTTTTTAATGAAGTTCAATTTCCTCATGAAACGTGACCAGCTGCAACTTCAATTTCACCATACACCTACATGTACACGTAGGTTTATGTTGCCACGGTCGAACAACCTTGCTATGGCTATGCTCATGAGGTTGACTTTCACTTTGTGTAGGTCATAAACTACTTCGAAGTATTTGTTCGAACAGTGCCCGTCCATAGATAGAGTTCGATATTTTTTTCTCAAAGACGAGACGAACAGGGCCCAAACCCCCTCCCCCCCCCCCCCAAACAAACGAATATCTTCTCTAAAAAAACATCGATATTTGTGGACGGCCCCTTAATAAGACTATTCATATACATCATATAATACATGGCAATGTATTGCAGCACAGGTGCATGTGTGACATGTGTATTAGATAGAAAACTATAGTAGCTTGCACGTGTGCATGTGTGCGCGCGCGCGCGCGTGTGTGTGTGTTGTTGTTGTTGTTGTCTTTGTTGTCGTTGTCGTTGTTGTTGTTGTTGTTGTTGTTGTTGTTGTTGTTGTTGTTGTTGTTGTTGTTGTAGAAATGGCTGGAAAGAACACCGGGTCTTGATAATGATGGCTTCAACTTCCCAGAACGCTATGCTCAGGCTGTGAAGAGCATGCTGGCAGCCGAGTCCAAGGTATCACCCGTTAGCCAATGGTCATGTTGGTAGCTAATGACTATGATAATAGGGACCTTTCGCACCACGCGTACGGATACGAAACGAATGCTGATTCATCACCTGGGTTCGAGGATTCGTCAGAGTCCCTGCGGAGAGCTCGTTTTCACGAATGGAAGCCTCTTCATTCGTGGCGCGCTCCTAATCCGTCAGGTACACATTTATTTGGCCAGGTACACATGTTTTGCCACGTACACCTTTTTCCCTTGATTCCATGATCCATGCACGTGTGCGTGTAAACACCCGTACGCCAAGCTACCGGCCGTATTCGTAGTTGCCATGCACATTTGCATGACGACTTGCGAAACCTGAATCTGTTTTCAACGAAACGATTACGAGCCGAATCTTTTTTCGTTTCGCATTCGATTCGTAGCAAATGCGAAAGGTCCCTATATACGGCCTAATAAACACAGTCCGCATGTAGCCCAAATGAAACATATCATATATATGCGGTTAGTGCATCTGTCTGCTAACTACGTCAAGGTAATGCATAGAAGAGAGGAAACAGATGTGTCCTCATGCATATACACATTATCACTGCCAGCGACTAATATCTACATAGAGAAGGGGACGCAGCCTCAAGCTTAGATCCAGCATTCCCCTCCCCCTCCCCCACATCGCGTAAGCTCCAAGGTTGACATGACAGCAACCACACGATCCACTGCAGGCCATTGCAGGTGAAGTGGTGGTTGCATGTGATCACTTGACGCCCTTGGTTGAAAACTGTATGCTAGTACTAGTATAGCATTCTTTCGTATTGTGCTCATATCATGTGCATCAACGTCATCAAAATGCTGCTGGCTGATTTATCACTGGTCAACGGTAAGGTTTCCAGCCTTGATGGATATGCCTTTTACCATCAACAGAACGTGTACCAACTTGTGACTGTTTGTATAAGACCATACAAGTACTTCAAATGTCATAGTTAATAATATACCCGGTACTGTGCGGGGAATAGCATTAAGCTATGGGGCTTGCCACACATCACACTTGAATCTCTGTATTTGTACCAGTACTGTACCACCATTAGGGAAGACCCTGGTTTGCTAAGGGTGTCTATTGCCACAATGTGGTCATGTTACGTGTGATCCATGCATCATTCATACTCAATTTGCAGGACGAATCTGAAAGTCCGGAGGTGCGAGACACAAAGCAGAAGGCTGCAGAGCGTGACAGAGTAAGTGTGCCTGTGTACATTCAGTCATTCACTGTACATGTACTGATGCAGCTACATGTACTGAAGTACTACATTAGCTACAGCTACTCATCTCTACTGAAATACTACATTAACCAGAAATTTCTGTCTCTCAAGATCGCCCACCTTGATTTCCAGCCAAGGCAAGAAGTTGTGTATGGCCGAGAGCAACTAAGATTGCGCAGTGTGAGAATATGAGTACACTAGAGCAACTAAGATTGCGCAGTGTGAGAATATGAGTACACTAGAGCCGCACACCAGCCTACTATTGTTGTATGGAGCTACCTTAATGTATGCATGGCATGCACTGTACAACACTACTTCAGTAGTTCTGAGCAAGATATAGCATGCAGTACTGTGCATGTGCTGACAACTGCTCACATCCAGCATTGCTATAACTTGTTAACGTTTACATGACTTGTGGCCAGTATGTGGCTGAGCATTGTTCCCATGCTGAACTACTCAGCGCTGGTGTGAAACTCACTGCTTTGTTGGTGCTCTTTGTTTGTGCTCACAGCAACTGTTTGACTCCATTCTGTCTGCTGAGAAACACCAGGCAATTGTTGATCAAGGTGCTGAAAATGATTACTTTGAAATGATAATTTTGAGGAGATGTGTTTGCATATCCGTGTCACAGATACTTTGGTGGACCGGGGTATTTTACACGAGATCTGTAATGCCTAATGGCTCTCATCCTTCATATAATAGAACTAACATTGGTTACATGAGTACTTCAAAGTACGTCTTTCACACATAGTTGTGGGATGGCGAGTTAGCTGGTAGAGATAAGCAATATTAGATTTTAGAATAACACTAACGCCCTAGTGTTACTTTCTGACTTGTCTGATATTATGAGCCATGAAACACTTGTTGACCTTTTAAAAGTAAAACTGCTGGTCATGAACTTTTTTCCCGTCTCGTTCATGTGCCCTGTTTTGCCACAGTGTAGGCTGGCTCTGCAGAGTTTCAGCCTCTATGTTTCTTTTCTTGGCATCACATGTTCTGTAGGTGACAGACGGCTTTCCCACAGAGCAACACTTGGAGCACTGCTGATCTTTTTATATCGGTGAGCCTATAGAACAGACCTCGATTCTTTTAAAATTATGTCATTCACCAAAACTTCGCTAAATGATCTCTTTAGTCTTTAGACTCTACTGCATTTGATAGAAATGAATCAATCGATAATCCAGTCTGGGCCAGGGGGTCTGTGGCCATCATCAGGATCTACATGACATGTAGTACAGTTAGTGCAGTTAGTGCAGTTAGCCGTGCATGTAGACTGACTCTGATATTGGCTAGCGTACATGTGCGCTTCTGGTCTCATTATGTTATTGAATCAGTGTCCTTCTAACTCTAGGACTAACAATGGCATTCAGCCAGCATGTTTCTAGCCACCTTATTCAGTATGAAGTTCAGCCCGCTGGTCATGAGACTGTAGAAACTAGCACTTTGAAGTAGATTTGGGTGGACATGCCCAGTCTAAAGTACATTACAGATCCAAACCATTAGTGGAATGTGCAGTGTGTTTTGGAATGGACTTGTCCACCCTACAGATGAATGAAACTGCACGAAGCTTCAAGACATCTGATCATGTGACTGACTATGATATCCAACCTGTCTTGTATCCTATTGGTAATGTGTGTGTGGTTACTTGTTGCTCCAGGGATGAGCCTCGTTTCAACGAGCCGTTCAAAGTCTTGCAGCTCATGATGGATATTGACTCAGCGCTGATGAAGTGGAGACGTGAGTGCCCTACTGCTGCCGTAACATGCGCACTTTTGTTTCGTTTCTGTTAGGGGTGAAAGTTGGCACTGAGATCCCGAGTTCGAGTACTCTGATTTTCTCCGATCGAATATTCGAGTATTCGAGTATTCTTCATCTCCTAAAAATTGCACACCAAGGGCCTTAAAATCGCATGATAACGACCCTGATTGAACCGAGTGGCAGTCATTTTTCTCGGGTGTGTTGGTTGGTGGGTCATTTGGGCTCTCTCTACTCGGGAACGAATGTTCGCCACATAGTCTGCACATCAATATCTACCGACTGTTGCTCTGAAACTGCAGATTTCTGTGGTAAATGCATGCACCATGTATGAACGAATACTCTGATTTATTCCGAGTACGATTATTTTTGAAAAAACCGAGCGAGTACTCAAGTATTCGGTATAATTGTTTCACCCCTAGTTTCTGTCCATCCTTCCTTAGCTGCTTATGCAAAGAGCAGACAATGTCGGATAATGTGATGATAAGGTAGCCGTGGTTGGCTATAAAACCCCTGCAATCGCCATGCAAACTGGTCATTGGCTACCCCAGCCATGTCTTGCTTGGAATAAAATAAAAACGTGATGTACATGTCGGTGCAGTGTCAGATAACAAACGCCTAGTACATCTAGTATAGTGTTACTGCTCTCTGAGGCATTGTCACAAGTTGTGCGCTATTGTCATGTTCTCTGTTCTGCTGCGTAGACAATCATGTTGCAATGGTTCAGCGATTTCTTGGAACTCGCGTTGGCACGGGTGGATCCTCTGGTTATTTGTACTTGAGATCTACTGTCAGGTAAGCACATCATGGCTACTCTCTCATGTACTTGTACTACTGGAGAATTGGTACGTAGGTACGTAGAGTACAACCTCTCTATTGTATCACCTTTGTAAAAATAAAAATAAAGATACGTAAGGGCTTGCTTCTCGTTGTTCAGTTGTAATGTTCAGTTGTAATGTTATGTTGTATATGTACACTTGCGTCATGTGTTTATGCAGTGAGCGCTACAAGATTGTCCCTGACCTGTTCAATCTATCATCTTTCATCTTGCCTCGTGCATACACGCCAGCACTGACAGAAGAGATGTTCGCTCTCCTAACAAGGTACAGTACACGTGCAAGTAATGCCAGCCTTGATCTTACGTCATGCGTGTCTTCTACAGGTGACTTCAGAGCAGTGACAAGGCAGACGAGGCTACAATGGTGTTACAAAGTCCTTAAAATATCAATCTCACGTTCCTTTAATAGTTGTATTTGACACTATTTTTGAATACCGTGGAGAAATTTAATGATTTTATCATACTCCCTTTAACATCCAGCCTGCAACACCTACGCAGTCTTTGGCTGCACCACTGACGCAAACCGATTTTATCCAAATTTTCACCCAGGAGGGCATCATCAGGGATATGGGGAGAAGATACAATGATTGCTCGTTAAAAAATTCAAAACTATATTCCAACAACACACATGTACTTCAGTAATACGTGTGTTCTTCCCTACGTCGAAGCTCGCGCTTTTCCTGTCGACTTGACCCTTGACTGACTGATGACTGCCATCCAGAGCACAAGAGATGGATTTTTGTGAATACATGTACTTCAGCATGTGGAGAATTCCGTCTTGCAAATTCATGTACTTGTTATGATTTCCTGGTTTGGGTACTACTGTGCTCTACTGTGCTCTGCTGTGCTCTACTGTGCTCTACTGTACTCTACTGTACTCGACTGTGCTCTACTGTGCTCTGCTGTGCTCTACTGTACTCTACTGTTTGTTTGTTTGTTTTTTGTTTTTTTTTACCTGATAAAGCCTCTTGTACGGGCAAAAGCAACACAATGATGAGAAACCAGGGTATGATAGGAACTGATAATATTAAAAATACTACACAGGTGTGGAAAATATGTCTCCGGAATGGCGAGAGTCACACTAAAACACAAATGGATTTAGATCCGGCTTTCAACCACTGCCAGCTCCCTGAGCTCGTTAGCTCTACTGTACTCTACTGTACTCTACTGTGCTCTACTGTACTCTACTGTGCTCTACTGTGCTCTACTGTGCTCTACTGTACTCTACTGTGCTCTACTGTGCTCTACTGTACTCTACTGTACTCTACTGTGCTCTACTGTACTCTACTGTGCTCTACTGTGCTCTACTGTACTCTACTGTGCTCTACTGTGCTCTACTGTACTCTACTGTACTCTACTGTACTCTACTGTACTCTACTGTTTTTTGTTTTGTTTTTGTTTTTAAGAGTTGGCACCTATGAATTCAGGGGATGGCCCACGCCTGGTAAAAAGAAAAGAAAGAAAAAAGAATGTCTGGCACCTATGAATTCAGGGGATGGCCCACGCCTGGTAAAAAGGAAAAAGAAAAAAAGAAATCATAACAAAGAAAACTAACTAATAGCGAAAACAATACAGCCATATAACAAGAGGTGAGGGTTAACCCAGACGACACTCAGCATTCACTAGAGCTGAGGGGCACTCCAACTGTACTCTACTGTACTCTACTGTACTCTACTGTACTCTACTGTACTCTACTGTGCTCTACTGTACTCTACTGTACTCTACTGTACTGTACTCTGCTGTACTCTACTGTGCTCTACTCTACTGTACTCTACTGTGCTCTACTCTACTGTACTCTACTGTCACACGCTGCGTGAGCAGGAAGAGGGAAAATCCCACTTTTGAACGAAAGTTGCACATCGCTGACGCATGAGAAATCGAGTGATCTTTCGAGCACTTGCCGCTCTGTTATACTAGTACTATTATTAGAGAGGTTCCGCACTACGTAAAGTTGAGCAACTTTACGTTAGTGGGCGGGGAAAACCCGTGAATTCGCGAGTTTGCACTCCACTTACGGAAAGTTGTCTACGGAGAGTACGTAGATAGGGCTCTGATAACGTAGCTGGTCCGTAAGTGGATTGGGGTACAAATTTACGGAATCATAGCAAACAAAACAAGATCATCGGATAATAAAAGTGTGGCTAGACACGGCTACTCCGCAAGAGTCTCAGTCACGCAACTGACAGTCGTTGACTGCCAGCACAACAGGAGTGGCAGCATCCAAACGACTGCGGTAGGGAGAAGCACGGTGACCACGGAGGCTCATGTTGCAGGATCGAACCAAAGCAAAGGAGACAAGAGAGCGGATCCAGGACATGACGGAGGAGTAGGGTTCATGCCGCTTCTCCGAAACCATATGGCCAAGACGCTTCAGGAAAGCGTGGGCTACCTTGCCGCACCCACCAGATGCACTGAATACCAGTGGGAGAAAGGAAGCATGCTCTACCTCCCTGACGCGTTCTTCGTAGGCCCTTCTCTTCTGCTGTTCGTGCTTGGCATAGGTGGACGCGGGAGTTGAGGAAGTGTTCGAGCGAGCATGAGGGTTAAAAACCCGAACATCACAGAACGTGCGCTCAAAACGACTTCCCCAGACACCAGATGCCGCCACATCAAGACGAGCACCATCTTCCAAGATGGCAGAGCGATACCGGAGCCTTTCACCCTCCAGGGGCTGCAGAGGAGTACTGTACTCTACTGTACTCTGCTGTACTCTACTGTACTCTACTGTGCTCTACTTTTTTTTTTTTTTTCACTGAGCCTCTTGTACGGGCAAAATAACACATTTTGTGAAGAATCAACACATAAAACGAATCATCAGATACAGTATTTACAGAGTCTGTCACTCAGTAGGATCACTGCACTGTGCAGGTTCACTGGATGCGTGCCTCCGCTGCCACTAGCACAGCAGGGGACTCAGGCATGGCAGGAGCAAACATGCTCCTTGAGCCACGCAGGCACATAGCACCACAACGCACCAGGGCAAACCCAAGGCGGCAGCGCAGCAAGGAGATAATCTGCCCGTATGGCTCCTTACTCTTCTCAGCCAGGAGAGAGGCGATCCGCGTGAAAAGAGCATTGGCATGCTTGCCATAGCCACCAGAGGCAGAGAGCACAACGGGCGCGAAGGAGGCATGCTCAACTTCACGTACTCGCTCCTCGTACTTCCGGCGCTTTTCCTGTTCATGGCGTCTGTAGCTAGCAGCGAGGTAGGTGGCACGATTCGAAGACGCAAAAGGGTTGAACACCCGGACATCAATAAAGATGCGCTCGAATCGGCCACCCCACACACCACTAGCCGCAACGTCCAGCCGAGCTTGCTCCTCCGTGACAGCTGTGCGATGGCGGAAGGCCTCTCCGGTGACGGGCTGGAGGTGGGGTCCACTGTCACTGTACTCTACTGTACTCTACTGTACTCTACTGTGCTCTACTTTTTTTTTTTTTTTTTCACTGAGCCTCTTGTACGGGCAAAATAACACATTTTGTGAAGAATCAACACATAAAACTAATCATCAGATACAGTATTTACAGAGTCTGTCACTCAGTAGGATCACTGCACTGTGCAGGTTCACTGGATGCGTGCCTCCGCCGCCACTAGCACAGCAGGGGACTCAGGCATGGCAGGAGCAAACATGCTCCTTGAGCCACGCTGGCACATAGCACCACAACGCACCAGGGCAAACCCAAGGCGGCAGCGCAGCAAGGAGATAACCTGCCCGTATGGCTCCTTACTCTTCTCAGCCAGGAGAGAGGCGATCCGCGTGAAAAGAGCATTGGCATGCTTGCCCTGTGCTCTACTGTGCTCTACTGTACTCTACTGTACTCTACTGTACTCTACTGGACTCTACTGTACTCTACTGTACTCTACTGTGCTCTACTGTACTCTACTGTGCTCTACTGTACTCTACTGTTTTGTTTTTTTTACGTCTAGTTGTGTGTGATCATTTTAAAGAATGTTTGGCACCTATGAATTCAGGGGATGGCCCACGCCTGGTAAAAAGAAATCATAACAAAGAAAACTAAAGAAAAAAGAATGTTTGTCACCTATGAATTCAGGGGATGGCCCACGCCTGGTAAAAAGAAAAAGAAAAAAAGAAATCATAACAAAGAAAACTAACTAATAGCGAAAACAATACAGCCATATAACAGGAGGTGAGGGTTAACCCAGACGACACTCAGCATTCACTAGAGCTGAGGGGCACTCCAGCTGCTCATCCAAAGGTGCTCGCCTGGATCGATGACCTCTTAAGCTTGCAATCGCCGATCTGATGAGGGCAAACCCTAGGCGGCAACGGAGGTGAGCCATCACCATGGAGAACGGTTCCTTCCGCTTCTCGGCCAGCATTGATGCAATACGCTTGAGGAAAGCAGAGGCAGCCTTGCCTTGACCACCGGAGGCACAAAACACCAAGGGGACGAACGATGCCTTCTCTACTTCCCTAACACGCTCTTCATAGTGTCGCCGTTTCTCCTTCTCGTGCTTAGTGAACGTGCTGTTGAGGGAGGGAGCGGTGTTCGATCGGACAAAAGGGTTAAATACCCGGACATCAAAGAATGTCCTCTCGAAACGGCCGCCCCACACCCCGCTGGCAGCACTGTACTCTACTGTACTCTACTGTACTCTACTGTTTGTTTGTTTGTTTTTTGTTTTTTTTTTACCTGATAAAGCCTCTTGTACGGGCAAAAGCAACACAATGATGAGAAACCAGGGTATGATAGGAACTGATAATATTAAAAATACTACACAGGTGTGGAAAATATGTCTCCGGAATGGCGAGAGTCACACTAAAACACAAATGGATTTAGATCCGGCTTTCAACCACTGCCAGCTCCCTGAGCTCGTTAGCTCTACTGTACTCTACTGTACTCTACTGTACTCTACTGTGCTCTACTGTGCTCTGCTGTGCTTTACTGTGCTCTGCTGTGCTCTACTGTGCTCTACTGTACTCTACTGTACTCTACTGTACTGTACTGTACTCTACTGTACTGTACTGTACTGTACTGTACTCTACTGTACTCTACTGTGCTCTACTGTACTCTACTGTACTCTACTGTGCTCTCCTGTAACGCAGGGAGATCCTCTTGCTATGCCGATGAACGCTTTGGGGGTACTCCCCCTGGTGCGCAGAGTGGCAACCCCAGGAACACGCCAGAGCTGGTATGCGGATGACTCGTCCGCGGGTGGCGGGCTCAACCCTCTCCGCCAGTGGTGGGACCGACTCGTCGGGGATGGGCCGGCGTTCGGGTATTTCATTAACCCCAGCAAGTCCGTCCTCGTCGTCAAGCGGGACAAGCTAGAGGCAGCCGAGACCATCTTCGCCGGCACGGGTGTGTCTATCACCACTGACGGGTGCCGTCACCTTGGATCAGCCATCGGAACTGATCAGTTTGTGCAGGAGTTTGTGGCTTCCAAGGTGGCCACCTGGTCGCAGGAGCTGTGCAAGCTGACAGATTTCGCCCGGTCACAGCCTCAAGCAGCTTACTCTGCACTGGTGAACAGCCTCCAACACCGGTGGTCCTTCCTGTGTCGGGTTCTCGATGGTGCTGCAGAACAGCTGGCACCCCTGGAGGACATCATCCACCGCCGCCTAATCCCTGCCATTAGTGGACGGACGGCGCCCAGTGAAGCTGAACGCATTTTGCTCACTTTCCCCTGCCGGCATGGAGGCCTCGGCGTGGCCAACCCTGCCACTTTTGGCTCACAGTACGGCACCTCCAGGCTAATCACCACTGCGTTGTACGACAAGATCATGGCGCAAGAAGAGCACCTCGATGATGCTCTTGCCTGTGTCCGCAGGGCCAAGAGTCAGGCTCACTCTGAGGCCAGAAAGGCAATGAAGATAGCTGCCGATACGTTCCGCACCGAACACAGCGAACTCGATCTCGCTATCAGTCTGGCAGAGGAGAAGGGAGCATCAAGCTGGCTTACCTGCCGACCCATCGCTCGCCATGGCTTCGCTTTGTCGAAGGGGGAATTCCGGGATGGCCTCTGCCTCCGTTACGGTTGGACGCCTTCTCGCCTGCCCACCACCTGTGTTTGCGAGAAGGCATTCACCACTGCTCACGCCTTGTCCTGTCCTTTCGGTGGGTTCCCCTCGATCCGCCACAACGAGGTGCGCGACATACTGGCAAGCTCATTGAAGGGTGTCGCCCACAACGTCGCAGTGGAGCCACATCTCCAACCCCTGACTGGGGAGCAGTTTCAGCTCCGGTCAGCATCAACCGAGGATCAAGCTCGTTTGGATGTGGTGGCCAGTGGAGTTTGGGGGGTCGGTTCGAACGCACTTTTATTGATGTACGGGTGTTCAACCCTTATGCGTCTTCGAACCGCACCTCCTCTCTCTCTGGCTGCTACCGGCACCATGAGCAAGAGAAACGGCGTCGATATGATCGGAGAGTCCGAGAAGTGGAGCGATCCACTTTTCTCCCCTTTGTGCTCTCTTCCACCGGAGGATGCGGCAAGGGTGCCGCTGCACTGGTGAGCCGGATTGCACATCTCCAGTCGCTACGTGGGAGGGAGGGGTATTCTGTGCTAATTGCCCACCTCCGCTGCAGGCTGTCTTTCGCCCTGCTGCGTTCGAGTGTCATGTGTCTGCGTGGGGCTCGCCGAGTTTGGCAGCCTCCAATGGATGGCTGTGCCTCCCTGGCTGTCGTGGAGGCCAGGGTGTCCCGTTGAGCCTTGCCCCGTTATTGTGCGGACTATGCTATGCTTCTCCTGCTGTCTGATCATTATGTGATTTGTTTTCAATCCTCCGCCATGGTAATTTGTGTTTTGTTCGCCCGTAAAAGAGGCTTTTACTACGTAAAAAAAAAAAAAAAAAAACTGCTGTACTCTACTGTACTCTACTGTGCTCTACTGTGCTCTACTGTACTCTACTGTGCTCTACTGTGCTCTACTGTGCTCTGCTGTGCTCTGCTGTGCTCTACTGTACTCTACTGTACTCGACTGTACTCTACTGTACTCTAGTTTTCAGTCCGCTATATCGGGCGGCTGCTGTACTGTACTCTACTGTGCTCTACTGTGCTCTACTGTGCTCTACTGTGCTCTGCTGTGCTCTGCTGTGCTCTACTGTACTCTACTGTACTCGACTGTACTCTACTGTACTCTAGTTTTCAGTCCGCTATCGGGCGGCTGCACTCCAGCTCTGCTTTGCACTTCTCTTTTTTTAAACTTCTTTTTCCTTAAAAAAACTCTACTGTACTCTACTGTTTTTTTTGTTTTGTTTTTAGTAAAAGCCTCTTTTACGGGCGAACAAAACACAATTTGCCATGGCGGAGGATTGAAAACAAATCACATAATGATGACGTCGCATGTGATCAGACAGATCACGGGGCAAGGCTCAACGGGACACCCTAGCCTCCACGACAGCCAGGGAGGCACAGCCATCCATTGGAGGCTGCCAAACTCGGCGAGCCCCACGCAGACACATGACACTCGAACGCAGCAGGGCGACTGTACTCTACTGTACTCTACTGTACTCTACTGTACTCTACTGTGCTCTACTGTGCTCTACTGTGCTCTACTGTACTCTACTGTACTCTACTGTACTCTGTTAGTATTGAAAGGTAGCTCTGCATTTATCCAAGAGTCCATAACCCCAGAGTGGGGAACTGAGGAGTGGTTGATCTTGCAGGGAAATGCAAAAATTGCATCATCCAACTGCTTCCAGGTGCTAAACCTTGTAGGTTGTATGGCTCAGCAGGCAGATTCCTAATTGCCTTGTGCACAGCAAAGCATGCATTGTTCCTCCCACCTGTACTAGCTCAGTCTAGCTGAGCGTACCATCACGTCCTGCCGACGACGTACGACGTTCAGATTCCGCTGTGACAGAACTAGGGCTCAAACGGTCACGGTTTTACCCCTAACGGTTAACTGCTAAGCTAACGGTCGGTTTAACGGTTATAACCTATAAGCCACGGCAATCCTGCGGACTCTTTTTTAACCGTATATTTGACTATACTAGTACTCGTTCAAAAAATGTACCCTATTCAGTACAACGCACACAATTGTACATTCTCTTGCATTGCTCATTCATACATACCCTCACACCAAGAGACCAGATATGACCGAGTTGACAGCCCAGAAATTGCGTACGCGTGCGACAGCCTGCGAAAGTGCACACTTTGCAACGACCTGATCCTTGAAAAATTGACTGAAAAGTTACTGCGTAACCGTTATCTTTATCGGTTAACCGTTAATTCTTCGTAACCGGTCTCCAACCGGTTAATCGGACTAACCGTTTGAGCCCTAGACAGAACCCCATGCAGAAAATACTGTACAGTACTTCAAGTACGGATGCACACTATGCGCGCCATCGACTCTTGGTTTGACCAAGGTACCATGGTTTTCTTTCTCTCCTTCAACCCACTGCAGGCACAAGGCCACTTCTCAGTCGGCAACAGTGCGTGAACAGCCTGGCTACGGTGATGCTTCCATGGGTCAGACAACGGAGAGGTTGATGAAGTCAAAGGATATCAACCTGTATGAGCCGTGGAAGTGCCCAGCCAAAGACACCTAGATCTCACTCATACACACACTCACTAGCTCCTATCTCTTATCAGTGCACTGCAGACCTACAAGTCTACAGAGCCCACAATGCTGTGTAGCCGTTCTGCTATCTCCTCTTTCATAACAAGACACCCGTGACTGTCTTACATGTCCTGAGTCAAACTAAAGTTTGATGTGTGAAGATGCCAGTGCGTTGTCACTTCATATCTGTACAAAAAGTGCTCATCTCTACTGACATGGAATCATTTCTCTCAAAGTAGTTCGCGACAGTTGTCGCCATTTTGGCCAACAAGCAATGGTTGCGAGTCCGAACCACATTTACGACGACTTTTTTTTTTCTTTCTTTTTTTCTTCTTTTAGAAATCAAAGTTTGTGGGTTAGAATCCCAATGTGGGCTATTTTCTTTTTTCTTTCAATTACATTGATACTTTCAGATTGCTCAGGGAACATTGCCAAGCAAAGAAAGGGCTCTCCAATTTGTTTTTTGTTTTTTGTTTGTTTGTTTTTTAACCTCTTTTGATCAATCTCACTTTGCAGACCTAACCCGATGCAGTAATAATAGTAATACTGTACGAGTGTGAGCCTAACCTATTCCCATTTAACTACCATTAGTGTATTAATAGTATAAACTACTTGAAAAAGATGAACACTTGTGAACAATGATCATTGCCCTGACGATGCCCTATGGGTGAGATATTGGTTTTAAGAAGAAGTTCAGGTACAGTGGTACCAAGAGTACATATGTACTCTTGGTGGTACTGGTGATCTTTTGATCCATCTGGTTGGTGCATTTCTTCAGTTGGCTTAGTGCGACGATGCTTCTGGCCGCTCTCTGATGACATGTCCAAACCATCGCCAGCACCGTAGCACTGGTATTTCAGGTGGTCCCGCCAAAAGGGACACTTCACCGTAAACAACACATTAATGACAAAACCCCAGTTTAGCACGATTTGGGTGGGTCAACTTTTTTTGGAAATAAGGTCCGGCCATGGCTTGACCAGCCAGACCTGGTGCTACACCCCTGATACTGACCTGGTGCTACATCCCTGATACTGACCTGGTGCTGCATCCCTGATACTGACCTGGTGCTACATCCCTGATACTGACCTGGTGCTACATCCTGATACTGAGTGATAGGAGCAAGGGGGGTTATGTACTCTTGATAGGAGTCATCGCTAACGACAGCCGTCACTGATCCGTTATTGCTTGGTCTGGCGATAGAGGGCTTTGTGGTAGTCATGGTAGTTGAATACCTTCAGCATAACGTTAAACCGCAATTTCTTACTTTTTGTCACACATCAACACGGTTCACAGCTGGCAAGCGATTGATTGTATGAAATTCGGTGCTGGCAGAATTGATGATTCTGCTGCTAATATCTTCATCTGAAAGGATCCCAGGAGATTGGAGTTTCGTTTCCTCCATTTCTGCGCTATGCTTTTTTGGGACCTATCATTCACCTCTGAAGAAAAAAATGTCTTGTGGCCTTCCAACTACATGACATTGTATTGTGCTCTTGCCTTGGTGAAGTATACATGGTATATGCCACCCCCCCCCCCCCGCCCCCTTCCGAAAATTCCAATACCGGTAAGACTTTTTAGATCCATCTTCATGCCAAAAATGTGAAGTTTCTAAAAAAAGTGACAGAAATACAGTGGCACATACCGGTAACGTAACTTCATAAGGCACTAGGTGCAAGTTAGTTACTTCTGGATACAACGATGTCAAAGTTACCCGCCCTACTGCAAAGATCGCTGTGTTTCGCGCAGTTAGAGCACTCAGATCTAATCGTCGCCGAGTCCCTGCCTCCATGCACGCAGCAGCAATAGCACAGCCCAGCAAGCAATTTCGGCGCCAGGCCAGGAGACCTGGGAAGATTACTTCGACCCAGTTGTCATCTCAGCTGCCTATTCAGCCTGTGTCGGATAAAAAAGGATGCATCGCAGAAACAACCACCGCCAGCGAAACGGAAAGAGAGGCAGAAATGTCCCCGTTGCCTCCAACTAACTTTCCTAACGCCAAATCGGATGCCAGTGCACTGGGGCCAAATCGTTGTACTTCAGGATGTAGTTGTTACCGCAAATGTAGCTGAAAATCTGTTGCCAACGAGAAGAAGAAGAAGAAGAAGAAGAAGAGCTAGAGTAGAGTCTTGATAGTATCGCAGTCGTTGCAGCAGTCGCAGCAGTTGCTGTCGCCACTAGTATCCCAGTTAGTGTGTATCATTGCTTTACCCACGGAGAAAACGGAAGCTGGTTCAAATGAAGACAACATATCGGACAGTCTAGTTGACCGAATAACAAAGCCACACCACCAGGAAACATAGCACCGACTCGAAATCATGGCCAAGAGGCAAGAACAATGGAACATTTTCAGGACGGGCAGAGACTCGGTAGTGAATGATTGACTGAGACATGCAGCAACGGACACTGGACACTGGACATTGCGAAAGGAGACAAGAGGGATCGGATTGGAGGTGACACCAACCACGATGACTTACCGACACGGGGGACCGTGACAGGCAAACAGAACAAGAGCAGGGTATCATGACAAGACCAGGGACCCTGGTTGATGATGGTGATGATGGAGATTGCACGACGCAGTACCCCAGAAGCGAGCGAGAACGGAGCTGGATGGTGTGGATGAGGAGGAGTAGAGGATGGTGCTGACAACGCGAAGCAAGTTGATGTGGATCATGCAGTTTTTATCAGTTCTCGTAAGTCTGCAATATTATTTGAAATCATTAATTTTGTTGTCCAGCCCTTCGTGTTTGAAGGTTTATGATGACACAGAGGCGTAGCTCGCACATCTGTGGTGTGGTGACTATGTACCACCGGCAATTTCACAGGCGTCATTACGCCTATTTAGACTGTGTAGTGCCGATAATGGCGGCCATTTGCTAGTGTGCCGGTGACTGGACTACGCTGACCATACACGAGCTACTCGCCTGTGACTCGCCTGTGACTCGCCTGTGACTCGCCTGTGACCATGGTGACTCGTGCTCCAGTGCCTTTTACTGTGCCTGTAGTCTTCGGTTACTTCCTGTGATAGAGGCAATGTACATCCGCATCCAAAAGCCAGACTTATCATCGGCAAGCAGACAGAATTTGTAACTACACTCATACTCGTCACACACACATGCAGACACACACATGCAGACACACATACACGCACACACACACACACACACACACACACACATACGCACACACACACACACACACACACACACACACACACACACACACACACACACACACACACACACACACACACACATATATGCACACACACACACACACACGCACAAACACACACACACACATACACACGCACGCATGCACGCGCACACACACACGCACACACACAAACACACACACACACACACACATATATATATATATATATACACACGCCACTGTGGCACATACACACACACACACACCACATACACACACCACCACCACCACCACCACCACCACCACACATGCACACACTAGCACCGCACTTGGCATACTTTACACCGCTCGCTCTGAAGTTGAAGCTGTGGAGTGTGGTATTAGCTGTGGTATTAGGCTGCGTTCATTTTTGTCTACTAGTACTTGGTAGAGGAGAGTAGAGCGGATGTTGGAAAACGAAAAGACAGCAGAAATTAGTTTACGATGGCAGATCTACCCATTTCGGTAGAACGTTGTTTTTCAAAGTACAGCACTATGTACAATATTTTGTGGAAAGCAGGTCTCATGGTCACACAAGTACAGAATTACCGTACCTCTATTACTATACCTCTTTCAACTTCTACCGACGTCTACCAGGCTCAAACCTGGTAGAGCCGGTAGAGGAAAGTAGAGTATACCGTTTGGGGTAGGAGAAACCCCAAACACATCTACCGAAAGAAGTAGTTTCTACCGAACCTGTACATGTACTGTACATATAACCTGTACATATACTGTCAAAAACGCCTCGGAACGCTCCCTTACATGTAGTGCTATTTTGCCAGTGTTTCCTGGTTCGAGTCCTGGTGGTGGCAGTCAATTTTTCTTCAGACTTTTCCCGTTTGCGACTTTCCCTCAACCGAATGAACCTTTCATTTGTTGCGGCTCCCCGCGTGCTAGTAAACCCTAGGGTTTACCAGGTATTAGCGGCCGTCGTGATTTCCCTTGGGGAACGGACATGATAAATTTATTTTGCTTTTAATACCCGCATGCTGGTTTGTATGTGAAGTGTGTGGGTTACAGTGAGGGCTGTGTCCCAGCAGCCTGTGTGGATTCAAAAGAAGCATGAGTTTCGAAGTCTGAAGAAAGTGTTGAACGATTGCTGCTAGGATGACGGTTACACCGTACTGCGACTTAGTGGTAGGGCATCGCTGGCCACATGCGATGGTCCCTCGGGTTCGAGTCCGGCCCCAGGGTGGTGACAGCCATTTTTCTTCAAACTCTTCCGCTTGCGACTTTCCCGCAAACGAATTAATATTTCTGTTGTTGTTTCTTTATGAAGACGAGGTTGTTGCGACTTCGGCGATACTTACAACAACCTCTTATTTACATTGTTGTCCCCAGCGCGGGCTTGCAAATTAGATGGTTTGGAGGCAACAACGTTGTCACGAATTGCGAATCCTCAGCGTTTGGTCAGCACCTCCATGAGCGACACTGACTCACGCTGCTGTTTGGAGTTCGCGAGGTGTTTGTCGTGCTGGAAACGGAGTGTCACTGTAAGTTGGTATCCCTAGTGATGTTTGCTGAGGCTCAGAGAGCACTACGTCAACTGATGCAGTGCTCCCGGAGCACCGGTTTCATTACCTTACATTTTAATGTACATTGTACTCAAGCTCAACTCAGATGAGGGGGGAATTCCCCGAAACACTGTGTATTGAGCAGGGAGTGGTGCTTTCTACAATTGTACAAGTAACTTAGTTTCTTGCAGGTTTGCCGAGTGGACTGAGCCTGCCACGGGTTGGTTGGACTTCTCGCGTGCTCTGGATGGCGGTCCGACGTGACAGTCAGTGAAAATTCAAGTCGGCAGGAAAAGCGCGAGCCGCGTCCTAGGCCTATGTAGGGAGCCGCGACACAGTGTTTCTTTAGCCCTAAATTATGTTGTTGTTATCCATATCCCATGATTGTGATAATGATTTCGGATGGAAGTCCCAAGAAAAATGATGACAACGAAACGTTGCCTGCCTGGGCCGGGGACTTGTTATGCACATCGCGATATCGGCCGGGAGTAGTACTTCAGTGTAATTAGTTCATGGTGTTATGAATAAAACCGTTCTCAAGTATTTCACTACCACTATTTTACTACTCCCCACTACTCAAGGTCGGGCGCCCCTTTGCAGCATATTGCCGCCAGCGCCTTTGCATGCCGGTAGGCAATTTTTGTTAGGTAACAATTTCTTGTCAAGCTTTTGTGTTCAATCTTAGGGTGCGTTCTTATATTCTCTAGCTTCTAGAAGAAGAAGAAAAGAGAAGTCGAAGAAACTGGGATTACTCAAGAACGGGTCTCGAAGAGTTCGGAGATATTTTGCACATGTCAAGCAAAATGAAGCGCCAAAGGGGCCGCGATCTTGAGTGATGAATGTAGTAATGCACGTGTGCGTATGCGAAAAGGGAAATGCGTACACTAATGATGAACACGTGCCTTTTAGTCGTAGTTCGCATGCGCTGATCCCAAACCGCGGGAATCTCCAAGTTTCAACCACCTCTGAAGCTTGGAGAGCTTGGAGAGCCTCCTAAAAGTCGGAGAGGATATAAGAACAGCTCTCGAACTTTTCGGAGGGTCTCCAACTTTTCCGAGAGGATTTAAGAATGCACCCTAACATTTATTTATTTCCAAATTTGGGTTGTCTTTTTGCTTTGGTTCCGGCTTTCTTCATCATTTTCATGGTTTCACGCGATTGGCCCAATCGGTGTTGTCAAGACTGAGTACAGTCATAATGACTCTTGCCTTGGTGTTGTGAATACACCCGTTCTCAAGTAGTATTTTACTACTCCTTGATATCAAGAGTCCATAACCTGGGTTATGGACTCTTGTTGATATCGATGTACAGTATGATGTATCAGATGTTGATTTTTTTGTTTTTTGTTTTTTTTTGTTTTTGATCAGATGTTGATCGCCGAATCCGCCGATCGATCCCGATCAGGAGTACTGTAGTAAAAATAATACTACTCCCTGATCCCGATCGTACGATCAGATCAGCTCATCACCACTTGCACTACACGTGCACGGACTACACGTGCACGTGCATAGACCATGCATGCATGAATTTTTTGCATGAATGCATGGCGGTACGCGGTGCCATGCCGGCGGGACGCGGAATCGATCATGCGTACATGATTGATCGTACGACCTCGAGGCTATGGTGATGTACATGTACGCATGCATGTACCTGGTCCTGGGAGTCGTGGCTTTCGAAGTAATTTTGTGCAGGGCCTAGGGCTAGCTAGGCTGCGCACCCGGTGACCTGGCGACCAAAATCATTATCTGGAACAAAATCCAAATCGAAGAAGAAACATCTGTCTTTTTCATTTGGCCAGCTGTACAACTCCCGCGATGAAGATTTTTGGGAATGTGTAGTTCAGCCGCTGTTTTCTGAGGAAGTGTGTGACCTGTTAGGATATGGAGCGAGTACCTACCAGCACTAAAGCGTTAGAGCCAAAAGACTGGCCTCCCTTTGATCCACATCCATCTTCTTATGTGGAGATAATACCGTGTATTTATTCATCCATCGCGAAAGGATTCTCCAGATGGATGGAAGCGCGCGGATCTGTGCTCGAGTACGCTCAGCAAGATTGGAAGCAGTGTTCATCTGTCGTGCAGGAGGATGTATGGGCAGTTCTACTTGTCGCGGTCCTGTTTACTCTACTTAGGAGTCAGCTGACAATATGGGTTTTCAAAGTTAGTTGATTGAACTGCAATACTATTCATCAAGTGAATACTATAAATTCATGTGCACTGTACTTATGGCGGGAATATTCTTCCTAGAAATACGTGCAATTTTATTAGTCTCGATACACTGGTGTAAACCTCACTAAGTTAACTTTTGGCTTTAATGTGTGAGCAAGGGTGTCTGTCGTGGAATACATACACAGAAGAACCTCTCAAGTTATGCTAACTGGTAATTGTATGCAACCCTTTCCATATTGGTGCCGTGGGTGGTCCGTGGCGCTGCACTCAAGGAACCCAAGTTCAGTGGAGAATAGGTGAAGAACGATTTGTGCCCGAAGTGTCTGGTGAATTGCCGGTATCCTAGGCCTTCGGTGCGCGTTGTACAGGGTCCTGTGGCGCTCAGCGGAACATGATGGGATTGCACAAATATTCCTGCCAAAATCGAGGCATCGCTGGTTCAAGAGCTTATGAACCGCCTGTGCCCTATGTCTGTGTGTTCATGTGTCTGTGTTTGCTTTCAGCCTTTCGCCTCCTGGCTACAGCTGCGAAAGCTGGATTGCCAGAAGTTTCCTGAGAGTATGTTCAAGGTTGCGTACTATACGATAGCCTTCAGCCTTGGTGCATACATACTGTTTGGAATGGGTGATGACTATTTTGGCAATCAAGCATATCCTTTTCAAGGTGAGCGGTGATGGTACAGTATAATGAGCATTATGCATGCACCCACATTCACCCACATGTGTATGAAGAATGAGCGTCATGTCCATCACTACATGCCGCAGATTGTATTTTCGTGTGATTTTCCGTGTTTGGAACATTTTCGCAGTTTAAGTGCTGTCCAGTGCTGGGAATGTGGTGTCCTTGTAATCATGCATGACTCTATTCTCTTCCTCTTGCTGAGAGCTTTCCAGGAAGCCCAGAATTGTGAAGATTGAATGAGTAGAAGTTATGATCCAAAGAACATCAAACATTGGTGATATTTGAAATCACACACTTTTATGGTGGCTCCTAAAGCCAGAAGGGGTCTGGATCAGTAACTGCAACATTATGGAGGAAAGAGGTGATTGAAAATACACCCCCGGAAAGTGACTGTGTGTATTATTTTGCCATACACGGTATCACATTGTGAGTGATGATTCAATGGGGGGGGGGGCAGCAACAAGAATGACCTGGTCATGCTCGCTTCATGGCTGAGGTGACCACGAGCGGCCAGTTCATGACGCTAGCTATCTTTTTTTTCCGTACGTGCATGCGTATGGACCCGCTTGAATGCGCCAGGCAAACACGTCCCCAACTTTCATGGGCTGCCCTAACTACACAACTGTCCAATCGTACCACATATGTTGTTGCTGCTGCGTCTTTTGCTGCTGCTGCTGCTGCTGTTGTTTTCAAATCTTTATTCTCACGATAGCCAGTGGCCAGTAAGAGATTTGTTGTTGTTGTTGTCATGCTTTCTCTAGGTTGGTATGCCAATATGCCAATTAACAATGTCGTATATGGCCTTTACATAATGCAACTCGGCTTCTATGTACATGCCGTGTACGGAGTATTGGTATTGGATGCTCGACGGAAGGACACTTTCATCATGGTTATCCATCACATCATTACGTTGCTTTTGATTGGCTTCTCCTTTGCCGTCAGGTAGGGTGTGTGTGTGTGTGGGTGTTTGTGTGTAAGTGTATGCGCATGCATGCATGTGTGTAAGTGTGTGGCTGTGTGTCCGTGCGTGCCTACGGACGCATGTGTGTGTGGGGGGGGGGGGGGGCATGTGTGTTTGTGAAAGTGGGAGAGGTACTTGTTGGGTTTCCTACTTTGCAATCACTTTGAAGTTGGTATCTACTTCTCTATCTCTAGACCCAGGGGATCCGGGGACAACAGAGAGGTTCAGCAACTGGGTTTGGTTCACACAAGACGAGTTATTTTTGGAGTTTCTGGCAACTCGTCGATTTGACTTACCACTTTCATTGCTGCTGGATTTGTAATGAGCCAAATCCGCGCAGAGTTTGGGCAAGATTTGAGGAGTCGGCCATCGGGTGATTAATAATAATACAGCGCGTATATAGCTCATATGAAAAATCAAATGAGGGTCTTGCATCTGTCGACAACGTCGAGCCAGTGCGTTATGTCTGAGGCAAGTTGCTCCGCTTCCAAAAGAGACATATTGAGAAGTAAAAGGTCATTCCTAATGTTGTCTACCCATCTGGTCACTGGGCGACCTCTGGGCTTCTTTATATCTGTTATATTCATTGCCATGTGAAGGGCTTTGTAGGACACAGCGTCCTTTCCTTCACGAATGACATGTCCAAACCATAATAAGCGCCGGCGTCTACAGACTGCACTTATTGGGCATTGAGCAGTTTTAGCATAAAGAACATTCGAAATTTTATTGGGAAAGATGATTCCAAGTATGTATCTGAGTTTACGGCGGTGCCATACATCAATTTTGCTTTCTAAGGCTTTTGTTAGAGTCCATAGCGCGCAGTTATATAGGAGAACTGGCAAAATGAGACAGTTGAACATGCTTCAGCGGGACTGCTGGGTATGGCGTTTCCATGATACACTGGAAAATGCCCGGTTCGCTGCTATTATACGTGCATCAATGTCCTCCGCTGACCCCAGACGAGAACCCAGCAGTTTGACCGACCTCCAGGAGGCATCTGACTTTGTAGCTGTTACAAATTGTGTTTTGCTGATGTTTAGTTTTAAGTTGTCCTCTGCGAAGATGGGTTCGCATTTCTCTACGGTTGCTTCAACTGCTGTCCGGCTGTGGTCATGCACTGTTGTATCATCTGCATACAGGGTGAACTTAGTAGGTAGATTGACTTGTTCTGGGCAGGCTTCTCTGATCCTCTGCATTGCACCTTCTGCGTAGACAATATACATAAGGGGTGACAGGGGGTCCCCCTGCACCACTCCAACATTAGTTGGAAATGACTGACGATTGCCAATTGAATAATTCTCCATGTCTTTTAGAATGTTTCTCCCGGGGAAACTCACATGACCAGTTTCTGGTTATGAGCAAGTACAAGCTTGTGTGTACATATAATTATGTGTCTGATGATCGGTTAAAACCGTGAAACTCAGAGTTACAGAAGAAACGCTTTTCGTCCCTCTCAAGTGTGTGTAATTATGTGTACGTGTGTATGTGCACGCGCGTGTGCGTGGACGTGTCGTTTTTTGTGTGTCTAGGTTCCATCGCATTGGTGTAGTAGTTATGTTCCTTCATGACAATGCTGACATTTGTCTGGAGGCAGGCAAATTGACCATGATGGCACGTCACCGTGGCAAAAAGTTTGATCAGATCATGGATCACGTTTCCACGTTCTGCTTTGTCATGTTCATGCTGTCCTGGTAAGTTGTGGTTGCCATCAGTGGGGGACATCTTGCTGTGCTCTGCCAGTACTTGGAAGTGTGTCTCTGCTACATGATATGCAGCTTCAGGGATGAATTTATCCGGTATCGCATCGCAGTTTGCTACGCAAAATCGATCTACTACTACTCAAAAATCACAGTGACACGCAGAAAACTGCGATACATACATGTACAGGCTATCCATGCTTTTTGTAGCTTACGCCACAATGGACCACTTGCCATTTGTACAGATCCACGAAATCCCGTAGACCCGGAAGGGTGTTGAATGTGCAGGACCCTATTGTGTTTTCGGCTATTTCCACTAAGAAATGGGGCCTGAAGGCATTTCATACGAAAACCTTTTTCTGACAAAGATCTAGCTAGTCATTAGTTCTAACCAAAGTGAAGAAGCTGGAAAAGCGATTGCCGGTCATTGAATTATGACGCGAAAATTGGCCAAATGCGCATGCATAGCACACATACAACACCCTTCCGGGTCTACGGGATTTCGTGGATCTGTACAAATGGCAAGTGGTCCATTGAGATTTTGCATAGCAAAAACTGCTATGCAAAAACATGACAGTAAATTCATCCCTGAGCTTTGTTATGCGTCTTCTTAGAAGGGTTCGCAGCGAAGTTTGGAAGTCTGGAAAAAGTTTGGATTTTATAATTCTATTTTCCAGGTCTGGAAACAGTTTTGAAAAGGCGCTCCTTTTGAAAAAGTTTGGAATTTCGATTTTTTGGCCGCAGATGTGCTGCACTCCTGCAGTGCAAGTGGCCGTTTTGACCACCGCGATAGCAGGCGATGCGTGGTGTTCACTGCATGTACAAGTCTCGAACAGTCATGCCAGTGCAGCTCAAGCGCGGCCGGTGATAACTTTTATTCGGCCGTTTTTCGTTACTGGCGCTCGCGCTCGACTTTGATTCTTAGAAGTCGAGACAGCAGGACGGCGAGGTCTTTTCGCACTCGGATGAGTTTGCTGGCGAGGATGAAGCCGTCCTTTGCGCTGAGACGGACACCAGCTGTGTAAAATTAATGTTTCATTGGAAACCCCTCTGGAGGCGGATTTGAACTTACGGAGGGGAACTCTCGTCGTAGGAATTCCCCTGCTATTTTCGGGGGCTCTAGCTGCTGAAGGCGATATCATTGTAATGCACCTTCGTGAATTTGTTGATGGTAGTGGTGCCAGGCCATGGAGGATTTTACTACTCCCTGGTTGTACTCGTGGAGAAGACAGTCGTTCAGAAGAGATTTATAACCTATTTTTTCCTGCACGAGTGGGTTTGGAAAGTCTTGAAATTGGTTTGGAAAAAGTTTGGAATTTTTTTGCTTGGTTTGCTACGGTTCTAGTAGAAGGCGGCACGTAGTAATCCCAGGTGCCTGGTTTTAAAACTACACATACTGCAGAGTGTAGAAGGGCTTTTCTCGTAGGCGCATGAGGGCACTCGGCCAGTTAGGATCGGGAATCCCGCCTGCGAAGGAGATATTAAAATGTTGTCTGGTGCGCGTTTGCTTCAAAGACCTCATGTTACATTGTATTGCCGTTGAGAAGTAGAAGTACAGCCTATCCACCACCTTGATGCGTCACTTCCCAGCTGGTTTCACAGCAAACAGAAGAAATTAGGGCTGCCTGGTGGAGAGAGTATAATCTGCGACAATGTCATGCCGTGCTATGTTTTGAATGTGCAAGATTAAACTTGCCATGCAGTATACTAGGACAGTCAGACCTCACTTAACCGCACACATCCGCTTTCCACGAAAATATCCGGATAGGCGAGGGAACCGGATAAGCGAACACACATACTGTATGTATGCATGATATATGCTGTAAATCGGTAACCAACGATTTTCTTCCGGATGGCGAGAGATCCGGATTAAGGAGGACCGGATAAGCGAGGTCTGACTGTATTGCAACGTTCTTTTCTATCTGATCCCACTCAGTGCTGGTACTAGCTGCATGTGTTGCATTTGACTTGACCGATGTTGTATGCACATACAAACTGCAAACAGATACAGCCCGCCAGTCCGAAACTGTATAGTGCTGAAGTTGCTTCCACAGAGAGAAAGTTGACAGCAGACAGATTAATGGCACTTTATTGCAAGAGGCCGTGCTACACGGTATCCATATCATCAAGAGTACATACCCCCCCCCCCCCAAGAGTGTGCAACTGCCTGCACAACCTCTATACAGTGCTGCGATAGCAGAACTTCACATCACGTGACATGGTTCAAAAGCTTACGCTGGGAAATGGTGCAAAGTGACCACAAGAGAGTTGAACCCAAAGCAGGGTTGCGTACAACCCTGTATCTATCATGCACAGGGTACAAATAATGTGTACGGGTAAGTCACGTGATGTGAGGTTCTGCCGTCACAGACCCTGTAGCTGGAGTAAAACACTCTTGGGGGTTATGTACTCTTGGTATTAGGGACCTTTCGCATTTGCTACGAATCAAATGCGAAACGAAAGTTTGATTCGGCTCATAATCGTTTCGTTGAAAACAGATTCAGGTTTCGCAAGTCGTCATGCAAATGTGCATGGTAACTACGAATACGCCCGGTAGCTTGGCGTACGGGTGTTTACACGCACACGTGCATGGATCATGGAATCAAGGGAAAAATGTGTATTCGGCCAAATAAATGTGTACCTGATGGATTCGGAGCGCGCCACGAATGAAGAGGCTTCCAATCGTGAAAACGACCTCTCCGCAGGGACTCTGACGAATCCTCGAACCCAGGTGACAAATCAGCATTCGTTTCGTATCCGTACGCTTGGTGCGAAAGGTCCCTATCACCCCTATTATCCGAACTAGCTTGTATGTCTGTGTGTGTATGTGCGACTACTTCTGGCTAGATTAACTCTTGTGTAATCATGGTGCTAGTGAAGCTTATATCAGATCCACTCTGATTTAGCCACCCACATTAGTAGCAAGTATTACCTTCACTGGGGGCAGAGGTAAATGCAGTTGGATCCCGGGACGGATACTCTGATACCGTCAATCCTTTTTCTGCACCTTGTCCTCACCCACTTACTGTGGTGTGGTGAGCCCGTAAGTGGGATCATTTCTGAGTCCACCCAAGTTTGGGGATTTCAGGGGGTGTCGGCCGTTGGGCGGTTCAATAGCCAACTGAGTCATTTTTCCGAGATTTCCTTTTGAGCCTCTCTCCCGGGGAGATCCACGTGACCAGTTTTGGCAGTAAGCAAGTACAAGTATGTGTATGTACGTTTGTGTGTTTGTGTAATTGTGTGCTTGTGTGTGTGTTTGTGTGTGTGTGTGTGTTTCACTCCTCTCAGGTTCCTATTGCGACTGGTGATCTACGTTCGCGCTGTGCTATACTCAACAGCATACGTGGCACCCTTGTTGATCGAAGCGGGACCATTTTGGTTAGGCTTTAACTGTCTGTTGATCATTCTCTACTTTATGAATGTTTGGTGGTTCCAGTTCATTTTGCTGGCTGCTGTCCGCATACTCACTGGTAGTACTTTGAATGATACTCGCGAAGACACAAGTGATGATGAGACTGATGATACCACCCAGGAAGGTGACACGGTTGCTACTCGGGCTAATCGCCTCAGTGAAGATGATCAATCTGCTCACGCTCAGATGCGCTTGCAAAAGCTTCTGAATATGCCAGAAAACAAAGCCCCGTCTGATGCTGTGTCACCGAAGGGCGTTACGACAGCAACTGAAGATGTTCATGAACTTGCACCTGGACAAAGTGCCAGTCAAACTACCAATCGTAGACTTCGCTCTCGTCAGTCTTAGTTGTTGAATTTTGCTCGCCCATCGGTGCGAGTGCAGCACAAGGAAGTCCAATGTGTACCGCCGCTGCAGCGTTTGCCATTTTATTTTACTGGTGCACAATTTGCTTCCTTGCCCACTTGCTGCCAGTCCCCCTCCCTCCCCCCCCCCCCCCCCCCCACACACACAAACATCTCTATCTTATTATAATTGTCTCATTTTAGTAGCAGTAGTAGTAGTTATTGTTGTTGTGGTGTCTGGTGCATTAATTACTGCATATCTTTGCCTCTTTCATCAATATTATAATGCTGTTAAAGAAAATTTCATACTGGTCATTTATGTGAAATTTAAACTATATTTAACATTCTATTATAGCTTTCTGCTAGAAAGCATATCTATAGGTGGCACCACCATTCTTTTTTCTTTTACTGCACTTTGGCATGTGCCATGCTGACAGCGTTGATGTTTGTCCGCACACACCTGGCGCCCCTGCACATTTGTAATTCTGTACAAGCAGAACATTTCACCGAACTCCAAAGAAAAGGAGTTCGTCCGGTTGTAAATTCCGTCCATAAATCATAAGAGTGTATTGAAAAACTGGATAAATCGACATTAGTCCGGCATTTAATTTAGTCCAAAAGCTCCTTGGACGAAAAAGACGAAATTAAAATCATGATACAAGTGCAACAAAACCACTAGAGGAAACACAAAAAGGTAACAAGATTACGTAACCAAAGGTGAGAAGGCACTGAAGTTCAGAACGAAGTGTCAACCTACGAATACAACCTAGGTGCTACAAATACAACGTGCTCTTTCTGCTTACACAAAACTGGTTTATGAATACATATACAAACTGCCTCGAGGACTTTCAACTGCTGGACATAACGTGCACGACGCAGCACAGAAAAATGAGAGTCATCATACACACTAAGACAGCCAGGACGAGATAAGTGTAGATACACAGCCGACTTCTTACGAACAACACATTCATCCGCCTCATCTCGCTCTTTCCCATCCGATCCCTCATCCACCTCGTCCTCTGTCTCTTCACCGGCCGTTTCGTCATCCAATTCCTCTTCCATCTTCTCCTCATCCGTCTCATCCTCCATTTCTATACAGACCACCTGTCTCCCATTTGCTAGCTGCTCGTCCCGTGACCGGCATTGTTCCTCCAGATCTGCTTCACTCACTGACACATGATACTGTTCGACCCTCCTCCTGTTGGTACTGTCCGCAACGCTTGGTCATTGGCCGTTTCTGGCATAAATCTCTGTGGAGTAGTTTGCTGCCGGGGTAATTTGTGTGAGAGTTGGTGATGCCAGCGCGGGTGTATGTGGGTCCACCCCAGCCCCCGCCACAAGAAGAGCCGGTGGCGACAAGGGCAACGGTGGTGCTGATGGGTTGGCAACTTGGGCAGCCTAGCTCTCTCACACGGCACTGCATTTAGTGTTGGCTCAGTCTGTACCACTGGCAAATGGGATGGGTTCTTGCGCGGTCGACCACGTTTCGGCCACTTGGATTTAGCTGCATCCGGCAGAATATGCAGCAGGACATGCTGTTTGATACGTGCGGTCAGGTGTTGAAGGGTCCTACCAACGTAGATCTACCGGCTACCACAATTCCGGCACTCAAAGTGGTAAACCAAATGGCTCAAAAGATGGGATGGTAGGACGTCCTTCCTCACCATGAACGCATGTATCGTCGTGAATACACGAATGAAGTGTACTGCGAAGTATGTTTTCATTACTAGCGTCTTGACTGCGCGGCACATGGTCAGCGATGTGTTTCCTTTCCAAGGCAAACAAAAATTAATTGGGCATCGAACAGGACCAATGCTCACTTCTTTCTGAAGCAAAATGGAACACATTGCCAGTCATGTGCTGGTCATTGTGATAAATGCGTAATCAGTTCAAGTGCTTTCGACGTAATGTTAGCTCTACTGAGAATGGTGCTGGTAGAGGTACTACCAAGAGTAGATAAACAAGAGTGTGCAACTCCAGCTAGTATGGGGTCTGCGACGGCAGAACTTCACATCACGTGATGAACCCGTGCACTCTAGTGCATGATAGATACTGGGTTGTACGCAGCCCAGCTTTGGGTACAACTCTCTTGTGGTCACTTTGCACTGTTTGCCAGCATAACCTTTTGAACCATGTCACGTGATGTGAAGTTCTGCCGTCGCAGCACAGCATAGAGGTTGTGCAGGCAGTTGCACACTCTTGTTTATCTACTCTTGGTACTACCAAGAGTATACATTGTATAACCTCTGGGGCCCAGCTTATGTACTCTTGAGTCTTGGTACTACCAAGAGCTACTCTTGGTACTACCAAGAGTACATGTCTTGGTACTACACACACCCACGTTGCACTGTACTGTCGGTTCAACATCGTAAAAATCGTAAAAATAAAAATAATAAAAATCCAATCATTAAAAAAAACTGTACTGTCAAAAACCTTCCGTATTGTACATGTAGGCACATGTACAATGTAGCGCTATCGATTTGAGGAGTGTTGAGTATTTTCCACTATGGCATAACGTTATAAACAAAATAGGCAAAAACAAATCCTGTTGAGGGATGAGATTCATAATAGTACACTGCTGCCACTGGTACATGTACGCCCGTTATATTTCTGAGACACAGCACTAGCATCAGTGACTCGAAATGGAGGATGGCACTCGCCAGATCATTGTTCTTTGTAGTAATACTAATAGTAACAGCATCTGTATACAGCCATGGACTCTAGCAAGTCAGTATAATGTGAATACAGTACATTGCAGTATGTGTGCTCGCTGCATGCAGTGCAGCATTGACCAGGCAGCTGGCTGCATGTAGTAAAGTAAAATATGTACAGTCAACTTGGCTAATAACGACTGCGGATATAATGACAATTCGCGAATAACGACAGAATTTCCATGCCCAGAGCAAAGTCCCATCTAATTGTAATACATAATGAGACTTCGGATATAAGGACACTTCGCGAATAACGACACTTTTCTGATGCCCGCCAAGTGTGGTTACTAGTATACGCAAAGTTGACTGTACATGTACTGAGTCTGTACTGAGTCTGTACTGAGTCTGTACTGAGTCTGTACTGAGTCTGTACTGAGTCTGTACTGAGTCTGTACTGAGTCTGTACTGAGTCTGTACTGAGTCTGTACTGAGTCTGTACTGAGTCTGTACTGAGTCTGTACTGAGTCTGTACTGAGTCTGTACTGAGTCTGTACTGAGTCTGTACTGGCTAATGTCCTGGCCATACATGTGTTACAGTACAGCCAGTGCTGGCAATTCATACAATTTGTGTATCACATATAATTATGGTTATAGAAATACTTCTGAAATAGTGAAGTGCATTCCAATGCTGCATGCAGGAGCATTGCATTTCCCACTGGTCCACCGGTCCACCATCAAACCTTATGCTAGCTTAATAGCCATGAATAAACTGTGTCATATAATCCGCCCATGATATGTCGTCATGATCAAGAGTATGCATGCACATGTACGTGTACGTGTACTAGTACATTGTAATCATCATGGAATGGTGTACCTCATGGTCAACACTGAGACAGTGAGAGAATAATAGAATTAGGGATTGATCTAATGATGGCTGTGGCTTCACACTTATCCTGCTTGTAAGTGCATGTATATGCCAACAGTATGTGCAGTGTTGAATAGCACAGCACTGTACGATGAATAGATGAATACTAGTATGTGTGTGTCTGCCCATTTCTAGTTGTGTGATGCCATGGTGCCAGCCGTTTAGCTTCCTGGGGAATATCTCCCCTACTTGGGTAGGACCCGGAAGGGCAGTCACTTTACCTTCGCAAACAAGTCCATGCCATGGGCATGGGTAGAAAACTGACCGGTCGACCGTGACCAGGTTATTTTTCCGGCTGCGTCATGTCGCTGTGAAGGGCTTACCTCTTGTACTCCCACTGGCACTGCTGGCTGGGCACCAAACTGGGGAAAAGGTCAAGAGACATGCACATGGCCCATCATGGTGCTGACACCAGGTACATGTACCTGTATCATGACTGTACATGACTTGTACTACACTCTTAGTACATTACGTCTTAGTACATTACGTCTTAGTACATTACGTCTTAGTACATTACGTCTTAGTACATTACGTCTTAGTACATTACGTCTTAGTACATTACGTCTTAGTACATTACGTCTTAGTACATTACGTCTTAGTACATTACGTCTTAGTACATTACGTCTTAGTACATTACGTCTTAGTACATTACGTCTTAGTACATTACGTCTTAGTACATTACGTCTTAGTACATTACGTCTTAGTACATTACGTCTTAGTACATTACGTCTTAGTACATTACGTCTTAGTACATTACGTCTTAGTACATTACGTCTTAGTACATTGTACATTTTAAAGTATGTGAGCAATGCACGCACGCACAAGTCAATGACCAGTGTAGAGATGCCAGAAACAACACTGAATGAGAATGTAGACCTTCTGCACGGGGCTTCGGACTACAACTAAATTGTTACTTACAAAACTGCAAAGATAAAGTCTCCACAGCAAGTCACTAGCGTAGCGGCTGGTAGATCTACGTATCTGCTGCTAAGTGTACAGTCAGTGGCTAGCTAGCGAGGAGTGACTGTGCTTTTTTTAATTATTATTTACATAGTCATTCGTAAACTACTACACTACAGTACTTGAGTCAGAGAGAACTAACTTACTTGTGTCGTAATTAGTTAGTTGTGTCGTAAGTAACTACAATGTAGTTGTGATATATCCGGTAGTTCCAGGACACCCGACAGCGCCTAGCTAGGCCAAGGGGCACTGTGACCCAGGCCAGGGCTGCATCTGGCGTTGCACTGCCCCAAACTCGCCCATTTATCAATCCCAAGGAGCAGGCCAAACCATTACTTGGCATTACAATCATGATTGTAGTATATTATTAATATTAGTGGGCGCGGACTCTGCGGAGCTCCAGATTGGCCCCGGTCTGGCCCAGTACTGGCAGTAGCTAGTGAGCGTAGAGTCTAGTCATGCATCGTGGTTATCTCAAGCTAGCGCCCGTCCAGCGCATTCGTTGCAGTGACACTGACAGTCAGTCCGCTGCATACATTGCCATTGGGTTGGCGTTGATGAGTTGCAACGTCAGATAGCGCTGCTTCCGCCTCAAATACACATTTTTGTCAAGCACAACCTCTTGTCCACGGCGATAGGGTCCTTCAAATAAGGCTTCGTTGTGGTGCTTTGTGCGCGGGCATCGCGTCTGTCGCGGCCATAGGGTGCACCCTACACAGCAACACCCGTCGTAGATCAACCGACCGTGTGCTCCTATCACCAAACATCGAAGCGTCGACTACTATCCATGATCCATGACATGCTCCGTGGTGGTCCGTGGTGGTCCGTGCTGAGCATACCGATCCGTGAACAATCGTCCAGCTAGCTAGCCCACGGATGTGAGTGAAATCCGGGCCTTTCCCTGCTCACTTCGATGGCGTATGACGGTATGTATGGCATATGGCTATGGCCATGGCCATGTGCGTATGGACATGCGCGTGCGGCCTTGCAGGCGCGTAGATCTACTGGCTGCATGCAGCACACGTCGAAACTGAAGTTTTGTTTACAATGTCCGGGTCCGGGTTGGCGATATCTTTCAGTCCGCTTCTGAAATGTCCTACATGCGCTAGTTTGTTGTTTCTCAACGACGTATCCAGAGTATTTCGGCAGCAGTTGTGAACGGCCTATGCCCATAAACACTCCCTGCTCCTAACGGGACGGTTACGTTTAGTGATCACTCAAGGACAGCGTTGCTGTTTTCGCAACGGCTGCAGGCATCGCTCACTTTTGCATTGTAGTGCTGGCTATTTTGATCCTGAAGAAAGCCGAAGATAGTATGTGGAAGAGCTGGCGTGTCGCGCGAACGCTGTGTGGGAAACTCTAGATTGTGTGTAGGCTGTCAGTAACATCTCCGCTTGTGCCAGTTGACCGCCCAGTGCCGTACCGCACAACAACCTGCTACAGTACCTGTACTATTTTTACACCGATAATACTGCAAGCGATCTGTGATTTTCAGCAGCAGTAGCAGAGGCAGCAACAACACTAGTTCCCGTCCCCGTCTTACCATTTTGCAAGAAGCATGTCGAGTGTTGACGGCATGTCCGCGCCAGCACCTCCTTGTCGCCGCACTACTTCCGTCAGACAGCGATTGGGAAAGAGCACGATGCACTCGTACATAGCGGTTGTTGGACTACCGGCTTACGATCTAGGTGTCAGCAATGACTCTGAGAACACCGGTGCATTATCAGGTGTTGGAAAGTCGTGCTTGTGTTCGCGGTTTGTTCTACCATCATGTGACGACTACATCGTAACACGGGAAGCGCATTCTAGCATTGTATCAAACGTAGAATTCAACGATCCAGAAATAGATGGCGTCCATTACCTGTACTTCGGAACGGTGCTGAAAGTACTGGATTCCAAAAGCGTGGTGTTCCATGTAGTGGAACATACAACATTCTATGATGCCAATGCAAGCGTCCACGTGGGTGGCGAGGATTATACAGCAAGGGCTACAGTACAGTCATTGCACAGACCCAGCAAGATCAGCTACATCGGCAGTCGATTCAAAGGAGTTGTGCCGCAAGCCAGGGAACAGCTGCCCAAGCGCTTGAGCACAAATGGCGGGTCCGGAAAGGGCGTGCAAGGTAGTGTCCTTGTTCTCGATCCCACTGTCGAACCGAATACTGTTGCCAAGCAAGTGTCATTGTTGAGTGACGTGGCCGAGCGGCTGAGGCAAGCGGATCAACCTTTTGTAATAGCGCTAAGTAAGTGTGACGTGTGTGGATCAGAACAGACGCACAGTGCAATTACAGCTATACGAGAGGTGCCGACGCTCAGACATGTACCCGTGTTTGAAACATCAGCAAGAACGGGAGTTGGCATCAACGAAGCTTTCTTTCACTTGTATGACCTGATCTCACAAAGATGCAGCTCGGGAAGATCGCCGAATACTGCTGCTGCAGCTGTTGTGGAAAGTGTTTTCTCCTGGCGAGACGTGGGAAATTGGCGTGACTTAAGGTATCAAGATTCCGCCCGAGCACAGTGGTTAGCACGGGTACGAGCCGTAGAGGGCGCTCAAGAAGTGCTGCGTTCTACTGTCTTGGATGCGTCTATTACCTGGGCTGCTTATCTGGAACTGATTGGCAAGAATCAGTTCATTGCTGCTCTGATCACACTAAACGGACTGGAGTTTTGCCGGACGGTGTTCAAACAACACGTACTGCAATTACAGTCAATGTCACTGCAAGAAGGCCAAGAAGACCATCGTGCAGCAGATCTACAGGAGTTCATCAGCAAACATGTGGACTTTGCTATGGACAGCAAGCCACTCGACCTCGATGCCTTTTTGTAAGTTGTTGAGCTTTTGAGGTGCACACACATGCATGCACGCACGCTCTCTCTCTCTCTCTCTCTCTCTCTCTCTCTCTCTCTCTCTCTCTCTCTCTCTCTCTCTCTCTCTCTCTCTCTCTCTCTCTCTCTCTCTCGCAGGCATGACGTAATGCATAAAGAGACATTATAAAATGCGTAGCTGTTGTTAGTGTAGTGCATGCATGCATGGCCCGTAGCCACAAGATAAACTGCATCATATGACTGTTATAGTCAGGCTGTTGGCCGTAAAGCTAAGGTATAGCTATACTTGGAAGCCTTCACTCCATTCTTGTCCCTGTCAGCAATGCCAGCAATGTGTTGTACTGTGGGCACTGTTGTCACAAAGTCTTGCTGGCATGATCTATTTTGACAAGTCACGTTTGCAACAAGTATGTAGGCCAGTATGCAGTACCTATACACCAGTGAAGAGACTGTTCTGTTTGGGCTGGACTATCCAACCAGGTGATTTAGCCACGGCCAACCAGGTAGAACGCTGCATTCCATTCCTTGTTGATGGAAATAGTAGCCCCATGTAACTGTTATTAACAGTGACATGCTAAGTTGCTAATAATACCCCATAACAGTGACATGCTAGTAATACTCCCACGAATTTCCTTGTCTGCAGGTGTCCCCCCCCCCCCCCCCACGGGATATGGGGCAAGCTTTTTACATGAAAAACTTGCGTTGCTCCTGTAAGCATCATAGCACGTTTGTACTAAGCCTTCCGAGTTTGTTTGTTACTCCTGTCGATTATTACTTCATGCTCTTGCTGCAGCGAGCCACTCTCTCTGGCACACTGGATTGTGCCTGGTGAGGATGACGAGGAGACGTATGCCAACAGTGCTGATGAGATCAGTCCGAAAACCGAAAGACATTCAGAGTACGTGACTGCACACATACGCTCACATACACACATACACATACACACACACACACACACACACACACATACACACACACGTACACACACACACGCACACACATACACATACACACACACACACATACACACATATACACACACATGCACGCACATACACACACACACACACACACTCACACACACACACATACACACACATACACTCACTCACACACACACATACACACACATACACACACATACACTCACATACACTCACTCACTCAGACATGCCCATCGCGGAAGCGATGATGGCGAACAGCTATGTTAGACATAGCAACTTTTGCTGGGATTACACCATTCAACAGCTTGCAAGGCTGATGAATTGACCACCACTAATTTTAGCCTGGTATCCACTACACGGCTGGTTTGAACTTGAAGTGGCTTTTTCTGGCCAGTGAATCCCTATTTTTCATTTTTCAATTTTCCATTTTTTTTTAACCACACCACATACTCTGGCATACACTGGCTGTTGGTAACCACCAGGGAGTCGTACTCAAACTAGGGAGGTGACACGGCACAGAAATCCGTGTCACAGGGGTTGACTCGCACCTGTGACCAGTGACCCCTCGTTGTTATTTTTGGAATAGTTCAGTCCAGTCCAGTCCGAAAGGTCATACTCGGATCGACTCGCCTTCTGTACTTCACCTCCAAGCGTGCCGCATGGGTGTCTAGTTTTTGAAATTATCGAGGCAGCACATTTCGTTTACAGCCCATCACTCGCCAGTATTCTTTGAAAGACTACCAGCAATTTGTTTAGCTCCTGCCATGTCCGAACTACTTGATAGCAGTGATGGCAACAGCAGCAGTTATGAGACGGCGTGTAGTGTTGTGGTAACTGTTCAGAACTGTTCAGAGTCGTATCCTAGGTTAATCTGAATACTAAAAATTGACCCAAATATTAATTAATTGCACATAACACGAAGCTGGTTTTTGAAAATTGTAAGTCGTGTATCTGCCCCATTTCTTCTTTATGACTTGCACAATACACCAGTCTTCGTAAACAACACATTTATAGCAGGGGTTAAGTACCATATAAGAGAAGTACAGCCAGTGATATTGTCATGTTGAAATACTACAATTTTGACACAAATTACACATAACACGAAGCCAGGTTTTGAAAAATGTAAGTCATGTATCTGCCCCATTTCTTCTTTATGACTTGTACAATGGTCCAGTCTGCCTAAATAACACATTTATAGCAGGGGTTATGTACCATATTAGAGAAGTACAGCCAATGATATTGTCATGTCTAAATACTACAATTTTGACACAAATTACACATAACACGAAGTTGGTTTTTGAAAATTGTAAGTCGTGTATCTGCCCCATTTCTTCTTTATGACTTGCACAATACACCAGTCTTCGTAAACAACACATTTATAGCAGGGGTTAAGAACCATACAAGAGAGCTACATTGTACATCTAGTCATACTGTCATAAACAGCCAGCATTTTTCCTGCAGCAGTCACACCGCCATCATCGTTATTTCCAGGGAAATCCTCTTACATTGTCAGCTCCTACGTCGTTAGATACAATAGGGGGCTGTAGGACCGGCTCGTCAAAAATAGAGAACCTGAACAAGCGTGCTCGGGACGTCTGAGCAATCGTAGTATGCCTGAGCACTCCAATAAAAACTTGATCAATGGCAAAATCGTTCGCCACAGAAAAATCATACTTTGCGGGTCTTGCGTTGCACGCTTGGAGGTGAAGTACAGAAGGCAAGTCGATCCGAGTATGACCTTTCGGACTGGACTGAACTATTCCAAAAATAACAACGAGGGGTCACTGGTCACAGGTGCGAGTCAACCCCTGTGACACGGATTTCTGTGCCGTGTCACCTCCCTAGTTTGAGTACGACTCCCTGGTAACCACCCAGGAGAACGAAAGAAGAGCTACAAGTACAAAGTTGTAGGAGAATGAGAAAGAGCAGAAAGACGTGTGCGGCCATAATCGTCAGGAATTGAACCCGCAACCTCTCGATTGGAAATCAACTGCACATACCACTGCACCATAAGGGACACACACACACGCGCGCGCACACACACACACACACACACATGCACACACACACATACACACACATACACATACACACACCTGTCCTGTCCTGAACATTGCCGTTTCCGGTCACATGTCCCCTCGTGTGAGGGGCCGACAGACATGGAGAGTTGGGTTGAGGCGCTGTGTCGCGTCAACGTCCTAGCGAGATTTCCCAGCCATTTCATTGATACACACACACATACACACACGCACACACGCACACACACACACACACACACACACACACACACACACACACACACGCGCGCGCGCGCACGTTGCTAATGTGATACTGCTCTGCTGTTTCTTGTGCATGTTTATGTTGATCCTGCCGCGGATACCAGTCTCTACTTCAGATGGGCAGTGGATGAAGTGTTTGGCTTGGCTGAGAAACCATCATTGGACAAGCAGCAAAGCACTGCATCTGCAGATCTGTGCTTGGAAGCGCCTCTCGGTGAAGAGTGTTCTACTGATCCAGTGTCTTTGCTAAGAATAGCTGAAGCAACAGAGAGCAGATGGCCATTGCAAGGCGGGTCACCGCAGCAAGATACCCAGTCCATGGCGGACAGCGGGTGGACTGCGGATGACGAGTGTTACTACATCGTTGGTCCGACGTACAGCGGCGGGGTGCAGCAGACTAAGACGCTTTTGCACAAACTCACGCGTCGGAACATGTCAATAGTAACTGACGACTCTGACATTCTGAGCTGCACTTATGTGGATCTTTCTGGAACTTCGCAAGATGTACAAGAATCCAGCGAGACGTCAGATTATGAAGAAGACACACTTTCGCAAGATCGCTTAAGTCCCAATCTTCATCATCTACCTGTGGTAAGTATGTGACAATAGCGACCGTTCGCATTTGCTACGAATCGAATGACAAACGAAAGTTTGATTCGGCTCGTAATCGTTTCGTTGGAAATAGATTCAGGTTTCGCAAGTCACGCAAATGTGCATGGCAACTACGAATACGGCCGTACGGGTGTTTACACGCACACGTGCATGGATCATGGAATCAAGGGAAAAAGGTGTACGTGGCAAAACATGTGTACCTGGCCAAACAAATGTGTACCTGACGGATTCGGAGCGCACCACGAATGAAGAGGCTTCCATTCGTGAAAACGAGCTCTCCGCAGGGACTCTGACGAATCCTCGAACCCAGGTGACGAATCAGCATTCGTTTCGTATCCGTACGCGTGGTGCGAAAGGTCCCAAATATCCCTGGAGTGGACTCCCACTCCACCCTCACCCCATGATATGAACTGATACTGTGTTCTTTCTATGGTTATGATTAGTCAGCTAGTGTAAGAAGAATATATGTAAGAGATTTCCAGGGCTGAAATTGTCCAGCGGAAAGCCTTGCCAGCACCCTTTTAATTCACGTTTTAATTCACACCTGGCTTTTAATTCACGCCTGGCATCAAACTGAGTAGCATACTAATATCCTTGAAAAAGCCTCAGTGTGGTGTAGTGTAGTGTAGTGTAGTGTAGTGACTGTGTAGTGTAGTGTAGTGTAGTGTGGTGTGGTGTGGTGTGGTGTGGTGTGGTGTGGTGTGGTGTGGTGTGGTGTGGTGTGGTGTGGTGTGGTGTAGTGTAGTGTAGTGTAGTGTAGTGTTGTAGTGGAACTGTACTTTTTGCACACAGTGCACTGTGAGATTTCATTCTCACTTCTTATCAGTTCGCTTCCAGGGTAGGGAAGTGTATGACCTCCACCTTTTAAAAACTATATGCATAGAGAGGTGGAGCTTTGTACTATTCGTATGCTGAATTCGGTTGCTTCTGCTGCATCTTTTCACTGTCCAGCAAAAGATTCATCCCGGGAAACCACCCAGCCAATCAGGAGGAAATGAAGGCATGGGCAAATCCAAGGCAGCGACACTTCGAGGAGGACTATCGACTCTGAAAACAGCATTGCGTGACAAGGCTACAAAGACAACAACTTTGATCTCCAAGGCCAAGGTCAATCCACGGACGTTTGGCCGGAAAACGAGTCCAAGCACAACTGACGGCAGCAGAACAGTGGATTTGTTGGCAAAGTCAATTGGTTCTCCTGCACTGGTAGTTACAGCTCATGGTACTACATCTACTGAAAGAGCCAAGAAAAGTTCTACTGGCGGCGTGCGGGGCACTGACGTGCCAGACTGTCCACAAGAAGACCTCTTCGAGGTAGAGGAAGATCAAGATGTCTACGAATGTGTTGTCAATGACTCTAGCTCCTTATCCGTCAGCAGTGTTGAACTCGCACGTCCATCAGCTACTCCATCGGGAGAGGTATGTCCTGTATAGGTGCTATGCTTCACTGGAGAAGTTAATAGCTCTGCCACTGATGTAGTGCTCTGCCACTGATGTAGTGCTCTGCCACTGATGTAGTGCTCTGCCACTGATGTAGTGCTCACAAACAAATTCTTGTCTGTTCGCGCCTTGAATGCGAGCATTAGAGGTCGAAAACATGCAGTGTGCAGTGTGCAGCATATCCACCAAAATTTAGTCTTTGAGAATCTACTTACTTCCCTTGTAGGCACGTAACTTTCTTCAACTGTTGTGTGGTACCAGGGGTGTCACCGGGCAGTGTGGGGTGTCCACCGGGGGGAAATCGGATCATAGTTTTCGGCCGCGCGGCACGTTTTAGCACTCTGCAGGCCGCTCTGGGCGGACCGTCGTGGACGAAAAGTGGTACGGCCATGGTCGTACTGGTCGTACCGTGTGTGACCGCGGCCCCTCTGGGTATGCACTATACTTGTGACCGCGGCCCCTGGGTATGCACTATACTCTGGGTATGCACTATACTCTGGGTATGCACTATACTTCGGATACATGTTACGCTATGGCATGTACTAGTATCATGATCACTTTCAGTTAGTAAGGTTTTATCAAGTGTTAGTTAAAGTGATTCGAATTTCGGTCCAAAAAGGTTGCACAATAGTGACAATACTTGTTTTGCATGCTGATCATAGTACATGTAACGTTTGCCTCATTTGCTGTCCAGAACACCGATGGAGATGATGTGTATGCAAGTGTGGAGCATGATGAGTCGTCATTACAATCGCAACATGCCCCTAGAAGACTAAGCCCATCGCTAAGCGATTCGGGACACTTGAACAAGGCTCTTTCTCCGTCTACTAGTCAGTCATCCAGTTTTGGTACAAGTATTCCGGGCCGCTCTCTGCTGCCTGCACCACCACCTCCAGGTGTGTTTCAGACAACCAGTGGGGAGCTAATCCATCGACCATCACCTTCTCCGGGGCCAAGTCCCAGTCCTGGACTACCACCAGCCCTTCCAGCAAGAAATCGTGCGTCTACATCCGGAAAAGCAACAGTACCAAAAGTGAAGCCTCCTAAGCCCAAGAGACCTCCACCGAAAGCTCCCAGCTCCTCTGTTCCATCTCAGACAACACCAAATCCATTGGATGATGCCAGTGCGGCAGCAACTGAAGAGATGCTGTATGAAGATGCTGTGGAATCAGTCAGCAATAGCCCCAACTCCTCTGTTTCAGCTCCTCCGTCGGTGTCCGTAACCAGCCAGGAAGGCGTGGAACAGTATGACCCAGCTACAGACGATGTGTATGAAGTCATGCAGAGTTCAGTCGGCGAAACATCTCAACTTCAAAAGCAGGAGTCACTACCTGAAGAGTATGTGCTTCCATATCCCATCCCCACAAGCCAGCATAAAGCACCCAGTGGCTCAGTGAAGACCAGTGATCCAGTAGTGGCTGAAGCAATTGGGAGCGATGATCTGTATGATGATGTGGTACCAGCAGCTACAGACAGTCATAACACCAACACACCGGCACAGCGGTATAGTCCTGCCATAGCCACTCAGGGAGCTGTGGATAGCACAAGTGACCTGTATGAAGATGTTGCGTTTGAATCGCCGGAGAGAGCATCGGTTCCTGCGACATCGACACGTGCCAGTGTTGCGACAAGCAGCATCAGCACTGGTGCTACTGGTGCTCACGGTCGTGGAGCTAGCACTGCAGCTGGCACTGTGACACGCTTCAAGCCACCAAGCAGCCAGGCGGCAAAAAAGCCTCCACCTCCAACAATCAACAGGGAGATGAAACCCACTCCTAAGAGTACCACTTCACTTCCTCCCACTCTGCCACCTCGCATATCCCCGGAACTACCATCGTCGAAAGCACAGCAACCTCGACTAACCCCGGAACTACCATCATCGAAAGCACAGCAACCTCGACTAACCCCCTCGCCTAAGATGAATAGAAGGACATCGCCCTCACCCAATTCATCACCTCCCCCATTGCCTTCGGATTCATCTAGCCCGGCATCCGCAATATCCCGATCAATGACATCATCAGTAACATCGGCAGAGGGATCACTCTCAGCTAAGAAATCTAGCAGTAAGCCATTTTCCATTCACGATATGCTTGCTGAGGCAGCAGCTGAAGCTGGGGATGTAGATATCTACGAAACTCCAGAAGATGAGCTGCCGGCAACAATGGACAAAGACCGTACCACGGTATGTACTGGAATCATGTTGCCACGCTCAATCAAGGCTTCATGCTTAATGCTGCATGTGTAACCATGGTAGCCTTCAATTAATAATCTCCCTCTGTCATGTGACATCAACTTAGACTGGTCCCAGTTGTCACAAACCGTGATCTAATGCTTGTGATCATGATCTAATGCTTGTGATCATGATCTAATGCTTGTGATCATGATCTAATGCTTGTGATCATGATCTAATGCTCAGTTACTAGGTGTATAGCAGCTGATACCGATCATACATGCTACATGTCCCATCTTTAGAGCTCTGGTCTTCATAGTCCGGACTGCATGCCCGACTGCATGTCCGACTGCATGCCCGACTGCATGTCCGACTGCATGCCTGACTGCAAGCTACAGCGAGCATAGCCAGTAGACTGGCCTGTGTCCGAATTGCATATGCTCTTGACTTCAACCGTCGTCTAGTTCTACAGAGTTGTATGAACACATGCACCACCACCCCCCCCCCCCCCCCCCCGGGCTGGCATGTGTAGTACCCAGGTCATGCACCCCCCCCCCCCCCCCCCGCCCCACCCCCCGGGCTGGCATGTACACCCAGGTCGTGTCCACACTGGCTGGCAGGCCAGGCTGTGTGCCAGGTCATAACCGGGGATTACATACAGCACTCTAGTGCTGTGTTCCTCAAACTCAAAGCCAATGTTGATAACTTGCAGCTGCCGGACAGGCTATTCCCCGGTATGTCAAGTAGATACACCTGTGTAGTGATGGATCTTGCCATGATCTCAGTTCTGCCATGATCTCAGTTCTGGATGATTTCAAGCTTGAAACACTACTGTGCATTATCATCAGAATTCCGGCTGCTTAACCCGGCTAGACCATAGTACCTATACTAGACCATAGTACCTATACTAGACCATAGTACCTATACTAGACCATAGTACCTATACTAGACCATAGTACCTATACTAGACCATAGCACCTATACTAGGCTATAGGACCTATACTAGACCATAGTACCTATACTAGACCATAGTACCTATACTAGACCATAGTACCTATACTAGACCATAGTACCTATACTAGACCATAGCACCTATACTAGACCATAGTACCTATAGTACCTATACTAGGCTTTAGCATTCCGCGCACACAGACGGCATGCAGACAGGCATACATCATTAGCATTCCGCGCACACAGGCGGCATGCAGACAGGCATACATCATTAGCATTCCGCGCACACAGGCGGCATGCAGACAGGCATACATCATTAGCATTCCCCCACACAGACGGCATGCAGACAGGCATACACCACACGAATAAGGCCAGGTTGTGTTGGGCAAGTACTGGTGACAAGGAACTGGTTGGTCTTTGCCGCAAGGTAGGCACGAGCCTGTGAGGCTGCGGGTGCTGCAGAAAGGCAGAAGCCCGGAGGCTGTGATTGCCGCAGGAAGGCAGAAGCCCGGAGGCTGTGATTGCCGCAATGGAAAGGCAGGACCATAAGGCCATAATGCCGCAATAGAAAGGCAGACCAGTTATGAGTGACTCGCCACCAGGTTTATTGTACTTGAAGTAGGAATGATGCAATGTAGTATTAATGGTTAGTGGTGGGATGGTGGGTCAGCAAAAGACAAAGGCAGCAGGATGCAAGTCGGGCATGAGCCAAAGCAGAGAAGACTCAAAACTTAGAATGGCAAGGAGATGTGCCACGTTGCGGACTCGGACCCGATCAAAACTGAATTTTAAATTATTGTGATGGCGTACGCATAAATTAATGTGATGCACAGCAGGCAGTCTTTCCGGTCGCGGCAAGGCGCGCTAAACAAGTGACGCGGCCAGAACCGTAGAGGGCGCTGTTGCGCAGCAGATACGTAGTTGCAAGATGTGCGCCTACGCTAAACTGAATTCATTACATGAATACATCAATAGTAGATGCTTTACTGCTGTACTTGTGTTATGTCTGCTATGAATTCTGGTTTGGTGTACTTAGGTTGCCGCAAAGCCAAGCACTAAGTTGTCTTCGTCTAATGCGGCTAAAAGTAGTCGTCCTGCCCGACCACCGCCACCTGCTGAGAAGCTGCTGAAGATGCGATCCCTGTCGACAGATAGCTCCAGTCCTAGCGGCGACAAGCCGGTAAAGACACTGTTTAACCTGTTGTGTGCGGCGTGCATTGGTCCTCCTCCATTTGTCGCTCCGAGTCCTGTGTAACTCTGCGGTTTCATTGGAGTACTGTGAGCTGGATAATCAATCAGTCTGGTTTTTTTGCCACGTTAGCTGTGATACTGGTGGTTCTGTTTAGCATGTGTTACTACAGTCAACTTGGCTAATAACGACTGTACACTGCGGATATAACGACTGTACACTGCGGATATAACGACTGTACACTGCGGATATAACGACTGCGGATATAACGACTGCGGATATAACGACAATTCGCGAATAACGACAGCATTTCCATGCCCAGAGCAAAGTCCCTTCCAACTGTAATACATATAATGAGACTTCGGGTATAACGACACTTCGCGAATAAGGACACTTTTTTGATGCCCCGCAGAGTGTCGTTATAAGCGAAGTTGACTATACTTAGTGTGAATCTGTGGCCTGGAACTGCGGCCTGGAACTGAATGACTGTACAGGAAAACTTGGTTTAAGCGACCACCCCACGGTGCAAGTGAAAAAGGTCGTTAATGCCAGGTGGTCTTTAGAACCAGGTCCCATACATCTGTGGCATGTCGGATCTTGGACATACATGTACATGTGCACGATTGTACTTCCATGTACTCATATTGACAGGTGTGAGCATAGAATACTTTCGGTACACTAAAAGTCGGTCGCTGGTCGCGCAAGGCAGGTGGTCGCTGTATCCGATGCAGTTTCTGTGTAGAACTGTCCGTGCATGGAAAAACGGTCGTTCAAAGCAGGTGGTCGCTAAAGCCAGGTTTTACAGTATTCCCGGTAGTACATGAGTCACAGTGGTGATAGTCACAGTGGTGATAGTCACAGTGGTGACAGTCACAGTGGTGATAGTCACAGTGGTGATAGTCACAGTGGTGATAGTCACAGTGGTGATAGTCACAGTGGTGATAGTCACAGTGGTGATAGTCACAGTGGTGATAGTCACAGTGGTGATAGTCACAGTGGTGATAGTCACAGTGGTGATAGTCACAGTGGTGATAGTCACAGTGGTGATAGTCACAGTGGTGATAGTCACAGTGGTGATAGTCACAGTGGTGATAGTCACAGTGGTGATAGTCACAGTGGTGATAGTCACAGTGGTGATAGTCACAGTGGTGATAGTCACAGTGGTGATAGTCACAGTGGTGATAGTCACAGTGGTGATAGTCACAGTGGTGATAGTCACAGTGGTGATAGTCACAGTGGTGATAGTCACAGTGGTGATAGTCACAGTGGTGATAGTCACAGTGGTGATAGTCACAGTGGTGATAGTCACAGTGGTGATAGTCACAGTGGTGATAGTCACAGTGGTGATAGTCACAGTGGTGACAGTCACAGTGGTGATAGTCACAGTGGTGATAGTCACAGTGGTGACAGTCACAGTGGTGATAGTCACAGTGGTGATAGTCACAGTGGTGATAGTCACAGTGGTGATAGTCACAGTGGTGATAGTCACAGTGGTGATAGTCACAGTGGTGATAGTCACAGTGGTGATAGTCACAGTGGTGATAGTCACAGTGGTGATAGTCACAGTGGTGATAGTCACAGTGGTGATAGTCACAGTGGTGATAGTCACAGTGGTGATAGTCACAGTGGTGATAGTCACAGTGGTGATAGTCACAGTGGTGATAGTCACAGTGGTGATAGTCACAGTGGTGATAGTCACAGTGGTGATAGTCACAGTGGTGACAGTCACAGTGGTGATAGTCACAGTGGTGACAGTCACAGTGGTGACAGTCACAGTGGTGATAGACACAGTGGTGATAGACACAGTGGTGATAGTCACAGTGGTGATAGTCACAGTGGTGATAGTCACAGTGGTGATAGTCACAGTGGTGATAGTCACAGTGGTGATAGTCACAGTGGTGATAGTCACAGTGGTGATAGTCACAGTGGTGATAGACACAGTGGTGATAGTCACAGTGGTGATAGACCCAGTCGAGTCTATTTCTTACCGGTATACCTTTGTTATGTTGCAGGAGTTCAACAAGACTGTCAGTCACGGCCCTCAATCTAGTTTGGATTCACACACTGAAGGGCCCGAGGAAGATGTAGACATGTATGAAGTCCCTGTTGAGTTGGAAGCAGCAAGCATGGCGTGTGCAAAGAAAGCACCGGTAAGTTAGTAAGTTAGATTGCAAAGAAAGCAGCAGAAAGTTAGATTGCTGCCGTCCGTATTCACTTACATACTAATATTCACCTGCATGAAGTCTTTCTCTTCTTTTTTTGAAGGTTTTGCCACCCACCCATGTACTGCACGTGCTGTGCTTACAGTACTGTCAGTGTTGTGTCCTGATCCCCATGCACACAAGCATCCAGCTAGCCAAGTAGATTGGGGAAAAAGCCCTGAACAAGAGCATGCGCAGTGTGATCATGCTAGATCATGCTAGTGCTACGGAAGTAGGTATATTACTACTATGTACAGTACACATGAGTACCTATCTATCTAGAGTACATATATAACAGTCAGGTGACGAAGAACTGGGGAGGGGGGGGGGGGGTAGGGTTCTAGCCTAGCCCGTTCTTATTTCTAGCGAACACAGCAGTTTCCTTCTTATTCGATAGTACAGTCTTACATGTACATTTAACAGAGTTATACGTCTGAAGGCCATTATAGTGTATATTTCAGTTTCCGTTCTTGTCCGCAAAAATCCAGCCTGCACTGTTCTTAAAAATTCTAGCCTGGCCGCTCTTCGCCGGTCCTTTCTTCGCCGGTCCGTTCTTCGCCGGTCCGTTCTTCGCCGGTCCGTCCTTCGCCGGTCCGTCCTTCGCCGGTCCGTTCTTCGCCGGTCCGTTCTTCGCCGGTCCGTTCATCGCCGGTCCGTTCATCGCCGGTTCGTTCTTCGCCGGTCCGTTCTTCGCCGGTCCGTTCTTCGCCGGTCCGTTCATCGCCGGTCCGTTCTTCGCCGGTCCGTTCTTCGCCGGTCCGTTCATCGCCGGTCCGTTCTTCGCCGGTCCGTTCATCGCCGGTCCGTTCATCGCCGGTCCGTTCATCGCCGGTCCGTTCATCAGTGCCCGACAGTACTGTGGTACTGTAGTAGTGCTGGTCTCGCCAAGCACTCACATTGCTTTTTTTTTAAAGCAATAGTGTTAAAAATATTAGTGTGTGTTCCATCTATTAGTCTATTAGTGTGTTAGTTTCTGATGCGCGTTGTATTGGTGACTGTTTTCAAGTAAGCATAAGTAGGAGGAATTCTGTCCGCTGCACTCCAATTTGGCCAGACCAATATGCCAAGTACACTATGAACAATCATCATAGTGCAACTGAGTCAAGGCTATTGTACATTGCACCGTAGGATTCTTGTATATATTCGGCAGCTGGTGATCTGTTGGAGTACACATTCCTGAGTAACCATGCATATACTTTTAATAATTATGGTACTGGCGTTTTGTCGGAAAGCCGGGGTCGATTTTAATACTCCTCCTCAGTTCTGGTTGTTTTGTGTATGTGTGTATGTGTACGTGTTTGTGCATGTGTACGTGTTTGTGCATGTGTATGTGTGCGTGCGTGCAATCTCCATAGAGCGGCCCAAAGCCCGGCCAGTCTGGTGCCAGTACAGCGGGCCACAAAGCAGAGGCAGTGTCTGAGATGCACGTCATTGCACATCCCAAACCAGGAACGAAGCCGAAAGCGGGACGCCTGAAGGGGCTGAAGAGTGCAATTGGTAAGAAGGTCTCTACAAGCGGCAAGCCATAGAGAGACAGACGTTTTCAGAGTAGACCATTGTGCTGATTTACCATGGCATACTAGATCTAGTTGATCACCGCCTCAAGCACTGCCTACACCTCTTTGGCTTGTCAGTAAGCTTTTTTCTAGGTAAGCTTTATACGGAAACGACATGAAAACTAGCTGCTGATCATAACAAAAGTGCATGTAACGTTACCAGGCTGTGCTGCCGTGTGAATACATACATTCTACATTGCATAGTGCTGACAGTGTAGATACATACATTATACATTGCATACATACAGGCTCAGTACATCATTTCAACGTGACCCAGTACGGTGTATTGATGATTTTCTTTTCTGAATTTTACAGTTCCGCATTTTGTCTATTTTCTCTTTGAGCTCTTATACAAGTGCACTTCCTGGTATTAGGCAAGCCTTGTTTCAACCAAACAAGTGCACTTCTCGCTCTATTGGAATGCTGTATTTGTACCCATTTTCATTTCAATTCATTTCTTTACTATAAATTTTCATTTCAATTCATCACTAGTAAGTTGATAATGCTGTCAGTTGGCTGTGCTTCTGAAACACACTGATCAAAAACCATGGTAACTGGTTAAACCTCCACAACACCTCCCCTCAGTGTCATTGCCACTTATATTGGGCACTGGGAGTCTCAAGCACTGACCAACGCATGTAGGCGATTGGTTTGTAGGCTTGCCTGCCAATCATGAGGTTCTGAGTTCAAACCTGCGCAGGGAGTGTGTTGTGCTCTCTCAATTACGGTGATGCGGGTAGGCATGGGCGGGTAATGCTAGCATTATGGCTGGCATTATAGTCCCTTTTTCCAGGTGGCATAATGCTGGCATTAGAACACCATTTCGCATGCAACATTGGCATTACAAGCATAATAGCCGGTCGACAACGGTGTCATGCATGAAGCTGGCTAGGTCTAGTTCCGAAAATCGTGCATCTGAACCCGTCCGGCTTCGCCCGGAGACTTGACGTTGCAAACCAACCTTCTCAGTGGATTGTCAGTGGAACTGAGCTTCTTCACTGCTAATTAAGTTTTTTTCTTCTACACTTTGGCCTTGATCCAGGACGCCCTTCTTGAATCGACTTTTCCAACTTTCAAACTCAGGCATTATGCAGTAGTGTGAGCATTGTAAGTGGCATTATATCCTCATACTACTACTAGTCATAGTTATTATGAGCATTGCCTTTAGTATTATCGCAGCAAATAACTAGCATTACCCGTCCATGCCTAGATGCGGGCGAGTACCACTTTACATGCAATGAACTGTGCCGACACCCACAGCGAACTGGGTACTCACTTGCTCGGTGTGAGGGTAACAAGGATGCAGTTTATGGGGTTATAGGGCCTTTACACGAGATACGTATCCCCTCTCCCCTGACTCACTTGTAGAGGTCATGTTATGTGAATTAATCTTCACGCAGGGTTCTGGCGAGGAGGGGGGGGGGGGGGGAGCTGGGTGCAGCAATCCCCCCCCCCCCTAATCTAATTGAGCGCCCTCCTTTGGAAAAGTGCCCCCCCCACTCATTTTGATGACGTAATCCATACAAAACGGCACCCCAGATGATGACATAATCCATACAAACACCCAGTGATGATGTAATCATGTAACCGATACATGCAGTGCACTCACTGCTGTCCAGTGAAATCCAACCACTGGCGCCTTTGGAAGTCGCTTTTGAAGCAGAGAAACTGGGGGAAGTCGCATACATGTAGTGCGTAGTATGTCTGAGCTGCAGTCACTCTGCTGTAGGAAATATGCTTGCCTCTTAGTCTATGTACATCACTAAAACTACGAAGTATGTAATCTGGGAATTTCGCCAGGACCTTGAGCACCCATTCGAGCTGCACACACTAATGCACATGTACATGTAAATGCACTCTTGACGACACTGATCTCCAGTAAGTGGTTGTCACGGGTAACTAATTACTTTGCGGCGCTGATCTCCAGCGATTGGTTGCCCGGATTTTCATTGGCCAGCACTGTTGTATATTGCAATGACCATGAATCACCATCCCCACAGTGAGAGTCTTGAACCCACACACATACACACACATACACACGCACACACACACACACACACACACACACACACACACACACACACACACACACACACACACACACACACACACACACACACACACACACACACACACACATACGCATGCACACACGCAACAACAGTAATGGAGAACAATGCTTTTTTTTACGGCAGAGAATCATTCTATCCAGACAAGAATTAAGTTAAGAAAATTGGGTATTTCTGTAAATAGGCTTACAACAGAATACTGAATCAGGTCACTTGATTTCATAACACCTGTGCATGTGCATCGTTGCCAACTTAGTATATATTTTTGTAAAGATAATAAGATGCGTTCATTGGCTGACCGTGATATTTCTATTTCAACTCTATCTCAAAGTTACAGAACTTGCGGCCTATCCTCAAGTCTAGGCCAGGCAATTCTAGAAGAGACCAAGACAGCGGCAGTAACAAGATCACCCTGGAACAGCATTATAGATATCAACATCAATACAGATACCAATCATAATTCATCGGCACAAAGTAAATGAAATGGCCGCAGTGCATAAAAAGATGATGCCCACTGATTGGCAGCAATAGGGCTTGAAAGTGATGATGTCAGAAGTCGAAATCTAACAACAAATAACGACCTTTGGATCCACTTCGTTCCAGTTTTTGTATGGGTCCATACACGCTTGGGTGGTTTTCCTCCGCAGCATAGTGACACATCCACCGGTAAGAGTGGGTCCACGACCGGGAGGGCCTAGTCCAATCACTACCGGTAAATGCGTCACTATGCTGCGAAGGAAAACCACCCAAGCGTGTATGGACCCATACCAAAACTGGACCCAAGTGGATCCAAAGGTCGTTATTCGCCGTTAGATTTTGATTTCTGACGTCATCACTGTCAAGCCCTATTGCTATATCACTGAACTGATAACCACTTGGCCCGGTCAGCCTGGTGCGAACTCAGTGGCTCTGCTTCTGATCCACACGGCTACTGCCGGGACGCACGGAACCTGGACAGTTCCTTGAAGCAGATCCGCAGCAGAAAGAGGGCTGACAGCAAGGACGCCCCCATACACACATTCACCACAACCGGCCACGGATTTTTGACATCCTGCAGGGCAATTCCAACCAGGTACGGCCCAAGTGCAGCACCTGGGCAAGCAATTAAACAAAGACGAAACTTTTAAAATGACACGATCAAGCTTTGGAAACTCTATTAAAACGGTGTGCATTCAGTCTACCCTTTGTTTCCACGGTTACAACCGACCTCCTCTATGCCCAGACAAGTGGCTGGTTGGATAACTACATGGGTTGACACCCACTTAGCGCCGACGGTACGCGAAAAAGAAAGCACTTTGCTGCGGGCAAGTGCATTTTCAAGTTCAAACTAAATATATACAAGATCTCGCTGAAACTGTTTAAAAAACCTGTGACTATCACACACTGCGTCGCAATCATCTTACCTGTAGCTCAAGGCGCCTACAATTATTCGCGACCTGTAGATAACCACCCTGCTGACTCCCTTGGGTACAACTCTGAAGTGTACTAGCACCACTCAATACAGTACACTCAACTTTCAAATGAGCAATGGAACTGTGTAAATGACATCATTGTACATGCTTTGTATGGCAAAGCAGTGCTTCTGATACGACTCCACACAAATACCCGAGAATGATGATGTAATCACATGATGTAATCACATGATGTAATCACATCACCTCCGAATACGGTACACAGTTTATACATGCACATAATTTTACGACTTAAACAAAGCTTACCAATTGATCCAGTGCCATCAATAATGGCTGCCACAGTAGCCAAGGCCTTCTGATTTCCACCTAGCACTTCATGTGTTCCCAGGTCAGCAGATACAGCTGTTGTAATAAGAGAATACGGACCATTCAGCAGTGCACCAGTCAATGCCATTAGACCCAGCAAAGCACCCAGGCTATCGCCACCGTACGTGTTGAAGATGTACAGGGACGGTATGCTCAATAGAAGCATAATCACAGAAGGTATAGCGGACGCACCAGTGCGGTCTGATACATAACCAAGAGCTGCACCACCGATAATACCACCGACATCAAACAAGGATGAGTAGTACGCCGAGTGTTGCTTGGACAGAGAATGACCAGCTACACAGACATCTCGTACATACTTTGGCATCCAATACAGGAAGATGTAGTTCATGAACTTTGAGAAGAAGAGGCAAAGCGAGTATTCCAATACACCGGGAATCCGCAGTGCAGACAGAAAGCTAACGGCAGTAGCTGGCTGATCTCTGCTACTTGTGGCATGTGCTGGCTGCTCTGTTACAGCTGATGCCACGTCGTCATTCGACACCGGCAGCACCGGCAACAAAGCATCTTGCTCACTGTCTTCACTGATTGTCAGGTGATCCACCGGCATCACGGCTGTCTCACTGCTGTGTTGCTGCCCGCGTGGCCGCTGCCTCTGCGGCTGCTGCTCAGGCACTTTAGACACAGGTGGACAGTCCACATCAGTCGGATCAACAATCAGAAATAGGAGAACAACTATGGCCATCGAGGCAATGATGATTCCAGGAACGATGAACGACCAGCCCCATGCATTGTGCACCCAGATTCCAGGTATAATTGCTCCAATGATGTTGCCGAGAGACGTGTGAGAGTTCCACAGGCCCATGACGAATCCACGATGGCCCACGCCAAACCAGTTTGCCATCACTGCAACAACACTGGGCCATCCTGTCGATTGGACAATGCCACCAAATAACTGAACAACGACAAAGAATGCAAAGCTGTGGATGTTGAAGAAATAGGCCAGTCCGAGCATGCTTGTGAATATGCCACTTAGCAACATTCCAGCAAATAGGAAATATCGCAAGTTGAAACGGTCGCCTATTTGACCGCTGATGTATGTAGCGAAGGCATATCCCAGCAGGAAAACAAAGTCCAGATCTCCCAACCTCGATTCCTTGTCAAATGGTTTCCATGGGTGGCATTCAGTCGTAGGTGGCACATTTCCACACTCTGGGTGCGAATCGTTGCTCTTACCCGGCCATATGCAATCCGAAGGGTACCAATTTGTCTTGACAACGCTAATGGCCCTTCGTGACATGTGGTATGTTGCATAAGTGAAGAAAGTCACACAAACAACGGAGGCCTTATAAACTGCAGTCCGGTTAGACAGACGAGGTGCCCAGGAGCGAATAAATCGAATGCCGATGGGAACATCCTTGCATCTCGCCCCTGACGGCATTGCTACTCTTCCGCTATCAGTGAACCAACGTTTTGCACCGATAGGAGCTGCAAGTCCCAACAGCCGGTGTTCTTTTTTCCCGGATAGGATGGAAGGTTTGGCTGAAAGTGCAGCCAGCACCGCTAGCGAGCTAACCTTTCCTGCTACACTGCTACAAAAGGCTCCAGGCCATCAGGCATCACGACGGCTAGATTGTCGAACAAAAGTGAAAAAAACGGCAAGCCTGCAGTGGAGCTGAAGCTCGAGGAGCACCCGAGGCTGAAAAACTCTCCGGGGACATCAATTATTATTTCATGCAAACAGCCAAGAAATACGTGGCCTGGGGCTGAAACGAGAGCTTGTGAGTTGGCGGAAGAAGTGCACGCCGTCTACGGTCTAGTCTTTGGATCAGTGGACGAGTGCTAGTGCCAGTAGTAGTGGCAGTAGTGCCAGTATGCAGTAGTGCTAGTGGTGCACCGGTGGACTGACTGTCCACCTGCACCTGGTAGATCTACACAGTCCATGCGCCAGATTCAAAAAAGTCGTCTAAAAGTTGACTTTTCATTTTCCGCACTGGGCAGTTTGCGGGTACTTTTTGAGTCGCATTCTCAATGGTGGGCAATTTTGGAAAATGGTTTTGTGTCTATGGCTCGTTTGTTTTGGCATTTCGCTACCTGTGTGATGAGCCTAAAAATTGCGCTTAGCCGTGGCAATGCAATGGTGTATTCCGTTTTTCAGCCAGATGACTTGTTTCGCTGTGGTCCGGCATCTTCCTAGATTCTCAGCAGTCGTCGAATCTGAGTATTTTCGAAACATTTTTTAGGGTGCAGGCGTGGGGCAAGGTTTTCACTCCCAGCCAATGGCACCATTTGGCATAACTCAGCCCTATGAACACGTCACCAGGCCCTCGTTAGTGTCCAGCCCATATTTCCAAAAATGGACTGGACTTGAAACTTGAGTGTACAGACAGGACTATGCATTATGCACGTAATGACCGTATGCAATAACTTTTTGCAAGCTACACGACAAGGACTCGCTGCAGAATAACATAATGATATTCACACCATATGCCATTGTGGTTCACCGTGATACCAATGACAGCATATTCATCGGTGATCAATTGCCTACTGGGTCGCTCCGTTGCCGAGAACGTCAACTTTGCGGACTGTGGAATGACCCGCGACACCGCCGACCACCCCTGACACAACGCCAAATGCTGAAAGAGCTGACTGATACGGTTCCTAACAAGTTAACTGGATAATGCTTATCTTCAACAAAACCAGGACATAAAACAGTGCTATGATAAACTACCTCCAGTCACCGGAAACAAATACAGTGCATTACGCATATGGATAGAGATTGCACTAGTACATGTATATTTGTATACCAATCTCTAGAGTAACAAAACAAGTTATTGGGTCTATACCATCAGAGTTGGCAGCTATGTGTATTGGATTCTCCTGGTGTGCAGAATGATGCTGGCGGTGTGGTTCATATCCACTGTTGGCTTGCTGTCGTCAGGGTCAATCGCAGTACATTCACTATCTCACGTCTAATGCATTTTATAGTCCGCATGACTTGGATCACACCGCCATAGTTATCCACACGAGAATGGTAATAAATCTAGATACTAAGGCCTTCTTCATTGCAGTTGGCGCAATATGTTCACGGGATCGCGTCTCCGACCTCCAAACTGTAATTATAGCTGGCTAGTCACTGCTGCTTATTGGCAGACAAGAATTGCGATGCTTCTTCAAATAGGCAGTTTAGCGATGTCTGTCCATGACATATTCAGCATTGCTGTGTGTGTGGAAGGAAAGGTGCAACAACATTAGATTGCTGCTGGCCATAGACATCAAACTGCAACATCTGGGCTTCAGCTGTCACAAGTCCTTTGACAGAGAGACTGCCGCATATTGCACATACTGCAAAATATTGACTTCATGCCATTGCCTCTTGGATCAGAAGTCACCACACTGAAAGAAGAACAGCAGAGGAAAACAGAACTGATGCAGTTAATTGGCAGCAACAAATTTGCTCCTTTATTTCATTCAAAGAATTTGAGTTGTGAAATGCAAGAAAAAAGTCAGAGAGCAGGATCTAGGAGAGCAATTAATGGGTATGCACCAGTGCTGTGGTGCCTATAATAATTAGACGCTCAGAATTTCACGACAATCATGCACATATACTGACATATTTACACTATGCAACCTAGTAGTCGACAAATTCAGAAAAAAACTAGTACTTCAGTTGGTGAAATATCCCACCTCTACTCCCTAAGCTCAAATGTCCCTGTAAAATTGATAAAGGATCGGTAGATGCTCACTCGGAGTGGTGTTTGAAAAGTAACACAACAGTTCATGACGAATTAGAGCATGCTCAATTGTCTCTTCTCATAAAATCACAATATTGCCTGTGCGTGGTTTATTTCGGGTGCAATTGTGGGGCACATAGGTATCACTCTAATTTCTGGTGCATTCGAAAGATAAAGCTTTGGTCTATCACCACACAAAGCGGCTTTAGTGTCCGCGATGGGTAAATGCCTTACCTGGTGTGAAATTGGTGACCATATTCCTCGTTTCAGCAATTACAAAAGTGAGACTTTCGTCCTTGGTGGCTGGTCACGAACTGCAAGCTCCAAAATAATTTTCCAGGATACGGCCATAGGTGTCTACATCACTCCGAGCCATCTCTCCGGTGTAGGAAAGGTCTCCTGACGAGACTAGAAGGGCTCTAAGCAGCAAATTTCATTGAAATATTCACCATTCGAGGTATATTATGGCACCGCAGGCCGCGCACCTGAGGGCCTTTCTGGAAGCCTTACTCGATCGGATAGAGCGAAACTGAGCACCCTGGGATGCGAGCAGTTTTTAGTACTCCCGGGTCCAAAATCTCACCACCAGGCCGGGCTGATCAAAACGTCTGCCGGGTCTGCAGCCTACAAACGTGGATCTGCCGACACTGTGCTGTCGACGACATGTCCCGCAAGGCATCTTGCGTGAAAGCAAGGAACGCTTTTTTTTAGAAAGGAAGCTTCTTCCCCAAAATTTAAAAAAATTGAAAATTATTCCTTCTGAAAATATCATCGCGCTCTTGACCTCGAAGCTGACGGCTGAATGCGATTAGGAAAGAAGATTCCTGAAGATGCACCAGACTGATTCTGGCAAGCCGTCTGTCGTCTGGATATGCACTGTTGTTCATTATGGTCAGCAATCTTCTTCGTTCGTCCTTTCGTTTTCCTGACCACGATGATGACAAGCAGCTCTCATGCTCAGGTTAGTGCTACTTGTATGTCTGGGCACACAACACATCTGAGATGCACCCACTGACGTTATCGAACTGAAGAATGCAGCAAGGGTTCCTTGGATTCTCTTGATTTCGGAACAAATTTCCTTCACTTTCACCCTCTCAGTCTCTTCCCCATGCCCTCCATGCATACACAATGGAGCTTGCATTTCAAATGTTGTTTTTATACTTTGGCAGTGCCTCTGCTACACTTTCATATAGAGTGAGGTCCTGTAAATAGGATCCAACATTGTTGGTGGTGGTGTGTGTGTGGGGGGGGGGGGGGGGAGGTATGTTTGCAGCCAGGATGTAGGAATGACACTTCTGCGCAGCAGGTGGCAATAGTCAGAACTGGTCACTCTACAAATCCCATACCTGCCGACCTTTGCAAACCTGAAATGGAATGACATACCTAGGCATGAAAATGTATACAAATATACCTCGCGGTGAGGCATGGAACTAATGCTCTTTTGGGTGCCTATTACCGCCCTCGATGTCGGGATGGTTGTCAGGTATGAAATCCCAACCGAGAAAACCATTTAATTAGAAGATAAACTCGGCTGGAACGCCGCTTTTCTGGGAATAGAAATTTGTTGTGCCACTTTCGGCTAGTCCTTTTTGCAGAAGTGATTCAGTGCCTCCGCAATGCTGTATGAGGGCCAGGACATAGCAACTTTCTGTATGCCGGGGGGGGGGGGGGGGTCATCGTCCGCAACATTGGTAGAGTTACGGTTACATTGTATATGTAGATACGTGATTTTTGGACTCGCCTCCAGGGATTTGTCGTAAGCTGGGGCACGCGTACGTGAAGCAAGTGGCAAGAAAGGCCCAGTTCGTACAAGGGAGTAGTAAAATACCGGTATTTTTCTGTTCCTATGTTCCCACGACGAGTCCTCTGTGCACTGAGTGCAGGTCTCTTGCCGCTCCCTGGTCCCCGGTTCACGTGATCGTGACGTTTATCGAATAAGGTCTATATGCGGGCATGCATAAATCAACCCCTCCACAAGAACGGCTCAAACAGGCAGCCAAGGAGTGAAAATTTCGCTCCTGGGGCTAGGGGTGAAACGAAGGCCTCAATTTGCCAAATGAACCTTCTCCATCGAAACGACCGAAGGTGTCGAATAATTCTTTTACCAGTTCACAGTTCCTGTTCACACGCACTCCCGGGGGGGGGGGGGGCTACTATGCGCTTGTAGTGACACTTACCGTAAGCCAAGTTGCACCTATGGAAGCCAAGTGGAACACGACTAGTTGACTGAACAGACTACAGTACAGTATACATGCACATGTATACAGTGAAGATCAGTGCATGGATGCCTGCCGTAATCGTATGTTGACCTTCGTTCGAATTCAAAAGAGAGGGTCGTTTCGAAAAAGAAAAAAAAGCTCAATGGAAGTATGATGCTGCTGACAATTCAAGACTCACTGAAGTCGCCTTTCTGGAATGGATCATGCGCTCTAGGTTCATCCAATTGGAAATGGACTCAATCATTGTTACACCATTCTTGTTTGGTTAGTTATTCTACATCCCATAGCATGTACAATCCAACTTGTGAATAATGTACCTCGGATTTACAAAACAACTCGCAAATAACAATCTTCAGATCTAGTGACCATTTGATTGCATACTTCCAACCTCACGAGTAACAACAATACACCAATAGCGACACTTTTTTCATTCACAATCGAGGGTCAGTATTCCCCAGGTTGACTGCAATTGCCAATCAAACAGGAGGGGCGAAAGTCGACCACGGCTGAAAAGGCGTAAAGAAAATGTATGTCATGAGCTAGATGGCAGAAGGAGGAAGTAGGTTTTCTGAGAAAGCAAGAAACAGAGGTGAATGAAGCACCAGGTCTGTCCATGCAGTGGATAGAATTATTGGATTGAAAGACAGGCTCTTTACGTCAGCTTGCTACTATTATACCTACATTTATTATTATTATTATTATGACGGATAACCCAAAGGCAATGGTTTGTTTTGCCTTTTCATGCAGGATTCTGAAAGCTGGAGCAGCTCTGCTTACCTCGACCACTGAACTTACAACTAACTTCCAACCAAGTTCAAGGCAGTATTATGATGAATCAAGCACGCTTGCCATCATTTCATCATTGCAAAGTACATCGACAATATAGATTTGGTGCTGACTATGTATGATGCAGAGTGTGCTCTATGTATCTATACTACTGATTGGCCTACATTGTACTTATGTGGGCTGAGAGTAATCGATTGTGCTGTATGGCAGTTTACTTGCATGTCATAGATGTTCACATTGCACACAGCTACTGAATTGCTTTCTGTTGCACTGGCCTACTGCGGCCCACTGCAAATAGATTGTAGTGGCATGGGCCATGCCATCATTATAGTGGTATACCGGTACTACACCAACAGTTTCACTGGTACACTGTACTTACTGGTGGATCTACATCATGCACAGCCTTGTCACTGCTTTTCTCACTTTTTATTAATTTACTGTACTGTACACATTTTGGCACAGCTCTTCCACAAAGAGTTACTATTATTTTCTTCTGCATACCTACTGTATACAGTGACCTGACAGGTAACATCTATGGCTGTGAAATCACAAATTTATGGGTTGACAGCCTCAAACCTATACGATTTGTTTCTAAGAACGTGCTATAAGAAGTATTCTATTATTAAAAGTATTCTACTGGAGCTCGCAGGACATAGAGTGAGTTTGGAGCACCACTCACTCTTCTGTGATTTGGATGTCAAATTATGAAATTCAGTTTGTGAGGTAAACCCATGCATGGCATTCACTGCTATAGTATGACTCGGGGTAAAGTGTTCCAACGCATACTCATTATAGTGAATAGTTGTGTGTCAGTTAATCGGTGCCCAACGTTGTTGCTGCTGGATAAATAAATATTCTGAGATAACTGAAGCTACACAGCCATCTAATGTTCAAACATGCATGCATCGAAGGGGCCGTAACGAGATCTGCAAGGCATGATTCTATACCTATATTCGATGCTCTCTAGCAGGACATTCATCTGCCTCATTTTCTCTGTGCTGCATTGATGAGCGAAACAGCATGCTGTCCGCAGATTGAGTATTGTGTATAGACAGACGTGTATGTAGTGGTAAAGCTCAAATACATGTACAACATGACAATCAATAACAATCCCCGTGTTTTACAACAGCACAAACCCAGCACCACAATTCTTAAATTTGGGCTGTGGTGTTCTTAGTATTCCAGGCTGGATGTTCTAGGCTTCCACGCTCTTGGGCGCACGACTTTACTGTGCCGAAGAATATTTTCAGCCAATGAACCCAGAGCTTGGTGGCATGGTGCCATGGAACAGCCTTTTGCATGTGGCTTTCACTACATGCACATGTACAACGTTCAATTGATGCGGAAAAATCAGACAAGGACTTTTGCAGTTATGAGCAAGGTCCCCACGAATGGTCATGTCACTTCACAGAATACATGAACTGATAGATTAGACCTCGGTCCCCTCAGAGAACGCTTGGGTGAAGTCGGTTTCAACTGAGGACATGTCCAAAACCATGCTAAGTACTTGAGCTGCTCATGAACCCCACAATTATCAGGCCCACCGGAACCGGTCTGGTTGGTCGGGTTATCACCGGACCAACTTGTTGGCCACCAACAAATGTTTCCTGCTGTGGAGGACGTGTGTACCCGCCATATCACACACAAAGTATAAAAGGCCATGAAACTACCAGACCGATCAAAAACTGCTTCCGGCGGTACTGATTATACAGTACAGGTTTAAAAAGCAGCTCCATTTTTGTCATACATCAAACCAACTCTGTCATTGCTATGCTACTCAAAAAGAGTAGTGATGTTTATTCACAAAAGAATCACAATGCTAGCAGAGAAATTCGATATTCTCCAATTTTAGGGGCACTAAAGTACTATGCAAAAATTAATGCTGCATGGTCATTGGTATGAAGCAGTCACCTCAGTACAGCAATTAAACAGGCTGATTATGTGAACGAGATTCACGGCAAATCTTCTTCCATCAGTGCTGTTCAGTCTTGAGTGGTCCACTGAGGCAGGAAAACAACCTGTTCGGTCCTTCCATACGAGAAACAGAAATTGAACATGTTCCAGGGTGGAGGTGGCGAGCATCGGCAATGTAATGCACCTTTAGGCCAACACAACCATCATTCCGACATGGATTCTCAAACACCTTCGCTCGTGAGAGTGCCTCAGAGTGGTATTCATCAACAGATGGCAATCCTGTAAAACACATGAAAAGACATAGCAGCAACACAAAGAAACCTAATGTTATAGAAACGAATTCGAAAAACAAAGTCTACTGAACCAAGGTACAACCACACTCCAGGAGGCAAGCAAAAGTGCATATAATCCGAAGGTTGCGATGCCTGTATGTATTGTATTCATTGATTCATGGATTCTCCACAGGCCTTAGCCTAAATCGAGGGAGTCTCTGTCATGCCACACCGGATACAACATGCTACCAGAATCACTTTCCCCAGTATTGATGATCTTTTCTTAGGGTGTTATATAAAACACATCTGTAGCCACTTCATCTTGCTCACGAAATCATACACCACCACACAAACGGGCCCTTCGGCTATTATAATTTGGGTGGTGATGTATGATATTGATAATCTATTGATACTAGGGCTGAAACGATTATATCGGTTATCCGTCTAATCGATCATAACAAGGAAACGATTTCGATTACGCTGTCTGTTTCGATTACGCGATTCTAAATAAAAAACGTCTGCAAGAATCAAAAGATGTCATGTACAGCACTACTAGATACTGTACTTTGTTCTTTTCCTCGTTTCTTTTTGTTGTCCATATGTTTTCCAGTAGGGCTGTGAAAAATTAAAAAATTAAAAACTGACTGTCTGCACCTGCACGTGATGTGCCACTGCATTGCGTAGAGTACGCGGTCTATCTGCACGTGTGTATGTACATGTATATGTGTATATTTCAACACGGCATGCTTTGTGCTGGTCTGGCGCGACAATTTCTAGGACGCAGTAATCAATAATCATAATCGATAATCGAATCGATACAAGGGTAGGTTAACCGATAGTTGAAAAGTGTAATCGTTTCACCCCTAATTGATACCATATCCAAGTCTGACTCTCACCGTGAGATCCTGGCAACAATATTACCTGGTACATGACATATTCAGACACTGACGTAAACATCTTTTTGGAACAACACGTGTGCCTATCTGCTAGTGTAATGTGACACACATGCAGAATCAGTCATAGCTAATTTTACCCCCTCACTGTTGTATGCGCAGACTCCACTTTGCGGTGTCAAGTACTCTTCTTTCGGTGGACTACTTCACTAAGGCGCTTGTCTAAAAGGACTCATGTTCATCCTGCAAACCTACACGACTTGCATAGTTTTCACTGTCGGCCGAAGTCCATGCATTGCACACATTGAGATTCACTCCCTCCGTACAGGCCAGTACAGAGCTGCCCACCAATTGAGTCTGTTTTGCGTACTCAGACTTCTGATTTTCCGTATCTTGCAGTGTTTTGCGTACTGCCGTGTACATTGCATGCATACTTGCACTATAAAGTTTTTTGACACGCACATGCATGTCGTAGGCTGCATTTGGTAGTGTAAAACATGTGTGACTTGCACTCACGACATTATTTTTTGTGCTACAAGTACATGTTGTCGTGGTACGGCATGCACTCACTTTGGTACAAGACTATTCATCGCTCAGCTTACACTTGCAATGCTTCTACACAGCTGATTGATCCTCTTCGATTTTCTGTACCATTTGCCCAAATTCTGTAGTGCGAACAAGGAGTGATTTTCCGCACAAATACAGAAAAAATATTTTTATTTTTTTCAGTCATTTTCACCACATATTTTCTTTATCATGATCCCCGGGTGTACGTGTGGCGTTCTTACGAACGCGGAAACGCAGTCTTTCTAACCGAGTCTCACGTGCACTGTGAATTTGTTCTTCTTTTATTCACAATGCCATGTATCGATTCATCGCTTCTTCGCAACTGAGATCCTGTGCAACAGCGATTTAAAGATTAGCTTTATCAAATAGTGATCAGAGAGAGAGAGAGAGGATCAGTTGTGGGTGCTGTGACAGCATAGAGTGTAGATTGGTGCAAACATCATTGCCCAGCAGAACCGTATTCATAATCATAGGGACCTGCGTTTAGCATTACATTTTGGAAGCTATTTTTTAGAATTTTTACAGGCCCAATAAGCCTGAAGAGAAGAACACTTAACTTAGACTGTCCTAACGTTATCGAACGCACTGCCAAAGTAAAAAAAAACATTTGAAATGCAAGCTCCATTGTGCATGCATGGAGGGCACATGGGGAAGAGACTGAGAGGGTGAAAGTGAAGGAAATTTGTTCCGAAATCAAGAGAATCCGAGGAACCCTTGCTGCATTCTTCAGTTCGATAACGTCAGTGGGTGCATCTCAGATGTGTTGTGTGCCCAGACATACAAGTAGCACTAACCTGAGCATGAGAGCTGCTTGTCATCATCGTGGTCAGGAAAACGAAAGGACGAACGAAGAAGATTGCTGACCATAACGAACAACAGTGCATATCCAGACGACAGACGGCTTGCATCTTCAGGAATCTTCTTTCCTAATCGCATTCAGCAGTCAGCTTCGAGGTCAAGAGCGCGATGATATTTTCAGAAGGAATAATTTTCAAATTTTTTTAAATTTTGGAGAAGAAGCTTCCTTTCTAAAAAAAAAGCGTTCCTTGCTTTCACGCAAGATGCCTTGCGGGACATGTCGTCGACAGCACAGTGTTGGCAGATTCACGTTTGTAGGCTGCAGACCCGGCAGACGTTTTGATCAGCCCGGCCTGGTGGTGAGATTTTGGACCCGGGAGTACTAAAAACTGCTCGCATCCCAGGGTGCTCAGTTTCGCTCTATCCGATCGAGTAAGGCTTCCAGAAAGGCCCTCAGGTGCGCGGCCTGCGGTGCCATAATATACCTCACCATTCGGAGATACCGGTAGGCGAAATCAACAGAAAACAACCCCGCAGGTGCGGCGCCTTGGAGGCTACGATTCCCGCGAGAAAATGAAAATCGGTCTCTCAACTCAAGGGCTTGGCGCACGGACTGACTGAGCTGAGCTCATGTCAGTCATGACATGAGTTCAGCTGAACAGCTGCACGTGATCGTCAGACACTCACTATGGTAACTCTCCTTTGAAATTTGCCGCGAAATGCCTTGCATGCAGTGGGCCATGCATGGGAAACACATTTCTCGTAGAAAACAGCATAGCATGCACAGCAAGCGAGATCGAGAAGTAATGTAATAATTATTAGTTAGTTTTATCACGAAGTGAAGTGTAGTTGTAGCCTTGGAAGTTAGCTTTGGTTCACCTCCAACGCCATCCAGTGACATTTTGATAAGTAGATAGACTTACGGAGGAAGATCTCTTTGAACCTGCTTTTTATTCTTCAAACGAGAGCTTGACCAGAGCTGCTGGAAAAGTAGGACTCCATCTTGCTGAAGCTGCAATGACTTGTATCGTGAAGAAACAAAGCTAGGACTGATACTGTGATAGCAGACTGCTAGTAACGAATTTAGATGCACGTGTACAAGTAGTACAGTGCAAATTATATCGCGTATCGAGAGGCCTGCAGAGTACTGACGTCCACATGTTCATGATCCTGGACATCTCTCATCAGCCTCCCAGAGGCTGATTTCTGCACTATTGGCAAATGAGACTTGCTGGTTGTAGTTTCCTATTCACACCTGCTGGCTTGGAAGATCATGGTTAGTTTGCACATTATAATATAGGTAAATGAGTAACTACACGACGAGTACAGTGTACGTGTGTGTGTGGGGGGGGGCTTCAATTTCAGTTACCATAGAATCCCGCGGATAAGCCCACCCGCGTATAAGCCCATGCCCGTGCATAAGCCCAGGGAAAGTTCAAACATCACAAGGCTTCGTCATACAAGCCCATGGGCCTAAGGGCCGGGTTCCACTGCGGCTCCGCTGCTCCGCGGCACTTGGCTGCATGCAGCGGAGCAGCGCGGTTCCACTGACACTCGCCATTCGCGGTACCGTGGTCGTGGTCCACACTTTTTGATAACATTTCACCTGCCTGCGCGCGCGCGCACGAAATCAAAAAAATCTTCGTGTTCTGGCCTGCGTAACGAATTAAAATTTGAATTTTAAAATTCTGGCGTACAAAACAATGCAAAGTACGGGAAACAGGTCGAGCCGCGACTGCGGCTCGCAGTTTTTGGTGAAGAATCGTAGCGAAAGCTCGCGGTGAGCCGCGGCCCAGCTGCTCCAGCTCGAGCCGTGGTCACTATGGTAATGATGACGTTTCAAGCCGCGAAAGACGAGCAGCGGAGCCGCAGTGGAACCCGGCCCTAAGTCGTACCAAGAGTCCATAAATTATGGACTCTTGGTTGTACCATGTACATGTAGGAAGTACATGTAGGTTTTTTTTGTACATTTCAACACAACCATTGGTTGTTTTTGTTTGCACAGTGACTTTCAGCAATGTACTTCTCACTTCCTTGGTACTTTTCAATAACACAATGTTGGTGTCAGCGTATAAGCCCATGCCCGCGTATAAGCCCATGTTCTTGTATACGCCCACCGAAATGTCCTTGTGAAACAGATAAGCCCATGGGCTTATCCGCGGGATTCTACGGTATGGCTGCTATGGCCGCAGTCTAGAATTTGGTATGCAGTTCCTCACCTGCTGTGTTCTAGTCATCTTACTACAGTAGAGTTTCGCGCCCAAGAATGTCGTTTCCAGCGAAATTCACTCCTTTGCAGTACGGAAATTGACCGAAATTGTACGGAAAGCTGATAAGTATGGATCAGCTGACTATGAACCAGTTTTTCTACATGTACATGACATGGTACTCAATGTACATGACTATGTACATAAAAGCATGCATAGCACATAACACTGCGGAGTAGACCTACTATCACGCTAAAAACAGTGTTCCTGACTGCAACCTCGAGCCTCATACAGTGACAAAGCTTTTAAGCGCTGTGTAGATCTACATGTACGTGTGTTGCACACCATTGCTGGCTGTCTGACACTAGGCTACAGTTTGCGTGACGCATTACTTCCTCCTGGGACCAAGACCATGTACATGTACGACTGAGCACCCGGTACAGTACGCCGAAGACTACAAATGTCGCAAAAAATACATTATAAATCATGGGATTAAAAAAAAATGATAGTACGGAAAAACTCTGGAAAATACGGAAATTCAGCAGTCCGAGTACGCAAATCAGACCGAGCAGGTTGGCAGCACTGTTCTTATCTTTGAGCAACTTGGCTGCAGATGCTTCTTGGGAAACAGTCAACATGGCGACCGTCTTGTTTCTGAGCGACCCATTCGACAAAGGAGCAGCATTGCATTTCTGAGCTCAGTGCTCGTTAAAAACCAGCCTGTTCACCGGGAATGAATTTGAACTGCTCCAGGAATGTGTCGAGCGCCTTTTCACCAGGCGGTCCGTGACTCGAGCAAGGGCGTTTGTTAGACTGATATGCGTGAAAGCACCGGGTTTAGGCTTGTCGGTATGTACTGGGACATGCCAGCTGAGTTTCTATGCTCTTGGTGGCCCGGGACAGGTTGATATTTTCAGTGTTGTCTCGATGAAGCTCTGAGATGGCCTTTTTCCTGTTTTCCGTCAGTTGACACACCGGCAACACGTGCAGCGGCACACTGTCTTGGTACAAACATGTTTCACTTCAGACGCAGAGAATTCTTATTCAAACATTAGTCTGGTGTGATCGGTGCTGTCAGCTCTCTTTCAGTCTTCCTTTGCCAAGCTGAGAGACAGACAGACCGAGCGAGAGAGAGAGAGAGAGAGAGAGAGAGAGAGAGAGAGAGAGAGAGACAGACAGACAGACAGACAGACAGACAGACAGAGAGACAGACAGAGAGACAGACAGAGAGACAGACAGAGAGACAGACAGAGAGACAGACAGAGAGATACAGAGAGAGATACAGAGAGGGAGAGAGACAGAGAGAGACAGAGAGAGACAGAGACAAAGACAGAGAGAGAGAGAGAGAGAGAGAGAGAGAGAGAGAGACTGGCTTTGTGTTTCAAAAATACATGTACAGTTGTGGGCAATGGAATTCGACCCGTCATCCCAAAGCATAGTCACGTTTACTTCTCCTGGCATCATGCACGGTACATACCAGCATAATGTGAAACAATAGGTGAGGTCATGGCCCGGACATTTATATGTACATGTACTTGAAGTATATGCTCATGATCATGCACTCAATCCGTATGCTGTGCGTACGCTGTGCCTCCTTACCTTGGAGTACAAGTCAAGGGCTGCCTAGCCGGCACACGGACACACTTCAGCATGGCTTCTAAGTCAGGCTTCATTGGCAGCAGCTGCAAATGCAGAATACCAGCAGTTGTAATCATGCACCAGTATAGGACTTTTCATCAAGAGTATGCAAGCATGGTTTTGTTGACTGTGTGATAACTTTCCTTTGCTTTTACTTGTAGAGGAGAAGCCTTGCCCCGACGCAGATCGCTAAGTTGCGAGTCCAAGCGGAAAAGAGAAAGAGTGCTGTGCATTCCGATTCTGATGATGATGAAGATGAGAATACGGTAAGTGATGTGTTATTGCTGATGACAATACTGTGACTAATGTGTTATTGCTGGCGTGTTATTGCTGGTGAAGTAGACAGCAGTGTAGGGAGTAGCCATGGTCTTGGTTGTGCTGGAGGCTGATTTGGGTGTAACCAAAAGCATTCTCTGAAACACTGTGTATTTAGCAGGGAGCTGTGTTTCTTGCGGGCTTGTCGAGTCGAAGGTTTGATATGTTTCTCTTGTGCTTTTGATGGTACTCGTGAGTCAGTCAAGTGTAAAGTCAGCGGAGCAAGCAGAAGCTCAAACGTTGCTACTAGCCTTGCCCAGGCCGCTACCACTAAAGCCTAGTTCACATTCAACGGGGCGCGACGGGAAGCGACGTAAGGATCGACGGGAAGCGACGGGACGGTCTGACGGCATCCAATGTGAACACCAGGAACGGGAACGCAACCGTACTACCGCACAGATCGGGAAGTGACGGGAAGAGTTGGATCGATCCAACTTTTCATACCGTAGACGGGCGTAGACGGGGACGCAAGCGTACACAACGGCTGCAATCCAAGTGTGAACAGGAGACGGCGTCGTGCGCCGACTACTCCCGATTCGTACTTGGACATTTTTAGCATTTTGAACACTGCGCTTCCCATGATAACTCACAGAATGGCTAGCACGACTTGAGTTGAATTTTAGCAACATAAGATCTCATGTCACTTATTGTATTTAGGGATAGTTCAGAAGCGTGACAGACGAACTATTCTATCATTTCCTGGGGCTATTATTTGAATGCCACAACTTTCAGGGCTAATTTTTTGGTCTTCATGAAAAACTGGTATTGTGCACTTGATTCCACTTCTTTCAAGGAGAAATAATTGAAAAGAAGTCCCGAGAAACGAGAAATTAGGTCCGAAAGTCACCCCGTCACGGACCGTGCCTTAGGACTCGCGCCGTTCGACGTTGAACGTCGCAACTGCTGCATGTCGTGTCGTACGAATCGTACAGGATTTTACAGCTCACCCCAGCCCTCCCGACAAGCCCTTACGCCCCGTACCGTGGGCGTTGCGTCGAATGTGAACTAGGCTTAACTAACACCCACAACAGTTATTTGTGATGACACGAGGCAAGCTAGTGAGTCTTTCTGTACATGTACACTGTTCCCAGCATAGTGTTGGCTAAGTCATACCATCCTTGCTGTGTTGTGTCATATCATCCTTGCTGTGTTGTGGGCTCTGTGTTGTAGGGATGTGGTGCAGCCAAGCGGCCTGCAAGCACAGCACTGGTCCGTGCTCCGTTAACTCCATTAGGACAGGGTGGATGTGGCGGCGGCCTTTCTGTTCATGTAAGTATTTTGCACTGACTGCAAGTCTACAAAACTTGGAGTCCGGTACTGCATTCAGTAATGATGTTCTCAAATACATTGTACATGGATATGTGGTGTAGAAGCAGACACACAGCCATTTTACATTCTTGATCAAGTATTCTATTTTCCCGAGTAACAAAGCCTGTACGGGCAAGATAACGTAATGGTTGTGCAGTGAACTGACAAACTAAAGAAAAACTCCCTTACCGGTGCCAGGACACCGAATCAACACCACGGGCACAGTAAACGGACAGAGATAGCTTACTAAGTAGATCAAGAGTAGATAAACAAGAGTGTGCAACTCCGCATCTCTCCTGCATAATCTGCAGATACCCCCGCCCACGGCGGAATTTTTTGTTGACGTCACCTTTTTTCAGAAGAACGCGCATTTTGCCGCAGAGCAGTGTGGGAGCACGTGCTGGGCACCGACCTTGTACTACAGTAGTGTAAAGCCGGCCAAGAGCACGACGGAAAACTTTCCGAAAGACTCGCAGCGCGTGCGTCGTCGAAAAGATTATGTCAACAAAAAATTCCGCCATGGGCCTACCCATCCGCGAGTTGCACACTCTTGTTTATCTACTCTTGCTTAGATGGACCAAGAGACAGCTTAGATGCACCAAAAGACAGCATGTTGAAGGAGATGATGGTGGGAGCGAAGAAGACATGCAAGCGGCCAGTGATGGCGTTGAGAATGATATCCACAGGAAGAAGTGCGAACTGCACGGAACATTTGTTATTTAGTCTGTTATGCCATGAACTGTACGATGATTCATGGTTCAGTGGTGTGCGGTGTGTGATGTGTGCTGTGTGCTGTGTATCAAGGTTCAGTGGTGTGTGACGTGTACTGGTAAGCATTCTTCACTTGCTAGAGGCACATATTTTTGCTTACAAACCTTGATTTTTGCAACCTCTCTGTTCTTTCTCTTCTACAGGAGGCACTGATGCGAAAGCTCTTGTCCAAGCCTTTCAAAGTTCCCATACCAAACTATGATGGTAGGTGAACTAACTTGTGAAGTAATGCCAGCCATTAGAAGCGCTGAGTTCCTGCAACTTGCCAACATCTACTCTGTAGTGCATGTATAGAGAAGGTCATGCCGTGTAGTTTGCCCAATGCCTACCTTCAGCAAATATATTTTCCAGCGCAGTCCTAGTAGCACATGAAGCAAGAGTATATACGCTCCCAAGAGTGTGCAACTACTGATACCCTTTCTTTGGGGTTCGCCGATGGCGAAAACTCACATCCCGTGGTGTGGTGTCCCAGTTGTACGTTTCCGGCCCATTTTTTAACAAGCAGCGGAGTAATAAAAACAAAACTTTCTGACTGCGCGTATCCAACTCGCCAGCATGATCATGGCAGATATTCGGGGGAAAAAGAGGTTCTGTATCCATTCCGTGGAACTTGGAGCTGGTCTGTCTGTTGAGACAATGTCAGACTAATAACCATGTCTTAGGGGCCGTTTACATGAGGAAAATAAGCCCGGGCTTATTCGCCTCGGGCTTATTTTTCAACCGTTTACATGACGGTTGTACGGGGCTGAGTTCAGGTGAGTGACTGCGAGTTCTGCGCGCATTTTATTTTTCAAATCGCACATGAACGCAGTGGTAAATGTTCGTGTCTGATGAAATTTGGATCAAGAAATGCCGGCTCAGGTTTCTACTGCCTTTCCAATTGTCACTTATTTTTCGAGAAGGTGAAGGATGGGCTAGGACCTTCCACTGGACAAAAACTAGAAGAAAACATACCAAGAAATAAATAAAAGAGACGCACTGTCCACGGCCACATTCTCTCAGGTTCACGAGGCAAAATCGAAAAATACGGAAAAACTCGCTTATAAGCCCTTCTTGACCGTTTACATGACAAAATAAGCCCTGGGGGTTGGATAAGCTCGGGGGTCAAGGGTAGGGCTAGTTCAGCTCGGGGCGAGCTGAATAAGCCCGCCTGACCATGTAAACGCGCGCTCTAAAATGACTGGGTGACAGATCAAGGCGGGCTTATCGTAAGCCTAGGGTTGAATAAGCCCGGGCTTATTTTTCTCATGTAAACGGCCCCTTAGTCAGGAGTACATCTCCGAGCGTTATAGTCGGTCAAGTAACTAGTTTGCTGAAGATGCCCACGCTCATGGTTGGGATGGGAGGTCGAAGACACCCTGTACCGAAGACGCCCTGCACCGCACATCTTGTCTGTCTTGCAGGTGCTTCCATGTTCTTGATGGAGAGGGATCTCCTTGGCTCCCTACCACAACAGAACGTATTGATCACACACACACACACACACACACACACGTACACACATGTTAAATATGGTGGGATGTGGAACTGATGTAATGTGGCTTGTATGTTGTTGTTGTTGTTGTTGTTGTTGTTGTTGTTGTTGTTGTTGTTGTTGTTGTTGTTGTTGTTGTTGTTGTTGTTGTTGTTGTACAAGGCGCTAGCCGTGGCACGTCTGGTCTTGGAGTGCGGAGATCTGGTGCTCGCCTGCCCCTGCACAGTCCTGATGATGCCAATGCACTGATCCTGTATGAACCACCACCACTGACTGAACACCAGAGACTCATCTCTGATAAGTATGTTTCTACATCAGTACGTCAGTACTGTATTCCTGGGTGCTGTGGCTCATGTACACACCTCACACCTCAGACCTGCTCATCGCGGGGCGATGATAGCGAACAGCTATGTTAGACATAGCAACTTGTGCTGGGATTACACCATTCAACAGCTTGCAAGGCTGAACACACACACACACACACACACACACACACACGCAAAGCTCTGAACAGTATCACCACACAACATAACAACTTGTTAGAGCTTTTTATCAATATCTTCCAAAAATACAATTTTCGCTCTCCACTCATTGGTGGAGATACGGAACTAAAGTCCATTCATCCGAACTGACACCCACACTTGTCGGTGTCTCCTACATATAGAGGCACTGTAGATGTTGTGACAACAACTGTACATCCTGCATTGTGTGGCCCATGCACGTCTTCCTTGTCTCATTATAGGCCCGAAAGGTTATGGGTAGGGAGTTAGAAACACGGCCAGGTTTTACTAAATTAGGACAGCCGTACCACGGCAGAATGTATGGAGAAGCAGGCCCAAAGCCCAAAATTTTCGAATTTAGACTGTTTTTTTAGCCCTGATTTAGCCAAAATCAGGCTTTCAAAAGCCAGCGGGTTATTCTATCTGAATGGATTTTTGCATTAGTGAAGAAGGGCTTGAATTATGTGTTCTTCCCCAAGCCGGTGAAGAGTCCAAGACATAGTCACACCCTGACGCTACAAAAAAAAGAGAGTTAACTATCGTCACTATGGTCGCAAATACTCGAAAAATCCAGCGGAAGATGCAGCGCGTAACGGCGGGAATGCTGCAAGTAAAGCCTGTAATACTGTGTAATCTGCAGTGAGTGTGCAGTGAGTTTGCAGTGAGTGTGCAGTGAGTTTGCAGTGAGTGTGCAGTGAGTGTGCAGTGAGTGTGCAGTGAGTGTGCAGTGAGTGTGCAGTGAGTGTGCAGTGAGTTTGCTCAAGGGAACTGCTCTACTTGTAGATTATAGCGGTCACACCAGATACAGCTACAGTCGTCCCTCTCTAATCCGGCACCTTTTGCAACGTCATTTTCTGCTGGATAAACAAGGGTGCTGGATTATCAAATCATGCCCTCCAACCCGGCCCACCTATTATCATACATGTTTGTGTCGTACGTCAAAACGTAGCGATTTTCTGTGTCAATCCAAGTACTTTGTGGAACGCATGTCTATAACATACACTTGGGAATATCCTATGCACTAGCATAGGATATTCCCAAGTGTATGTTACATGTGTTGTGTATGTTACAATTCTCCTTGACAGCATGCGATGTACAACTGCTGGATTAGAAAATCGAATCATGTACAGTTTGAGTGATTTGTTGCAGAAAATCGCTGCTGGAGGCGGAATTCAAGTGCCGGATTAAAGCGTAGAAAATGAACTGAAAAAATCCGTTTTGCCAGAAAGTGTGCTGGTTTCCAAGGGTGCTGGATAAACAAGTGCCGGGGGATTAGAGAGGGACGACTGTATACATATACTGTGTTGCAGGGCCCTCGCCGGCCTCGGGTTCAAGTAGCGCGGTTGACCACCGCCTGGGGTTTCAATCTGTACGAGCACTTCCCAGTTTGTGTTATCGAATTGTATCCCCATATGATAGGTATCAGAGTCTGGGTTATATGCAGTATAATCAGTTCAGTCTAAACTACCCTGGATAAGTGGATATGTGGATAAAAATACTAGTACTTTGGGCTATACTATTCTACTATTTTGGAGTACCCTTCGTTATGTCAAAGCAGCCATTTCACCTTGGATACTGTATACAATACCTCGGCTATGCAGTACATGTACCTCGGCTATGAGGTACAGTAACCCCCCTATTCCGGGCACGTCCGCGTACCGGGCACCTTTCTGACCTATCTAGAGTGACTCTGAGTCACAAAATTGGCTTTTCAACGAAAAACGGCCCCAAAATCTATTGATTGGTATAAACATGTTGACTTGCATCATCAAGTTGCGTACAGTAAGTAATACTAAGTATGTATGTTGTGAGTTCCGGGCAAGTCCCACTTACGGCCAGTGCTCGGTCCCAACCTGCCCGGATTAGGTGGATCAGGGGACCTTTCCTGTAGAAATTTGTATGGCCCTTGGAGGTACGGTTTACTGATTTTTCATCGTAATATAATACTATAATACTTTTCCGACTGCACGTGCCTGACCCCACACCCTAGTGCCAGCCTCCGGGGCATTACTAGTAGTTTCCATTTCTTGATAATCCCGTACTCCGTACTCTGGAGATTCTCACCTCTATACAGTACAAATGCACTGGCTCTCATATCCGCCAGGTGTAGAAAATTCTTGGGTGGGTTTCGAGAACATCGAACGAACGCTTGGAAAACTGGAGGCTGCAATGAAGGCAATGAGCCGGCACTTGCAGGTACGGCACGCTATGAATCGTTTCCAGGAGGCAGGCAGATGTTCGGTTGCTCTGATCGGTTTTGCATGGTCTTCAGCACATGTGTGGTGTCCGGCGGCGCTATCCCTGTGCTGCTGCAACAGGCTCCTAGGGCTCTGCTCTGTGTTATTGTCATCAAACACTACTTGCACGCTGCCAGCTCCCCGTTGCAGTCATGGCAAGACTCAGGGCTCTGTCCAGCGCTAGTGTCATCAAATACTACTTGCACGCTGCCAGCTCCCCATTGCAGCCATGACAATACCCATCGGTGCAGCAAGAAGTCTCGGTGTGCTGCGAAGGTTGTGATTGTGCCCAGTGGCGCCGTATGTAGCCATAACACTGCATCTAATATCACTGCCGCTGAGGATGCCATGAATTCCTAGGGTAGCGTGTTCACCACTATGGCAGAGTTTTTGTATCTAAACTGACTATACCATGATGTCACAGTTGACTTTGTGCCGCGCCGTGGTGTCAGGCCATCCTCTGTAAGTGCTCTCGGCACTTCAATCAGCTGCTCACCAACTCCAGTTGCACTCTCACCATGCTGTTGCAACCATGCTAACCGCTTTTTCAGGCAACTGGTGATTAGCCGCTGTGTTTTCTTGTCCTGGTTTCCAGTGGACTTCTTCTTCGTTGACGATGCAAGCGTTCGTAAGCGCTGCTGTATGCATAGAGGGTCTGCAGTTGGTATTTGAAGTATCTTTCCTTGCGCATAGGAAAGGAAATCAACTTTTACTTCGCCAGCATCATACAACGCCCGCATATCGGAGTGTTGCTCCTTGTCTGCCTTTTGACCAAATACGTAACGGGGATTAGCAAACCTGCAATTGCACCAGGCAATGACTTAGCTACAGTGGTTGTTGACACAATTGCCTGTATGTTCTCTTCGCTGCGTGCATGCGCTAAGTGAAATGCCACAATTCTCAAGTAGAATGCCTGGTCTACTGCTTGGTATTATACTGCGCACTTCTTGAAGGCTGATACCCGCAGTTACTAATTGCTACGTCTCATTGTATTCCATAACACAATGTATGCTGCACGGTCCCACCGATAGAACCTTGCCTAGAATTGCCAGGTGTCATCCTCTTTCCGCATGTTCACGGCAAATTCCTTCCGGACCGGGTGCTTGTCAATCATGATTTTGCCCATAGCCCCTTGTACCATGAGCAAGAACTCATGACATTTCCTGAAGTTTGATCAACACTGAAGGGCAGCGAGTACCCCATTGACAGTGCTAGCTGAGCAAGACCCGAGTCCCAGTGAAGAGCAATGCCTATAACGCTTTCAGCTAGTGCCAGTCGCCGGGTTATGGTATAAGCCAGGAGAGTGCACTGCCATGCTCCTTCTGCAGTCTAAGCATGTGATCAAATGTCTTGCCATCGCCTATTACGGTACCACTAGGTATCCTGTGACTGTCCCAATGCTGAATATCGCTTGAAGTTTGTACATCTAATTTTGGCTTCAGTGTTTCTTGGGAGTCACCGGGCTCCTGTAGAACTTCAAGGTAAAAATTACTTTGCTGACCTCCGGGGAATCATCTGCACATCTAGCTAAAGCGTAATGCTGCTTCAGTGGCTGTCATATAGGTGACGTGAGGAATTGATAGTATTCAACTTTTGCTTCCCGTGCTTCAAGTAGGAGTTTCCCTCCTCCTCCATCATTGCGGAGTCTACCATTGTCAGCTTGACCCGGTTATACCAGTTTTCTGTGGTGACTGTGCTCTGGGGTAAAGTCGAGAGCCACTTGTGTAGTCCATCAGGCTGCTCTTGTACCACTGATACCAATGGTACAGGTTGCTGGTTGGTTGCTGGTTGGTTGCTGGTTGGTTGCTGGTTGGTTGCTGGTTGGTTGCTGGTTGGTTATTGTCAGCCTTGGGATACCTGTACCCTGTATCAAGTACATCCAGAAAATTGGCATGCAAGACATTATCTCAGGACGGGGCAGGATAATTCTGCAGGTCACACATCTTTATACATGTAGTATCAATATTCGAGGTCTATCGCATCACCGAGAATAACGTCCGTGCTACAGCATGCTTCTTTTGCTTACATAGATCAGGCTTGTGCAAACAAGGACAGCTTTCTGCCGGTGATGGCAAGCCTTGAAGGGCATGGGTAATACCATTGGCATTGAATACTTGTATTGCCTACCCATCCTTTGGTGCTTTTCGCGCTGTGTTGGTCCACTATGCGACGAAGTGACTGGGATCATCCGTGGTCTGCTTCACTTTGGCTGTATCTGGTAGTATGTGTAAAGGAATAAACCTGTTGTTTGATAAGTGTGTTCAGGCGTTGAAGGGTCCTAAAACGTACCGACAAGAGTACATAACCCCCAAGAGTGTGCAACTGCCTGCACAACCTCTATCCAGTGTTGCCACGGCAGAACTTCACATCACGTGACATGGTTCAAAGGATTGTGCTGGCAAAGAGTGCAAAGTGACCAGCAGAGAGTTGAACCCAGAGCAGGCTTGCGTACAGCACTGTATCTATCATGAACATGGTGCAAATAATGTATACGAGTTTATCACATGATGTGAAGTATTGCCATCGCAGACCCGGTAGCTGGAGTTGCACACTCTTGGGGGCTATGTACCCTTGGTAAAAGGCAGCACAGTTCTGGCACTCTGGTTGGTAATCCAAGTGGTGTAAAAGATGGGATGTTAGGGAGTCTTTCCTCACCATTTACGCATGCACCGCTGTTAGTACTGGGTTGAAGTGGGCAGCAAAGTATGCACCGCTGTTAGTACTGGGTTGAAGTGGGCAGCAAAGTACAAGTATCTTTTCATCGATACTAATGTTCTCATCGACCAGCACACGCTGAGCGGAACGTGGAAAGTTGTGTTTTGGAAGATATTTACATTGTAGCATGATGTTCTGTAGTGCGGTGTTGTCTGCAACACCGATATTGGTCTGGTGTTATTTCACGCTTATTGTTGGTGTTGGTGTTTTTTTTCCTTTTGCTTCAGGAATACCCTCCCTGTTCATGGTAAGTAGCATACATTGACAATTGACATGTCTATGTTGCTATGTGTGTGGGTGCAGTACAGGCAATATTATGTCACATTGACGTGTTGCTCTGTAGGTGCAGTAACTTACAGGCAATATCACTTACCCGGTCACCAGTTATCCGAGCATGTCTGAATGCCCTGTTCCCACAATGGTGGGATACATGGCTCTTCACTGCTCATCATGTGTATGTGTCATGTTCTAATAACTTCAAGTTCCGAGATGGTACAGAATATTTATGTGTTTGTGCAGTGGCGGATCTAGGGGGGGGGGGGGGGGGGGGGTCCGGGGGTTCCATGGAACCCCCTAAATTTTGCAAAGTGTACTGGTGAGAAATATCGAAAAATATAATGTGTGCACAAAAGGACGTCCGTCCGATCACAGTGCAGTCTCTCAAGGAGTACAGTGCACTGCATGCTATAGCGATAGATCGATACTGTAGATCTACGTAGTCTGTCCTGGTGTTCACGTCCGTGATTTACAAACGGACGCTGTACTGAGACAACATTGGGTGGTTGTTTCCTTTTTGATCTTTCGAAACGTTACGATCCTAACTTACCTCCATTGGCGCTGTCATTCACTGCTGCTCTGGATGGGTGCGGTCAGTATTCCTTGCACAAGTTTTTTCCGGACGAGAAGGGATGTTCGGATTGATTACACTCTTCAACGAACTTCGAATCGTACACGTAGAGTTCAAGCTCCTCAGAAGATGAGGGCTCCGACATCCAAGCAAAGTCAGTAATCTCTACCTGCTGCAGCATGCAGTAGTGGCTAGGTGTTCCTCCGCAGGAACGGAGTGCTGCGCCAGCGATGTGTTTTAGATGATATTGGAAGGATTGTCGACACTGTTTCACTGTTGCTGTTTCTGTCAAGTGAAGACAATGCTCTTGTCCTGTGATTAAAGAGTATTTCTCATCGTAAAAATGCTAAAAAATTTCCGAAAGTACAAATGGACAGGGAAATTTGTCATTTCGCATTTCTGGCTCTCAACGTACCCATGGCTTGCATATTCGATCTTCAAAAGAAGTTAGTTGAAAGGGTCTTCAAGCCCTCAGTGAACCTGTGTGCCAGTCATTGCATACATCTTATGATTATGTGTCCGTACTAAATGTTACGTATACAATGTAGGGTAAGCAGCGGCATTTGGCCCTGTACAGGTTTTCCACCGTCCACTACACCACAACTGCGCTCTCCAGCGATGGTGGTGTGCTGTGGCAACGTGTGAGGCCGGCTGAAGAGCGCAGTTATGGTGTGGTCGATGATGGAGGAATATGTGTCCGTAGTGTGTTTTAAAATCATGAGATTCCAACTTACACAATCGGGTTGTCGTAAACTCGTAATTACACCCGCAGTCCCGCACAACTTCAATACAATCTGATTCCATATTTTGGCTGTTCAATTTTGGTTCAACCGGAACCCCCCTGTAGAGATCTCTGGATCCGCCCCTGTTGTGTGTATATGTGTGTGTGTGTGTGTGTGTGTGTGTGTGTGTGTGTGTGTGTGTATGTGTGTATGTGCGTGTGTGTGTGTGTGTGCGCACGCGCGCGTGCGTGTGTTTGTGTGTGGGTGCGTGTGTTTAGTTGTCGTTGATCCCACGCTGAGTGCAGTTCTGCGTCCGCATCAGAGAGAGGTATGTAACATGCTTGCTTGCATTCTAAACTTTGAATATTTCTTTTCTGGACAGCTAGATCAATGCCGGTACACATGCTAGTTACTGTTTTTCCAGCCGCATTGGTCATTCATGCCTCTTATCATTATCCAAATGTCATTTGTGGAACCTGTTGTGGGAGTAGGGGGGTGTTCGTCAGTGAAGACATGTTTACAACCAGTATAACTTCTCAAAAGAATAACGTTGTATATGCATGATTGTGTGTGTTTATGTGCGTGTTTATGTGTCTCTGTGTGCGCGTGTTGGTGTGTCTGTGTCTGTTTGTGTATTGCATGGGCATAACACATGGTATTGCCCACAGGGTGTCAAGTTCCTTTGGGACTGTGTCACCGGTGTCCGCATTCCGGGTAGCTTTGGATGTGTCATGGCCGATGAAATGGTGAGTTTGATCTGATTCTGAACTTCCAGTACTGATTACTATAAAGATGTGTTTATGGACCTACCATGCTGACTGTCCTGACTATGTGTTAATGGACCTACCATGCTGACTATCCTCAGCTGATTCAGGTGCTGAGTCAGTTCATGTATGCTATGTGCTACTTCCTCCGCGTCATTAAACTTGTCGCTTCGCACATCGCAATATTTGAGACTTGGCTCGTCTTAGTCAGACTGTCGGAATCGCTGTTTTCTGTGTTCGAACACTGGTGCAACCCTTCCTGCGCAATGTCGACTTGTCACTGAAGCCGTGGTTGTCTCGGACTTTGTCGGAGCGCTCTTCCGCACCAAGCAAATTCATCGCGCTCCGCACTATTCCGCCCCAGAGCGCATTTCGTTTTCTGGAGTTTGTGCCGTCCCACATCGTTCGCGTGGGCATATATCAAGACTGCAAGCTCGGGTATAAGAATCCTGGTATCTCTCCTGAATACTAGGGGTGAAAGTTGGCATTGAGATCCCGAGTTCGAGTACTCTGATTTTCTCCGATCGAATATTCGAGTATTCGAGTATTCTTCATCTCCTAAAAATTGCACACCGAGGGCCTTAAAATCACATGATACAACCCTGATTGAACCGAGTGGCAGTCATTTTTCTCTGGTACAGTGTGTATATTGGTTGGTGGGTCATTTGGGCTCTCTCTACTCGTGAACAAATGTTCACCACACAGTCTGCACATCAATATCTGCCGACCGCTGCTCTGAAACTGCAGATTTCTGTGGTAAATGCATGTACCATGTATGAACGAGTACTCTGATTTATTCCGAGTACGATTATTCCTGAAAAAACCGAGCGAGTACTCGAGTATTCGGTATAATTGTTTCACCCCTACTGAATACGAAATGCTGAAGTTGACGATGGCAAGAACAAATGCGCTACTTGTGGCGCATGTGGCTGCGAAGGTAGCAGGTCTGAAAACACCAACAAAATCAGCGAAGCGCTTGCCAAGGAAAGAATGTGCGAAACTGCTTACCCTATCCGCTGGAAGGTCGTTACAGTGTACTTGAAAAATGCTAGCTTGCCTTCATCGCCTGCCACCGGGAGGCATGGATCGCTTGAAAACGAAGTTTCTTGACCAGAATTTGACCGCGCGTCTTGTTTAGCGTATTGTTGAGTGCTGAAGGGTCTGCCTCAAACTCTGATGAAGACGTCGACCTTAGCTGCAAGTGCAGAGAAGCGGCCACAAACTAAAGCTTGGTCCGTCGACAATGCTCTGCCTCAATTTCTAGCTGATTTCTTTGCCCTTCGAGTGGACAAAATACATTCGAAAAATCGCTCTGGGCAGCGACAATTTTAATGACGCGGAGGAAGTATATGCTATATGCTATGTGCTATGTACACCAGGTGTACTGTGCATATTGCTCCTTGCTATGTGTTATAATGCTATATGCTATGTGTTATGTGCTATGTGCTATGTACACCAGGTGTACTGTGCATAATGCTATATGCTATGTGTTATGTGCTATGTGCTATGTACACCATGTGTACTGTACTGTGCGTATTACTACGTGAGGTACCATGGCAACCATTTTGTTTTGTGTAAGTTGGGCCGCAATTCTGAATTCTGATTGCCTTTGGACCTTTCTGGATCTGGATGTGGTCAAACTCACCATTTCCTATGAATAGACGCATCTGTGATATCTCATGATATGACGGCTATGCATGTAAATGTACAAAGTTGATTGCAGTGCTGACTCCACTAGTTGTGTGTCTCAACTCACATACGCTGATGTCATGTACAGTGCTGCTCAATGAAATCTGATCGAGTGAGTTAAGTACGCCATGCCGGGCAGCGCTGTGCCGGGCAGCGCCGTGCCGGGCAGCGCCGTGCCGGGCAGCGCTGTGCCGCCCTACACCTGTCAACACTGGGATATGAAATGGAGCAAGGCGCTAACTTGCCTCACGCTACCGTAAAAGTCCGTAAATAAGTACGTATTTACTTTCGAATTTAGTGATCACACCCGTACTGACTTTCGGGCGGGTACTGACTTTCGGGCACGAACTAACTTTCGGACCTGACTTGTGTGTAGTGGAGAAGTCATTTTCATGTCGATGTACATGCTACGTGCTGCATGTGCGCACCGTACCGGTACTTATTTCGGGCAGTATGTTTATCGGGCTCGGCTTGACTTCAACAGACAGAGCCAAAAAAATGAAGGGGGTATTTCTTTCGGGCAGGTACTTATTTACGGACTTTCACTATTGGATTTCATTAAGCAGCAGCACTGTACTTACTGCTTGGTGTACAGTATACACTGTACACTGTACACTGTATACTGTTTTTTACAACTTGTACAAATTTATTGATTGAGTAATTATACTAAAAATGTTTGGCACCTAGGCTATGATCAGGGGATGGCCCACGCCTGGTAAAAAAAGTAAGTAATTAAAAAAAAAATTAAAAATAAGAGGTTCTGTGTTCCGGCTCTCCGCCTTCTCCGCGAACATAAGAGAACTAGAGGAGAACAAACAAACACAAGAAGCAAGAATGACACGAAAAGCAGAAATTATGAGAACATGGTATAAATGAGCACGGCCATCAACCTCAACAGGGGATAGCCGCCTCGGCAACAACAAGAGCAGCTGAGTCCGCGGCAAAGACCGGTGCATAGAGCCGCCTAGCACCCCTCAGGCACATCACACTGGATCGGACCAAGGCAAAGCTGATTTGACACCGGATCGAAGCCATCACGGCACTGTAGGCCTCTCCGGTCTTGTCGGCGATGAGGGACGCTATCCTCTTGTACAGAGAGGTGGCAGATTTCCCCATGCCTCCCGTAGTGGAGAACACGGCGGGAACAAAGCTGGAGTGTTCCACTTCTCGGATTCTCTGCTCATAGGCACGGCGCTTGGCTTTTTCGTGACGGGTGTAGCTAGCAGCAAGTGAGTTGAGGCGATTCGAGGACGCAAAAGGGTTAAACACCCGGACATCAATGTAGGTGCGCTCGAACCGCCCTCCCCAAATACCACTAGCCACCACGTCAAGGCGGGCTTGGTCGTCGCCCACAGCAGTACGGTACCGGAGCTGCTCTCCAGTGAGTGGCTGCAAATGTGGCTCAATAGCCACCTGGTGGCCAACACGCTTCGCAAGGCGAGCTGTCACATCGCGTACCTCGTTGTGGCGGAGGGTTGGGAAACCGCCTAACGGGCCGGAGAGGGCATGGCTGACGGTGAACTGCTGTCCACAGGAACATGATGTTGGCAGTCGTACTGGGTGCCAGCCATACCGGAGGTGCACAGCATCGCGGAACTCAGCCTTCGTGAGGGTGAAGCCGTGGGCCTTTAGGGGCCGGCAGGTGAGCCAGCTGGATGCCCCCCGCTCCGAAGCAAGGTCGATGGTACGTTGAACCTCTGGAGGTGCGGCAGAATGCAGAGCGACGGCCTCGGCTTGGAGTGATGTATTTGCCTTCGCCCTCAACAGCTGCTTGTTCTTCCGCACTTCCTGCAGGGCATCGCCAAGCGTGGCAGTCTGCTGCTGAATGCGCCGCACCAGGGGGCCAACGATGGTCTTGGAGTGGGCGTACTGGGCCCCGAGGGAGGCAGGTGTGATGAGCCCCAGACCACCATGTCGACAAGGCAGACTGAGAGCCAGAAGCTGTCGCTCATCGTATACTGTACACTGTACACTGTAGAGGGGACGGCTCGATACTGGGACGCTTTGACAGCCAAATTTGTATAGACCCAAACCGATCATCAGCGTTGATTTTTCACTCGAAATATATTTGTGGAAGGAAACTGGCATGTTGAAGTTTGCTCTGGGGCCAGAGTCAATCGAACTGAGCCACTCCTTTGTGTTGACCCATTGCCTCCAAGATGCCCAATTTTTCGCTTCAAAAAAGTTCAAATCAGAGGTGGCTCCAAACCGGACACGTTTTAGAGTGCACGTCAAATTCACTCTGGGTCTGAAATTAGGTAATTGCTATCGCTCCACGACGGCCAGTACAGAGTAACAATAAGCCTTGTGTGTGCTTCCATTAGATTTGATTGGTATGCGGTGCTTTATTGGCGAGAGGCGAGCCGCTGTTTACCTGCGACAAGAAGTTGATTTTTCGAAAGTCGTAAAACTCAAGTCGCAGTGCGAAGCAACACGTCAAAAACTCACCTGCTTGATATGGCGCTTCTGGTCATCGCAGAGCCATGAAATTTTGGCTCGGAGTATAACACATCGTAGTCTCACTGTGACATATGTTTTCTAATCAAAATACCAAGAGAGAAAGTGAATATTGAGTCCGTTCCGGTTTGCAACCTATGTCCTATTTGAAACCGTCCCCTCTACACTGTACACTGTACACTGTACACTGTATACTGTACACTGTACACTGTACACTGTACAGTATACTATATACAGTGTACAGTATACTATATACAGTATACTGTACACTGTACAGTATACTGTATATAGTATACTGTACACTGTACAGTATACTGTACACTGTACAGTATACTGTACAGTGTACAGTATACTGTATATAGTATACTATATACAGTATACTGTACACTGTACAGTATACTGTATATAGTATACTGTATATAGTACACTGTATATAGTGTACAGTATACTATATACAGTATACTGTATACTGTATACTGTACACTGTACAGTGTACAGTGTACAGTGTACAGTGTACAGTGTACAGTATACAGTATACAGTATACAGTATACAGTATACAGTGTACAGTATACTATATACAGTATACTGTACACTGTACAGTATACTATATACAGTGTACAGTATACTATATACAGTATACTGTATACTGTATACTGTACACTGTACACTGTACAGTGTACAGTGTACAGTGTACAGTGTACAGTGTACAGTGTACAGTATACAGTATACTATATACAGTGTACAGTATACTATATACAGTATACTGTACACTGTACAGTATACTATATACAGTGTACAGTATACTATATACAGTATACTGTATACTGTATACTGTACACTGTACACTGTACACTGTACAGTATACAGTATACAGTATACTGTATACTGTATACTGTATACTGTATACTGTATACTGTACACTGAACACTGTACACGGAATCAATCTCGGCGTTGCTTTGTTTTCTACCTAGGGTCTTGGCAAGACACTGCAGTGCATTGCATTAATGTGGACATTACTGGTAAGACATTAATGTGGACATTGCTGGTAAGACATTAATGTGGACATTACTGGTAAGATCTTGAGAAACCGTTACCCTGTCTTCAGGTATTGGGTTCAGGTAGAAGTTTTCTACAGGTAACACGAGCACCCTATCAGGTAGTGTTACAAGCACCAGGGAAACACTATCCTTCATTGTATCCCTTTGTAGCACAACGAACTGTTCTGTCTTGATGATGAGTTTGGGTTTGTCATCCTGATTCAGTCCATTCAATGCCTCGGTGCTCTGTCAGTGATGTGCTGACTTTAGATGTATGTGGTTCAATTGGTTGACTGTCGCACATGACTTGTTCCTCATTGGTTCTCTTTTCCATCAGTGCTGATTTCTGTGGCAGTTCTGCAGCTGTTTCATCTTGAATCATCACATCACATGACATGTACTTCAGAAGTATATTGTGTGCTGTGGAATATGTTCACATTGTTGTATAGTGCAGAGTGCAAGTCTGTTCACACTGTCTTGTGCTCTGTTTGATTGTGGTTCTAGCGACAAGGTCCAGAGGCTCGTCCTACTGTGGACAAAGTGATAGTCGTCACTCCATCCAGCCTGGTCAAGGTATGTACATGTACTTGACTGTATGGTCAGTGATGTCACAGTGTTGAATCCAGTCTCTCTCTCTCACTCTCACTCACTCTCTCTCTCTCTCACTCGCCTTGTCGAATTCGTCCATCTCCTATTCAGTCTGGCTTTCCCAGTCCTTTACATTTTTGCGATGAGCATGTTTGGCGTCTCCACAGCCTCCCGCACAGTTAGTGCTGCTGTCCACTTCAGCACAGCGGTGCTTTGCACAGACACACGGTGATAATGTGGTGGATACACTGGGGGCCCGGGCAGATCCAGATCTTCAAGGGAGGGCACCAATGCTTACGTTTCACTTTCTGTAATAGGACGTTCATGTTGCATCGGGGTGGTTTCATTAATCGGACCAGCAATGCTCAATACACCAACATACGGAGCATTCCAACGTCTTAGCATCACTCAGCTTTGTTCATCCTTCAGCCCCCTCTGCTGTATGTGATTATGTTTGCTTTCTGTTGTAAAGAACTGGTACAAGGAAGTGGGTAAATGGCTTGGCACAAAGCTACAACCCACTGCCATTGACTCTGGCTCTAAAGATCAAATCGACAGAGATATTTGTAAGTCGTGACTTGTTGACCACTAGTAGTTGTACAGGTGACCAAAGTGAGCCAACACATACAAAACACTCAAACTCTTTTTCCTGTCCAGTATCATATTGTGTGTACTCGAGAAACATGCCGTCATCAGTCCAGGAAAAATAACCCACCGTGCAGCACCACACACATAGCGCTCTCACGGTACTTTACGGTACATACACGTACAGACAACTTTGCGTATAACGACACTCGGCGGGGCATCAGAAAAGTGTCCTTATTCGCAAAGTATCCTTACTAGACCCAGGGGGGGGGGGGGGGGTGAGCAAGTCCGGAGCAGTAGTGATGGTGGTGGCACAGGTCTTGTGGTCTCCTGAAACGCCAACCACCATTGCAGACTATGTGGAAGGGAATGAGCTGCAGTCTGTGTTTGTTGCTTTAGTTGAACCACGGCTGCATTGATGTTGGTTCATGCCTTGGCATGATAATGATAATGCCCAGCAGTTGCCATGGGCACAGTGGAGATTGCAATGCTGGCAGGACACATTGTTCGTTTATAATACTGGGACCAGAAACCATGAACTTGGTTGGTTTTGGTGGCACTGACGGTGAGACCAAAATCGCTGCACACTTTCACAAATACTTCCAAGCCTGAAACTGCGACTTGGCGTGTTGTGGCCACAAGAGCTGAATCATCAGCAAACTGGTATTATTGTTATTATTATTATTACGCACACACTCATGGCCAAGGCCAATCAAGGAGGAGGTGAGGGCGATTATAGCCAGCCATGGCAAAAAAAAGAAAAGAAAGAAAAACAAGTGCAAATCAGAACAACAACAATAAAAGAAGAGATTGGGCTGCAAATCAAGTTGTATTATTAGGTTTACGGGAAATGGTTCAAGAGATCACGAACAAAGGCAGACATGTTTTCACATGATTTCAGTTTTTGGGGAAGCGAGTCCCAGAGACAATAGCTAATGAAAACAGGCGAGCGACTCATTGAGTTATTTCTTGAAATAGGGAATCTTAGTTTATTACGACTTGACGAAAAGGAGTTAAACCAGTTAAGCACATTTTGAATATGCATTGGGGCCTTCAGCAGTTTAATCTGATGGATAAATCTACAGCAAAGTCTGTTAATTATGGTTTGTAAAGGACAGGTTTTGCATTGGGAATACAGAATTGTTGATGGGGTGTCAAGTGGGAAGCGAAATATCACTCTCAAAATCCTGCGATGCATTAGTTCAAGCCGCGTCAGCATTCCTGCTCCAGCACTGCATCACACAATGCTACAGTATAAAATTATGGGTAAGATATAGGAGGCGTACAAAGCCCGACGACATACTAGTGGTAAATGGCTCATGTGACTGTATAGAACAGCAACAGCCGAACTTGTCCGGTACTTGAGATACTCCAGATGGTGGGACCAACTCATGCCTGAGTCAAAGATGACTCCAAGGTGTTTGTGGTGGCTAACAATTGGGATGGGCGTCCGATCGTCAGGGAAGTGGAATAGGTGCTGGTCGATGTAGGAAAGATCAGAACGCGGATGAGGTGGAATGCACAACTACTTTCACAAAAGGATGCAGAGCTCTCAAAACTGCATCGGCATCCTACAACTTTTTCCATCGTATACTGTCAGTTTAGAGATGGGTTTACCCTGTGGCTGCGGTGGTGGAGTAGCTTCCCAGCAGGCTTGAAGATAACCTTTGCGTCCACACCATGGATGATCTTCACTCGCTGTCGCCAACAATGCATCACTGCCCACATAAAGATGTTGAAGAAGACAGGGGCTATGCAACACCCTTGACGTAAGCCATTAGTCACAGGGATGGAATCAGCTTCAACATTAGACAGACGAAGAGTTGCGGTCACGCCATCATGGAATGAAGAGATAACACTGATCAGCTTCTCGGGAACACCAGCTTTCTGTGGCACTAGCCATTGGTAACCAAAGACATTCTCGTGGAACTGAGTCGTAGGCTTTCTTCAGATCGTTGAAGATGAAGAAACACTTCTGCTCATGCTCATAGCCCTTCTTTATCAGTTCCTTTGCCGCAAAGATCACGTCAGCACAACCATGACCCGTGCAGAAGCCGCATTGCGAGTCTGGTAACACATTGTCTAGTTTATTAGCAAGTCGGCTCTGGATGATGCAAGAAACCAGCTTTCCAAGGACATCTAAGAGAGCTATTCCTTGCCAGTTGTCACATTCCGCACGATTACCTTGTTTGGGTATGGGTACCGGCTGTTCGTTGACCCAGTCACCAAAAACACTGCCACTTTCCCAGACAGAATGGAGAAACTCCAATAGTCGGTGAGCATATCTGGATAGGCGGTATGTTGCTTCTCCACCAGGAAAATGTTCCAAATGACCAACGAGGATGCCTTGGATGCCTTGCCGATGATGAATATTAGCAAAGTCATACTTCACTACGTTGGAGTTTGCGGACATTAGAGAGGTTAAGTTACACGTTTTTTGCCCTTTTTCAAAACGCGGTGCAAATCTCACGTTACGTGTAATTTTTAGAGGTTAAGTTACACGTGCGATGTGACGTGAAATTTTGCCTGGCAGGATTCGGGTTTAGTTCGCACAAATATCAAATCTTCCAACAAACTTGAAATCTCGATAAAATTCCGGAAACTCACACAAATTCGGTCGGGATAACCAAGCGAAACTTCCAAAAACTCACGTCATGAACTTACGTGCGGGACAGTCAACTCACGTAAAACACGTCAAATTTTACGTGAGTTTTTTTCACTTTTTGACGTAAAAGTTCACGGACGTAAGACTTTTACGTGAAACTTAACCTCTCTAATAAGAAAGGTCACACGTCAAAGTATAATTATTTATCTACGTGTGAGTGTGGACACAGGTACATCGGCAAGACAACCCAATGCCTACATGCTGTAGCTGCATATACCAGCAAGACCGGTTACCATGGTTACGGCTTCCCTAGTTTAGAGCAGTACTGCTGAATGAAATGCAATCATCATCATTGCTGCTGCTTCAGTAAACGAGTACTTCAAGTAGCAGGAACTGTTTAGCTCAAGACCTGCCACAACTGTACTGTGCAATGGTGCAGGACGCTAACTTTATCATGAGATGAGATTTCATTGAGCAGGGCTCTACTCCCCTGGGCATTGTATTCATAATATGTACTTGTATGTCATTAATTTGGTATGGTCACTGTGTACAATGGTGTATGGTCATTGAGGGTTTTGCCAGGATTCTCATGGCCCATACTCAACCCTGTGTGTGTGTGTGCGCTGTGCTGTTCTATGCTCCAATGTTTAGTGTCATTTCTCAAGCAAAGTGGACGTCGCATTCCATCGCCTATCCTGATCATCTCTTACGAGACGTTTCGCCTTCATGCCCACGCTTTGCACTCTGGATCTGTGGGCCTTGTCATCTGTGATGAGGTATATACACAATAGTGTACAGTAGCATCGGTTGCCAAGAATGAGCACAGTCTGAGCACAGTCTCTGCTTCAAGCTACAGTATTGGTGTTCTAACTGTTCTAGACTCCAGCTTCTTCATTCTTGTCCCGTGACCATGCCTCACTATCTCTGTGTTGCCGCACCTGCCGACATGTCAGTAGCCTGCCGATTTTTGAGGCATGTCACGACCTGCCGACAATTGACCTTCTCCTGCCGACAACAGCCATGAAAGTGTCCAAGTTTGACCGTATGCGTGGTTTAGAAGTCATGATTCAGATTTTTGGCTTTTACTGCTCACTACGCATGTTTCCATAGCTCTCTCCTAGCTAAAGGCGCTAAGCGAAACCATCATCTGTCTCGAGAAAAATCGGCAAACTCAGCCTGAGTCTCACGCAAAACGTGAATTTTTTTCTTATCAGTGCCGCGCGCGTGTGTGTGTATCGAGGTCGCTATATAGGGGAGGGGGTCCGGGGGCAAAGCCCCCGGATGATGCATTTTGTTTTTTTATCCTACTGATATTTGGCTATAATGATGTGGCAACACTGCTATCTCTGCTGCTGCTGCTGCTTTGTTGCTACTGCTGCTGTCAGGGTCATCGTTTGAAGAACTCTGACAATCAAACTTATCTAGCATTGGATAAGATGGACGCGAAGAGACGCATCCTATTATCTGGTATGTTTCACAGGTTCCCTGGAATTGATTGTGAATCGTAGTCAACCCAGCAGTGATAATGATTATTGTGAACAGTCGTTGTGTGTGTATGGGGGGGGGGGGGGGGGTTGGGGTGTTTCTGAAGACACAACATACTCGTGAATAGAGGGGAGAGATTGAGAAGTAACAGGACAACTGCATAGACCAGACTCAGACCCAGGACAGTGTTGCTTTCCACTTGTGACTTGTGAGTACTTCAGTAGTCCGTGTGGTACGCTGTGGTGTGGGTGTTGAAAGCTCTTGCTTCTCTGTTCTCTGTCAATACGTCTCTCCAGGAACTCCGATTCAGAATGATCTGCTTGAATACTTCAGCTTGATACACTTTGTCAATGCTGATTTGCTTGGTAAGATAGTGCGCGGTTACTTTGTGTGTGGGTGGGTGGGTGTGTGGGTGGGTGTGGGGGTGTGGGGGTGTGGGTGTGTGTGTGTGGGGGGTGTGGGGGGGGGGGGGGGGGTGCTTGAAACATGCATTGAAACATGCAGGAGACGAAGTTGATGACCTACTTTAAAAGCTATGTACTGATGAGAGTACTTGCTTTGGTTGTTCAGTTCTGTGAAAGACAAACACAAGAAGGTCAGAGCAAAATAGAGCCTAGTTAGCTTAGTGTTGTCTCCCATGCTGCCTTTGTGATTAGCACTACAAGACAAGCATGGAGTGATGAGAATTGCAGAGACTCAAGGGCTATAGGCACTTTCCTCCTAGACCAGTTCTTCCCCCCCCCCCCCCCAGAGCAGAGCTAGACTGTATTGTGAGCACTGGGTGGTGACATCGTGAACATCCCTCTTCACCAAAGTGTGAACTGCTCGCTTCGAATTTTTTTGATTGCTTGACGGAATGGAAAAAATGTCTTGCAGTAAAATATAAGTTTCCGTGCATGGCACGGTAAGTGGAGCTTAGCAGCCCATCAACATACTTGTCCTAGTACAACTCATGTACATGCGTGACATGCATTCCCGATTTCCGCGTTTGTGTGTGCCTATGTGTACATGTGTGTGTGCCAGCTAGTCCGGTTGGTGGGTACACTTATGCCTGATTGTGTTGGGTCTGTTGCCAACAGGCTCGGCTGCTTGAAGGTGTATTGTTGTATCTGCCACCTTTGTTGGTTTCAGGGTTCGTATCCTTTCTATTTGAAGTATACATACCTGTTAACCATGGACTGCTTCTGGCTAGATTAACTCTTGTGTAATCAATGATGCTAGTGACGCTTAGATCAGATCCACTCTGATTTAGCCACCCACACTAGTAGCAAGTATTACCTTCACTGGGGGCAGGGGTAACTGCAGTTGGATCCCTGGACGGATACCCTGATGCCGTCAATCCTTTTTCTGCACCTTGTCCTCACCCACTTACTGAGGTGTGGTGAGCCCATAAGTGGGATCATTTTCAAGTCCACCCAGAGTTTTGGGGATTTCAGGGGGTGTCGGCCGTTGGGCGGTTCAATAGCCAGTTGAGTCATCTTTCCAAGATTCCTTTTGAGTCTCTCTCCCCTCTTCCGGGGAGACCCACGTGACCAGTTTTGGCAGTGAGCAACAAGTACAACAAGTATGTGTGTGTGTGTGTGTGTGTGTGTGTGTGTGTGTGTGTGTGTGTGTGTGTGTGCGTGCATGCGTGCGTGTGTGCGTGCGTGTGTGTATGTGTGTGTGTATGTGTGTGTGTGTGTGTGGCAAATATACACACATTCTAGGTACCAGCCAGCAGTTTAAAAAGCAGTTTGAAAACCCCATCTTGAAAGGCCGAGATGCTGACGCCACAGCGGAAGATGCCAAGCGTGGAGCTGAGAAGCTGCAGGAGGTAAGTTTGACTTGCTGTTCAGCTTGTCTTGGCCTTCAGTCAGACATACCGGTATAAATAGCTGTGTTCTTTCTAGGCTTGATGCTCTGATACAAAGAGTACAGAAACCATAATATGCAACTCCACATCTATGCTGAATGAAACTGCTCCCTCTGCAAAAGTTCTTTTGTAGGTGATTTCGGTGTATTGATGAGTGGTACTCTGCAAGGTGTGTTTTCTCATTTTATTTCAATAGGGTTCAGGGAAGGGATGTATAGTCTAGGTTTGACTGTGTTCTGTGCTGTGTGTTGTATGCTGTGTGTTATGTGCTGTATGCTGTGCTTGTGGATTCATGCGTGCTGATGTGATATGCCCTTTTTTTTTGCAGTTGGCAGCTCTTGTTAACCGTTGTATCATCCGCCGAACAGGTGTGTGTATGTTTGTGTTTGTTCTCTGGGTGCTCTCTCATGTATTTCTGTAATATGCCCAGAACATTGTATTGCGAGATATGTTTCCTTCTTTAGTCTGTCATCATGCGTTCCTGCTTGAAGCACTACCACTTGATGAATTCAATGTCTTCTAAATGCAATCCACTAAGGCATCATCAGTTTGTTTTGTTTGTCTGTTTGTGTTTGTACTGACAACAGCCAGTATCCTATCACAGTATCTTCCAGTCAAAGGTCAGTAAACCAGTAAACCAGTCGATTGTACTACTTCAGTGTTGTGTATATTGTAGTTTTCTTATAAAAAAACTTCAAGTATTACTTCTGTATGGTGGTTTAGAACGTTTGTGACTTCAGATTGTAGTTTTAGAGGTCTGTCATGCAGACTGACACGTCGATTACTCTGATACAGATGATTGCTCGGGCTTCTTTCCTGTTGCTCCTACCTCTCTCACACTGCGCTGTCTATCTTGTGATGTTTGTCTCTGATATGCTTGTACATGTAGTACGCATGATGTACGTGATGCACAGCTGTGTGGCAGTCAGAGTGCCCAGGCTATGGCTCTGCTCCACATTGAGCAAGTCACACATGTTCATGCACTGTCTCAGTGTGCTATCCTCTCATGTGTGTGTCTGTGCCTGTCTGTATGTATGTCTGTGTGTCTATCTGTCTGCTTGTCTGTCTGTCTGTCTGTGTATGTGTGTGCTTGCCTGTGCATTTGTCTATGTAGTTGAGCAGGTGGTGTGCTGCAAGCTTACTCCATTGCAAGTCGCTCTCTACGAGCTGCTGGTGGCAGGCAAGGCTGCTGATACATGCATGCAGCAGACAAAGTCGAAATCTAGTTCTGGATTGACGGGAAAGTCCCTTGCCTTCATCACGCAGATCAAGAAGCTATGTAACCGTAAGTACTAGTACCTGCTGCTGCACTGGTCTTACTGTTACTGTATGCTGAGTTACTGGTCTTACTGTTACTGTATGCTGAGTTACTGGTCTTACTGTTACTGTATGCTGGGTTACTGGTCTTGTGTCGTTTTGTTACAGTGTAAGCATGTAACAGTTATAATAGACTCAAGTTCACTCTGAAGTACATGAGCTGGATTATGTACAGTGTGTTCTATGCATTAGGGACTCGTCCCCTCTATAAATTGTAACCGTTACATTGTCTTTAGCTGTTCTTTGTATATCCTCCATCGCCACTCCTGATAGCCTGAGTGTCTGTGTGCGTACTGTGCCAAGCGATTTTCCAACCTCGCCACAAGACCATTAATTTTTAGCAATTCTAATGACACATGCTTTTTAAACTAGGGCATGCTTGATTGGTCAGTTCGGATCCAGATCAGGTTCATTGGATTTTGCAACTTGCTCTGGCTGCTCCAGCCTTGGGCATCGGAATGTTCAAAACATTTTTTGAGCCTTCCAGAACCAGTGTAGACGGATCAAACAGCCCTGAAGGTAGTCTAAACGATCCTGTTCTGGGTCGGACCAATCAAACACACCCCCAGTGACTAAAACATTGACTACAGATAGTTTCCATTCACCTTGGAGTACATTGTGGTTTGTACACTGGTACATGTGACTTTTCCTTTTTCTTTTTGCCAACGTTTAGATCCTGCTCTTGTCTACGAGAAGGCTGCTTCCGGTGAAGAGGGTTACGACGAAGCTCTGGCTCTTTTTCCCCCGGGCTTCAACATTAAAACATTCAATCCAGAACTTTCAGGTGAGCTATGAATATGGCGTCCATCTTCTGTGTGGAGTAAATTCACCTGCGAATGTATGATTATGGAATGAGATCTGTGGATAGGAGAGAGGACGAAATAGCCTCATCCACGGGCTGCAGATCATAGTGCTCAATGCAGGGTCATCTGAATAGTTGCTTAGCCGTACATGTGGTGTCGTGTGTGTGTGTGTACGCGAGAGACAGAGAGAGACAGAGAGGGAGAGGGAGAGAGACAGAGAGAGACTTGAACAACAGCTTACTTTCGACTTTCGGAACCACACTGATGTTCGTAACAATATTACTCTTTTTTCTCTTTTTGTTCAAGTACCACTTCTCTCTCTCTCTCTCTCTCTCTCTCTCTCTCTCTCTCTCTCTCTCTCTCTCTCTCTCTCTCTCTTTCTTTCTTTCTCTCCGTCTCAGGTAAGATGCGTATTCTGGATCATCTTCTGGCTGTGGTGCGCACATCGTCAAATGACAAGGTTTGTGCATGAGATCTCTGTTTGGGTTTTACAGCATATTGCTAGTGCACGTACCAGGGTTCTAGCCAGGTCAAAATAGTAGGGGGGGGGGGGGGAGGGGGACAGTTACCCCGTAACCCATTTTTCCATTTTCAAAACAACTGTCTTGCAATGCAAAATGCAACGTAAGGGGCGAAAACCTGACTTCACCCCAGACAAATGTGCCTTTATGAACCCTCTAGTACTGACTATCGACTGCATTTTCGTTGAATGGCATGAAAAAAAAACACGAAAATCGGAAAAATGAGTAGGGGGCGTTTTTTCAAAAGGATTGGGGGGGGGGCACGCAAATAGAGTAGGGAGGCACTGCTCCCCCCCCCCCCCCCTGTACCTAGAACCCTGACGTACAATGTAGCTGCAAAGTTCAATACATGCCCAAGTCTTCACCAACACAGATATGGCAGCGGTGTGTCCTTCTCAATGAGTCTCAATGATGGCTGTCTTGGCATCTTGGGTGTGCGTTTGATGGTGTTTTTTGTTGTTGTTGTCCTATTCTTTCTGTCTTTTAATGGTGGCAGGTTGTTCTTGTGTCTAACTACACACAAACATTGGATCTCTTCGAACAACTGTCCAGACTAAGGAAGTAAGTATTCATTAGTATTTCCCTGTTGTACTCATCCCATATGCTTGTTTTGGTATTTCTTCTTCTTTCCTCTTACCGGTATCCCGGTATGCCCGTAAATGTAGCTTTACAAAGTCTATTGTTTGGTAAGAAACAGCCACCACCCACCTGGTTAGAATGTGAATGTGACTTGATACAGTACAGTCACAGTGTATGGTACTATGTATGCTATCTTGTTGTGCACTGTCTTGTTTGGTGGTGATGGTGGTACTGCTGCTGCTGCTGCTATTGTTGTTTTAGGTATAAGTTTGTTCGCCTTGACGGTACTATGACAATCAAGAAGCGGTCGAAGATAGTTGACAGATTCAATGATCCTCAGGTACATCTGACTGTTATGAAAATGTTGTAATACATCTATTCATCATACAATGTACATACATACATGTACTCTTCTAGCAACACCAGTACTGTCTAGTGTGATGTATGACAGTGTGCTGTATACTGAGAACGTGTAGTTCCATCGGTATGAATGAATGATTGAACATAGAGGGAGAGAAACAGAGACAGACAGACAGACAGACAGAGAGTGTGTGGAAGGGGGGGGGGGAGGTGTGTGTGAGTGGGTGGCAGGCAGTACACAGACGGGTGTTGATACATCTCATTACGAGATTGTGACTCAAGCTGGTTCCTGCTTCTGTTGCTTCTTCTTCTTCTTCTTCTTCTTCTTCTTCTTCTTCTTCTTCTTCTTCTTCTTCTTCTTCTTCTTCTTCTTCTCTTTCTTCTGTTGTCTGTTGTCTTCGCTTAGAGTGATGATTTCATCTTCATGCTGAGCAGCAAAGCCGGTGGCTGTGGTCTCAACCTCATCGGTGCTAATCGTCTGATCATGTTTGACCCTGATTGGAATCCAGCTAATGATGATCAGGCTATGGCGCGTGTCTGGAGAGATGGACAGAAGAAACAGGTAATAGTGCAATACCCGTACCTACCCACCACCTACCCACCTACCTACCCACCTACCCACCTACCCACCCACCTACCCACCTACCCACCTACCTACCCACCTACCCACCTACCTACCCACCACCTACCTACCTACCTACCCACCTACCCACCTACCCGTACCTACCCACCACCTACCTACCCACCTACCCGTACCTACCCACCACCTACCTACCCACCTACCTACCTACCTACCTACCTACCCACCTACCCGTACCTACCCACCTACCCACCTACCTACCCACCTACCTACCCACCTACCTACCCACCTACCCACCTACCTACCCACCTACCTACCCACCTACCTACCCACCTACCTACCCACCTACCTACCCACCTACCTACCCACCTACCTACCCACCTACCTACCCACCACCTACCCGTACCTACCCACCTACCCACCTACCCACCTACCCACCTACCTACCTACCTACCTACCTACCTACCTACCTACCCACCTACCTACCTACCTACCCACCTACCTACCCACCTACCTACCTACCCACCTACCTACCCACCTACCTACCCACCACCAGCTCAATCCCCTCTCCCATACCCTAATCCTAACCCTGATCCTAAGTTAACCCCAACCTCGGTTGGTTGCCACATGGTGTGCTACTTCTATAAGAGGCGTGCGGTGATGCCACACACCTTGTTCTGGTGAATGGAAGGGCCAGCCTCCAGTAGTGAATGAGAATACACGGCATAGCCTCCAGTAGTGAATGAGAATACACGGCATGTAGCAAACTTAGTAGCACATGCGTGGGCAGTTAAAAGATGGCTAAGCGCTTGTACTGTTGTAGCATACCTTTATTCTAGAGCCCCGCCAGTACACCACCATAATATGGGCCACAACCAGCTAAAACATGTCTTAGAGTTAAAAAAATTCAAATTTTGTTTTCCTCCAGAAAACCGTTCTTGGGGCCTTACTTGACCTCTTGAAGGTGATACAGGGCAGAAAAGTAGTCTACAAGTGCCCCAAACACCGCTTTCGAAATATGTACTTTGAAATAGAAAATGACAGTTTTCGCACAGTCTGACACAAAGAGACAAACTATTACTTTGTGGCTTTTGTGGCGGAGCACAATACAACGGAACTAAAGATGTTGACACAGACTTGAGCATGTCAACGACATTAGTTCAAAGGAATGGCCCAAGTTCTTCCTGGAAAGCCACACGATGCTCTGGGCGGCGTTGCACTTGCATACTCTTTCGATTCTGGCAGTGACACTTTCGATCGTCGCCTGCGCTTCCGAGACTGCGTCAGACGACTCATGAGAGCTGAACGCAAGTAACGTCGTAAGGCTGCCGGTTCGCCGCCTAATGATTATGTACTAGCCCACAACTTGTGCCTCTTCGATACTGGAGACGACGGGGACGATTCAGCTTCGCTGTCGACATCAACATCACTGAGATCCCAACAAATTGTCAGCGTCGCTCTGCAGACCCGCCGCCACGGACTTGCAGGCACCTGAACAAACCTGGGCCATGCACAGCGATCGTCTGGCCCTGCGAGCTGCTCTAGTATCACTAGATGCAGACATTGTCAGTCTTTGCTCGCCAGCTACTTGAACTAGACCGCCAAACAAGTGTTTGAACAAAATTTGAGAAGATGATCGCCACATCATGAATGAAGTGCAGAGTGAACGTGCTCCAAAAAAACATTTTTTTCATTTCGTCATTTCCCAACTTTTTTACGAAACCCCAAAGACATGTTTTAGCTGATCACGGCCAATATTATGATGTAGTTGTGAATTCGCCTCAACACGTGATTTGGGAGGTGAATCGTCACGCTAAGCAACACGAGAAAAGCTTGCAGCTGCTGCAGTATGCTCAAACATGATCAAAACAAACAGGTTCAGTGCATTTCCTGTCGTACAAGAAAGTTGCCGGGTATGGTTTTGGCATTTGAATTCGTATTTCGCATGGTTACTCTGGTTTAATATGGTTATGATGATGGTCACTAAAGTGTTCTACATGATCATCGCCTCTCAGGAACACAATTTCAATCCTGGTATAAAAATTAACACCAGACAGTTTGAGAACAATGCAAACTGTGCATATTCATTAGAGTGTAGCACATACATCACCTCAACTTTTAATCACTGTGTGTGTGTGTGTGTGTGTGTTTTGTTGTTTGTGTCCAGTGTTTCATCTACCGACTCCTTGCTGTAAGTCTGTGCTGTATTGTCTGCACTGTACAGTCAGAGCTCCACATATACACGTTTCTACAGCATCCAACGTTGTTGGGCTGAGCTGGCAACTTATTGCTTGCATGCTACTTTGATGTACCTATGTTTCTTTGTTTCCGAGTTGGTAACCTGAATTATTGCTGGCCAGCGCTGCAGCAGACTGTGCATACTGTGAAGGAAACACCAAAGTATTTTTTTGGTCTTTCCCTTGCACAAGGGAGTAAGTATGCAGGCGAATAGTTCTGCTGCTGCTGCTGCTACTGTCGTCGTCATTGTTGTTTGGTAGCTCCAGAAAAACCGTGTCCTTTCTTTTCTTAAAAAAAATCTTTTCCAGACATGACTGATGTTACGAACTTCATGACTGATGTTATTCAACTTATTTGTACACTGTACTGTACTGTCTGTACTGGTCTGTATTGCGTACAGACTGGTACAATCGAGGAGAAAATCATGCAAAGACAGACGCACAAGAAAGCACTTAGCAGTTGTGTTGTTGATGAAGAGGAGGATGTTGAACGTCATTTCAGCTTTGGTGATTTGAAGGATATTTTCAGCTTGAGAAAGGACACCATTAGTGACACACATGACAAGTAAGTCGCTGGCTGGGTTAAATAATAATGGTTTATATGTTATGTGCGAAGTCTGAAGAAAATGTTGAACGGTTTCTGCTGGGATGACGACTACACCATAGCTCCGTTGTAACGGAATCACAGCCATTCCGTTCCCCGGGACGCAGGACACAAAGGACAAGACTCGTTTGGTTTACATAATATTATTGACAATACGGAAATGGAGACAACGCTCAAAGGGACGAACAAGAAGACTGACAAAAGGACTCTCGACTACAAAATCGCGCATGCTCATATCACACATGCACGCGACTAGACGAGACAGTTTGGGGAATGCCATCACACAGGAAAACAACACATCATTTTACAACACCTGCCCCCTTGATGACATTCCACAAAATAATAAACCGACACCACGTTCCACATGCACAACAGCAAAAGGAACCACAGCAAAACAGAAAAACCAACCAACAGCTTACATTGTAGCACAACAAAACTGGGCCACGACACAGGGCCAAACCAAGACACAAGAGCCGACGCTCTAAACTCAGGCACACAAGGATAACCGAAACACGAGAGCCAAAGCTCCAACAAAATAATAACAATATGCGCGCAGCAGCGCAAAATAAATCTACAACACAAATTAATGCAGAACAACAGAACGACGAGAAGAGCAACATACCGACAACCAAACTCAACAACACAGCAACCAACTGAACAGCGAGAGAAACACGATCAGACAACACAGCGAGCAAAACAACAACAAGACGAACAACAAAGGACGACACACAGTCGGTGATGCCAGACTCATCCACTGGCCTCTGGCGAGCCACGGCCACACGCTCCATGCGGTACCTGCCGTCCCAGGCTCCAGTCCCCAGCTTCTGCCGGTCCACCACCTTCTCTGCCTCCTCTCCGCGTCTTCTTCCGCTTCCACCAGCTCCTCGTCTCTCCTCCATCCCCACGCTTACTCTCTAGTTGTACTATTACTTGTATTAGTTGTTGACGACGACGAACAGACTCATGACAAACTTACTCATCCTCTGCGTCCCGGGTTTCGGCACCACGTTGTAACGGAATCACAGCCATTCCGTTCCCCGGGACGCAGGACACAAAGGACAAGACTCGTTTGGTTTACATAATATTATTGACAATACGGAAATGGAGACAACGCTCAAAGGGACGAACAAGAAGACTGACAAAAGGACTCTCGACTACAAAATCGCGCATGCTCATATCACACATGCACGCGACTAGACGAGACAGTTTGGGGAATGCCATCACACAGGAAAACAACACATCATTTTACAACACCTGCCCCCTTGATGACATTCCACAAAATAATAAACCGACACCACGTTCCACATGCACAACAGCAAAAGGAACCACAGCAAAACAGAAAAACCAACCAACAGCTTACATTGTAGCACAACAAAACTGGGCCACGACACAGGGCCAAACCAAGACACAAGAGCCGACGCTCTAAACTCAGGCACACAAGGATAACCGAAACACGAGAGCCAAAGCTCCAACAAAATAATAACAATATGCGCGCAGCAGCGCAAAATAAATCTACAACACAAATTAATGCAGAACAACAGAACGACGAGAAGAGCAACATACCGACAACCAAACTCAACAACACAGCAACCAACTGAACAGCGAGAGAAACACGATCAGACAACACAGCGAGCAAAACAACAACAAGACGAACAACAAAGGACGACACACAGTCGGTGATGCCAGACTCATCCACTGGCCTCTGGCGAGCCACGGCCACACGCTCCATGCGGTACCTGCCGTCCCAGGCTCCAGTCCCCAGCTTCTGCCGGTCCACCACCTTCTCTGCCTCCTCTCCGCGTCTTCTTCCGCTTCCACCAGCTCCTCGTCTCTCCTCCATCCCCACGCTTACTCTCTAGTTGTACTATTACTTGTATTAGTTGTTGACGACGACGAACAGACTCATGACAAACTTACTCATCCTCTGCGTCCCGGGTTTCGGCACCACGTTGTAACGGAATCACAGCCATTCCGTTCCCCGGGACGCAGGACACAAAGGACAAGACTCGTTTGGTTTACATAATATTATTGACAATACGGAAATGGAGACAACGCTCAAAGGGACGAACAAGAAGACTGACAAAAGGACTCTCGACTACAAAATCGCGCATGCTCATATCACACATGCACGCGACTAGACGAGACAGTTTGGGGAATGCCATCACACAGGAAAACAACACATCATTTTACAACACAGTGGTTGGAGCGTCGCTGGCCTCAAGCGAGGGTCCCTGGTTCGAGTCCTGGTGGTGACGGTCAAATTTTTCTTTAGACTTTTCCCGTTTGCGTCTTTTCCCTCGAACCAGTGAAAGGTTTATAATAATTATGCTATAAGTATAATACCATGTCATGTTCGAATGTGTGTGTGTGTGCGTGTGCGTGTGTCATTCATACTCTGTGTATACTGTGTCCCTCATATTTTCCCTGTTGCTCACGCACTTGTGAAAGTATTCGGCAGTATACCCCTCGTAACGTTACTCATGGTATCATCTGTACACCTACCCTGCTGCTGCTGCGACATGATTGTTTAAGTTTGCTTTCATAGCTGAGAAAATAGCCTGTACTCACTCCCACCATTATCGTGTGCTCCGCCCTGTGCTCTTCCTGTGCTGTGCTACTGTCTGGACATTAGGTTCAACTGTCGTCGTTGTGTTAACGGCATTCAATCACGTCCACCGCCAGAAGAGAGTGACTGTAGTAGTGATCTCAGTCAATGGCATCATTCTACGTCAAGTAAACCATTACTGGATAGCATGCTACGCGAAGTCTATAAGTCTGGCTTGATTAGTTTCACCTTCTTTCATCGCTCTCATGAGGCACAGCGCGGGGTCGTGTGATTGTGCCTTCCTTTTTTCTATACTTCTGCCATTTCTAATTATGTTATCTCTCAGTCTGTATAGGAGCGTGTGTGTGTGTGTGTGTGTGTGTGTGTGTGTGTGTGTGTGTGTGCGTGCGTGCGTGTGTGTTAGGAAGACTGCTGCACCTCGGGTGTACAAAGGTGTGTTAGGATTGCATCAAACTTGGTTAGGCACATGCTGGATTGTAAAATACGAATGAAAACCTCGACCTATGAACAAATGAAGAACTGTAGAGTTTCATGCAAAATGGCTGCAATAATTATTCTTTATTCGCTTCTTTTGTTTCTTTGGATTGAGTAGCCCCCTGCTTGTACATACATACATACATACATACGTGTAGCAGCAACAACTGCACAGCACAACTGGCTGCACATGTCTATGCTTACTCCCATGATAGTGTACTGTATATAGTATATAGTAGTAGTTCTTAGTTGCTGACTGGTGCGGCATGTCCAGAGTCTTCACTCCAGAGCTTGCCTCTCAGGCTTCCCCATCACACTCAGCAATTGTCATACTTGATTTATTTTTCGAAGTAGTTTATGTCATGTCTCGTTTCTCTCCATCTTTGAACATTTCTGAACTTTGCTGCTCTCTCATTGTTTTTGTTTTTTATTTTATTTCTCTTTATTGCACACATGAACATGTACGTGTGTACTCAGTCTGTGTCATAGAGCAAAGCGTAACCATGGTAACCATGAAGCCAGTAATGTGTTCTTGGAAAGATGACCGACCAGTGATCGGAGCATTAGAGGTCTCCTTGCTGCAGATTCTATAATTGTCTCAATCAAAATTTTTGGTTAGGAGACATCACGAGGATTGAGGTATCAAACAGCTCCAGGTAGAATGAAACTACGCCATACGTGATAAATGTAAAACCATCTTTGAGGCACAGGTACACACACACACACACACACACTCACCCACTTCTCATTCCACTTTGAGTTGTTTGATACATGTATGTCGACACTGTAGCTTCTCCGATGATGGCTTCTGGCCGATAATTTGATTGAATAACAAAAATGATAGAAATGCCACAAAAATAATAGAACCGAATTCATTGTGCCAGTGGAGAGATGACGGGATTGATAATGGAAAAGCTGTTTCGCATGATCAACATCAAGCATGTCAAATATAGCCACGAATAAAGTTGTTTGTTCAAGTATACATGTCAATGCAACTCTATCCTGCAAGCACACAGTTGTATACGGTACCTCAAGCACATGCCCAGGCATGCATGTACATGTATGTATTGCGTGACTGAAGTTCATGTTTGATAGTTGCTCTGCTTCCGGGGCAGAATGGATACTTGCGTGCTTCGTGTCACAAAAATTAAAACATTTTTAAAACAATGGAATAGAGTTCATATCAGGGAGTCATAAAATATTTTACGACTGCCTGGTTCATATCAGTAGTATGTTCTCACAGTCTAAATGGCGTATGTGGCTGCAAAGATAAGAAAAAGAAATAGGAAGTAAATGTCTGTCCCTGTTCCAGAGGGAACTCACGAAGGACTACAACACCCAGAAAACCCAGCGGCAGATGCAGCGCCTAACGGTGGGGTGACGGGATACGTCTTACAAGCACTGGCACAAGTGCTGGAAACCCCATTAGCTGCACCCATGTACTCGCAAGGGCCTTGTGCCTCGCCACAAGTTCCCAGCAAAGATCTTCAACGCCAATAAACGCTGTTCGTGTCAACATGCAGATAGGCAAGACACGGCTAGTTGAATAAAAAAGAAATGTACGAAAAAAGCCCGAGAATCGCATAGTTTGAAACTCGAGAGGCAAAGATGAAGGCTCGTTCTGCCTCCTGTGTACGGTAATAAGTTAGATATGGTGTCCTTAGTTCCTGGGCCGCATACTTGCCATCTACTCTGAAGGACTTTGATAAGTGGTGATGGCAGTGACACTGATCGGATCGGGTAGATCTGTCACTACTGATCTACTGCTACGCAAGTGCACGGTACTACATGTATGGCGGCACTGGTCAGAGAAGTCCGCCCTGTTGAATAGTGCCAGGCAATACCGGCCCTGTTGAATAGTGCCAGGCAATACCGGCCAGAGAAGTCCGCCCTGTTGAATAGTGCCAGGCAATACCGACCCAGTCCGCCCTGTTGAATAGTGCCAGGCAATACCGACCCAGCTAGCAGTACACAGACTATGCAGTGTGTACTTGAATGTGCGGCACTGCTGTATTCATGAGATTGGATCTCTCTGGCCAGAACTGTAGCACTGGTCGGGTAGAGCTGCTATATGCAAGTACACCGTAGGGCAAGGAGTCACACAATGGCGTGCAGTTTCCAATGTCACAAATGGTTTTTCTCCTTGTTCATGTCGGTGTTTTGCTGGATACTGTTCAGCATTGCATTGTTCAGGATTGCTTAGCTAGACAGGCAGCACGGAGGCGAGACACCTCTTTCCTACATACTCTGACAAGGAAGAGGGCGGAAAGCAGTGAGGCAGCCATACAGGTATTGATCACGATTGGCCAAGGGTTGGTTGCATCTTGTAGCGCAACACCAACCACGTACGGACCAATGGCAGCACCTGCAACACACACACACATGCACACAAAGAAATGTACAGTAACTACTTGGTACACTGGACACAGAACCATCGGTATACCGTAAGACCAGATATTTTAAAGCCAATCAAAGTTAACGATCTCCGGATTTTTGTGGGTTCGCGAGGTAAAATTCGAACGAATTCTGTCTCAAAAACCAGCAAAAGACTGTACATATCGTTTTGTACATAACGACTTCAACGACTTCGATTTTTTGTACAGAACTGTGCATCCATCAGGACCATGAGGGATGCACAGTGCCATGCCCTCCTAGTCAAACCGTAATTCTTCTTGACAAAGCCACCCAGTTCTTCTGAGACACAACCATGGACATGCAGGGCGGATGGGTTCGGCATCTCGCCGTAGTCATTACTAACGCCATCTTCTGCCAGCGCTACATAAGCAAGATGGCGGATGAATGGTGTCAGCAGCTCAGAGAAAGTACAGTCTGGGGAGGTAGGTTTGAGCGAACATACCATGATGCTTTAAAGGTGTTATACAGTACAAGTACAGTAGGTATCGGTTATAGCGTGGGTGTTTGAAAAGCGACATTTGATTCTTATTCAGTTTCCTCTGAGACAAAAATGCGATAATACTCATAAAAAGGACACACTTCAGGCTCATTACAAACATCTTGAAAGTTTTTGTCTTCACAAGTATATTGATTCTTATTGCCGATATTTCTTACACACGGTAAATCCCGTGTGACATATCATATGCACGTGTGACATACATACATCATACATATACACAAGAGTTCATAGGGGTTATGAACTCTTGATATACAGGTATGCGCGCATGTTTGGCATGTGGACACGTACACATGATACACACGGATCAATCAGACTCGCTAGCTGCGGAGCAGCGGATAAGAGAGAAGTCGGAAGAAAGAGTCCGACTGGACAGAAAAGTGATTCTCCAATGCTCCCTTGGACATAACTCTCTTTTTGTGTTGAATATTATTGTATTGAGTATGCACAGAGCACAGATGTTATTACTACAGGCGATACACTTTGCACTAATCTGGCATATTTTGCTACACAAAGTCCATTCTTAGGGCCGATATATTCTACTATGCGATAATACTGCTTATAAGAATAAAACTCATAAAAAGGACACACTTCAGGCTCATTACAAACATCTTGAAAGTTTTTGTCTTCACAAGTATACTTTCAAGCCTTCTCATCAGGTGAAATACAGGCAAGGGAAAAGGAACAGGAACAGTGGATTAAATACAGTAAGAAGGTGGTAAAACAGCGCAAAAAGAAAGAAAGAAAGAAAGAAAGAAGATCAAAATCAAATTCACACTTAGGCTGTTAGGTAGGTCGTCAAAACCTCGTTAGTTACATGTATGTCCAGTGGTTGTCTCTTGTTGTCGCACTACATGTCGCGCTTATTGAGTTTTCTCGCATTTGCACCTTTGTGTCATTATTGCAATTTTCGCTGTTTACTTTAGCTATCTTCTTTCTTTCTTTCTTTCTTTTTGCGCTGTTTTACCACCTTCTTACTGTATTTAATCCACTGTTCCTGTTCCTTTTCCCTTGCCTGTATTTCACCTGATGAGAAGGCTTGAAAGTATACTTGTGAAGACAAAAACTTTCAAGATGTTTGTAATGAGCCTGAAGTGTGTCCTTTTTATGAGTATTATCGCATTTTTGTCTCAGAGGAAACTGTATAAGAATAAATATACACATAAAATATGTGTTATGATTATGAAAAAATGAGTGTTCATTCTTGTAAGCAGTATATTCTTGTATACGACCACACTATAACCGATACGCACTGTATGTTAATGCTTGCTCAAACCGAAACGTCGCCCCACTGGCATTTGTCCATGACAAGTAGAGAGGAAGGCACTGCACGTTGAGCATGCATCACTTACCCCATTGCCTTCTGTTGCACCGGGTCCGGTGGGCAAGGCAAGGCAGCAGCTGCCCTCACACAAGAGAAGTCAAGAGAATCGTTTTCATCGACTGTTTCCTTTCCCCATGCGAAGCCAGGCTTTGGCCTCGTCTGGTCAGCGGTGTTACCATCCATGGTCATCGACGCCTAGTTATGAAACCCTCGATTTCATTGATTGGGTACAGTCTATTGTTTTATTCTCTCTCTCTCTCTGATTGTATTGCCTCCTGCAAAATTCATGGATGCCATTTTTGATTTCACCATAGCTTAAAAAAGGCACCTAATGCTTACCACCTGGTCTTCGCAAGAAAGAAAATAAGTTTAAATAACCACATCTTTATCTACAGCACTTTTTGCCATTCTTTCTATGCGTTAACTATTCATCTTTGCGCTGTTTTATCACCTCCTTGCTGTACATAGTTCATTGTTCTTGCTCTCGTTTACTCTTGCCTGTATATCACCTGAAGAGAAGGCACGTCAGTTTACTCGTGAAAACCATTTCAGAAAGTTGTTGAAGAGCCGGAAGTTTGTGCTAAGGGTTATAGTTTTTTTTTGTCTCCAAGGAAATTTATTATCTGCCGAATGAAGATTGGTTTTCTTGAGAGTATGGTTACATTAAATTATTTCGCCTTGACATCAGGTAAGCCTATAGGATACACACACTGGATTAGTATGAATTGAATCTAGTCTGGATTGATGACCTCTAATAATCGATTGACAACACATCAAAACGCACTTGAAAAGCAAACTTACCGATTGAGCCTGTACCATCAATAATGGCTGCCACAGTTGCTTTGGCCTTTTGATTTTCACCCAGCACTTCATGTGTGCCTAGTTCTGCAGCCACAGCCGTTGTGATTAGTGAATACGGACCATTCAGCAGTGCACCAGTCAATGCCATTAAGCCCAGCAAAGCACCCAGGCTATGGCCGCCATACGTGTTGAAGATGTACAGAGATGGTATGCCCAATAGAAGCATAAGCACAGAAGGTATTGCTGAGGCGCCAGTGCGGTCAGACACATAACCAAGCGTAGCACCACCGATAATACCACCGACATCAAACAAGGACGAGTAGAATGCAGAATGCTCCTCGGATAAAGAGTGGCCGTCTACACAGACATCTCGCACATACTTTGGCATCCAGTACAAGAAGATGTAGTTCATGAACTTCGAGAAGAAGAGACAAAGTGAGTATTCCAACACACCGGGGATGCGCAGTGCAGCTATGAACCCAACAGCAGCGGGCGTCCGCGTACTGCCTCTAAGATCTGCGGAAGCCTCGCCAAGATCACTGTCTGTTGTGGCTACGGGTAAAAGTGACCTTTTCTCGCCTTGCTCAGCGGTCATAGTGGTAATAGGCCGGGCCGGCCTGTGTGAGCCTGTGCCAGCTGTACTTGTATGCTGCTCTGGAGGTGGACAGTCAACATCAGCTGGGTCCACAGCTAAAAACAGTAGAACAACTACGCCCATCAAGGCGATGATGATTCCAGGCACGATGAACGACCAGCCCCATGCGTTGTGCACCCAGATTCCGGGTATAATTGCTCCAATGATGTTGCCGAGAGACGTGTGAGAGTTCCAGAGGCCCAGGATGAAGCCTCGGTTGCCTACGCCAAACCAGTTTGCCATCACTGCGACAACACTGGGCCATCCCGTTGACTGGACAATTCCACCAAATAACTGAACAACGACAAAGAATGCAAAGCTGTGGATGTTGAAGAAATAGGCCAGTCCAAGCATGCTTGTGAATATACCACTTAGCAACATTCCAGCAAATAGGAAATATCGCAGGTTGAAACGATCACCAATGTGGCCACTGACAAACATGGCAAATGCATATCCCAAAAGGAAAACAAAGTCTAAATCTCCCAGCTTGCTTTCACTGTCAAACGGCATCCATGGTTGGCAAACGGTTGTAGGAAGACTACCTCCACATACTACAGATTGTGTACCGTTCCTGCCTGGCCATATGCAATCTGACGGATACCAAGTCGTCTTCACAACACTGATGGCTTTTCGTGACATGTGGAAAGTCATGTACGAAAGGAAAGTCAGGACAAGCACCAACAGCTGGTATGCTCTTGTCCGATTTGAGGAATCCATGTTGGCTACTCTGCTCTACTGAGTCTGTATACCATTAGCATTCCTGACAAAGCAACTAAACTAACTGTGGTCACCCTGAACTTCGTAGATCTACTACAAGTACTCGTACTGCTAATTGTCACACAGCGAATTTCGAAACAAGTGGACGTGATCATCGGTTGCCTGCCTTGCAGGCCTGCCTGCCCTGTGTTGACAGTTGTGTCTTCCTTTTTCAAGGTTTTGGAAACGCAAAGTCCCAAGCAACAAGTGCGAAGACTGGCACTTGGTAGGTCTACATGGTCTGTGCGCGCTGGATCGCTAGCTTTGCGGGCTGTGCCGGGCCCGTGATCACGTGTTCACATCCACAGGATGGCACCATAGAAACGGAGAGCGCGTCAGGAAGCCATCAGCCATACACAGAAAAGAAAGCGCAAGCATGCCACATCACATGCACTGCTAATATTTTTGTTGCTGTTGAATGTTGGAAGTGAACGATGGATCGGAATGTTGACGTGTAATAATTTCGTTTGTTCGTTTTGCTTGTTACTTCTGAAGTTCTGGACCAACGGTCAGGTTTTGAGTCCTTGTGATCGAAGAACTCGACCAAAACAGCATTGATGGCTGCAGTTGCACCTTAGACTAGCCAGTGCTCCTCTGCTGGCGTCGCAGTGCAGTGTCATTCAGTGCTCTTACCAGTTAGTTTTGAATTGAATCCATTTACTATCACTTCAAGTCCGGCGCAGCCATGGTGTTGCCAGCCTACGCTCAGCTGATGTTGCTATTGGCGGCTGTACCCTTACAATACTACCTGGTGTCTCAAGTTCCTGTGTCTGATGGAGAACTACGAGCAAAGGCGGCAACGTAAGGGTCTTGTCCCTCACACAGACAGTAGTCGGAGATATTTTAATTTTTCAAAGGAATTTGAATGAGGATTTTCATAGGGAAGCAATGCTATACGATGGCGAAGAGTCCAACGAAGTTTGAATTGAATTGGAAATTACTCAGTGTTCCACTGGCAACAGAAAAAGAAGAAAGAATAGAAAGAAAAGCACTCCAAAAAAAAGGTGGCAGATGTTGTACAGTACTTGATTGCCACAGTACAAACCATACAGTGAGTCCATAGCCGCGACCATGAGAACTATGAACAAGTCAGGAGAAATTTCGGGGTTTCTTGCAGCTCCAGAGAACTAGAAACAAATAGAACGGAAGCCATATCGGATGAAATAATCCAGATACGCATATTATAGTTGAACATCGATGTTATCTGAGCGTCAATTATCTGTAATTGGTTTGGGAGTGAACATCAAACACTCACCAGCACGCAACAACACGTTTCTTGTTCCCAGTTGCGTACCATATTACGCACCACACTGTATGCAGAATGGCAACTCCAGCAATGGTACCAATGTCAAATAGAAACACAATGGGCAAAAGAAAATTGAAGCTCATCTGTATCCATCATTGCCCTCAACATTGCAACGAGGCTGCTGGGTGGCCCAGTGGTCCCTTTTCAAATGTATTTATGCCAGGCTAGCAAGTGGTGCTCTGTGGAACACTACACATCTGGTGCCCGTTTAGACTTGTTGACACGGATCCCTATTCACCTTTTATTGAACATGGCTGCAGAACAGCTCGTTTCATACTATGCACTATGCAGTATGCTGTATGCACTATGCTGTATGCACTATGCTGTATGCACTATGCTGTATGCTGTATGCACTATGCTGTATGCACTATGCTGTATGCACTATGCTGTATGCACTATGCTGTATGCACTATGCTGCGTATCACAATAATAGTCTACTAGTGTAAAGCGTGAAATTTTCGCGGCGTTTTAGTTCGCGTTTTCAGAATCCGGACAGGTTTGCGAGGTTTTAATTTTGTGATTGCAGAATGGCATTCTTGCTAAACCTGTGGCATTCTTGCTAAACCTTTCATGGATCTCCTTTTCGCGCTGTCTAAATTTCGCGATTTCCACGTGGTCGCGAATTTCGCAGAAATTAGACCATGGCAATAATCATTCACGGTTTACAGTAATAGTCTAAATGTGTGGACCTGTGTGAGAGTTGCTTACACATCCTGCTGTCTTGTGAACAGTTGTACTCGGGTCCAAACTCCAAAGGCACATCCGTGAATACAGCCCAAGCGCTGCTGTTATCAATTGGCTTTTATGTAACAAATTAAAATTAGTAATGTAAGAAAGGTGTTTGCTCCCCGTACCGGAGCTCCCGCTTTTCCGCCGACTTGACTTGGCACTTGACTGACTCACGAGTCACGACTGTGCGAGCTCCGGTGTGGGGAGCAAACACCTTTCTTATGTACTGTAAAAGCCATATATATATAACGAAGTACTAACTCTAACGAGTTAACGAGGAGAAATCTGTCGTTAAAATAGAAATCGTCATACAGAAATCGATACATATACTGTCCTATTGAGCGTTGAGAATAAGTGAGAATCGTTACCTTTGGTACACGTAAACCAGTCAATTTGGGGGAAACGTTATATATGCGCCTCGTTAGAATAATGGCTTTTACAGTAATCATCGCCGAAGTCGCGACCACTATCTCGTAAATTAGGTATGGTTATATCTCTAATTGCACTGCTGCACACTGGAGCCCACCAGGAATAGTTATGATATGGTGTATCAGTGACTAGATAGTAGATAAATGGCAAAAGACCCGGGAAAGAGGTTCAATACCCATCAAAAACCAAGTAAGCGCATACATGATGGGCGTGATATAGATCAGGAGAATCTTCTGCAGCGAAAACAGCTCATTCATGTGCAACTTCATCAGGGCACTGCAGCATCATGCAGCATAGTTGTGTTACGTGTTGACTGGTAGTTGTGATGTGCTTGTTGCTGCAACTGCTGTCCTGTACTGTGTGTGTGTGTGTGTGTGTGTGTGTGTGTGTGTGTGTGTGTGTGTGTGTGTGTGTGTGTGTATGACTGTGCCTTGTCTGTGTCCTTCAACATTGACCTGTGCAGGTTCTTATCAAGATTATACAATCTGTACGACTGGTCCGTGGACGTTTGGCGCAGCTCATCCGACACACAGCTGATGATTGAGAAATTCCTGAACTTCTTCATGTCCCCGGCTGCTGGTAGACCGCATCGTCCGTCTCCTTCATCCCAACAGACACCCGTCAATGATGGACATTTTGAGGATGAAGAAGCCGTGGATGTGCAGAGAGAACAGGAGACTTGGTTTGGCCAGTCGTCGGAGATACGCCGCACGCTTCCAAGCGATCTTCAGTTTCGCGTTGGTGAAGTAGTGTACCACAATGAATGGCACTGGAGAGGTGTGGTGATTGCATGGGATAGTCATGCTAAGGTTAGTTCATATATTATACATGTACATGTAGCTACATGATGATTTGCCTGGTTGCTTTTGTTACTTTTGTTACTACTTGGTCCGGCAACAAATGCATTTCTGACTTCAACACAGGACAAGGAATCAGTCCTCTCCTTGTGAATACGAAGAAAAAAAGGAGCCTCGCATGGTTCAGGTGTGCTTGAACCACCTTTGTCCGAAGATACCTCTTGAGCCTATTGTTCTGTGACGGCTTTTGTTGCTGGTAGAATAGGAATCAGTTCCATGAAGACTATGACCTGTAACACAAGACTCCGCTGAGCTGAGCTGAGCTTGATCAGATAATCTTTGACATCTCTGAACGTCAGGCAGTCAGTACTCTCCATTTCATCACCGTTGGTGGCACGAAGAGTGGGGAGATGGAGACGAAGCTGATCACTGTCCAACTCCTTCCCATATACATTCATGACAGTGGCAAAGCCACACTCATAATCTCTGCCAAGAACAGCATTGAATTGAGGTGGAGGGGAGCATATACCGTATATTCTCTATTATAAGCACAGGTCTCCATTACTAGCACAGTCTCTAATACAGTGTACTAGCACACTGTGAGCACCTTTCGAAACATTATAAGCACAGTCTCTATTATTAGCACGGTCTTGGTGGGAATCAATGCTGCATGCATGATATCTAGCATGTATTTCTTCTTGCTCTATATTGGTTGAAAAATATAAGCACGGTCTCCAATATAAGCGCGGTCTCCAATATAAGCACGGGGTAGAGGGGTGTTGAAAAAATATAAGCACGGCGCTTATAATAGAGAATATACGGTAGTTCTAGAGTATTGACTATTGTTTTGTTGTGGTGTTTCCGAGGACTGACACTGTTTTAGGGTGGAGGAGAGGACCGTGCAACAATACGCTTGGGTGTTAAAAAATCAAACGGCTGCCTTCTCTCTATTGGGTGTTTGAGTTGCACCGTTCTGTGTCCATGTCTCTCTCTCTCTTCTCTCTCTCTCTCTCTCTCTTCTCTCTCTCTCTTTCTCTCTCTCTCTCTCTCTCTCTCTCTCTCTCTCTCTCTCTCTCTCTCTCTCTCTCTCTTTCTCTCTCTTTCTCTTTCTCCTGGATCTCTTCGTTGCAGGTTCCTGACTACTGGCTGCAAGAGAATGGAATAGCTAGTGATCATGTGAGTTGCCAATGTAATTTTTTTTTGGGGAGCCTGGTTACTGTCGAATCTTTCTACTCCCAACACGATTCAAACGCTACTGTCTCAATGACCAAGGCTGTGTTTACATGAGAAATTTCAACCCGGGTCGAGTTCAGCCCGGGTTGAAGTCTGTACGATAGACAAAAGAGGTGAGCGTTTACATGAAGACAGTTGGCCCGGGTCAAATACTGATATGCCGCCAAAAGTCCACTTCTACAGTCCTGTATGGTCACGTGAATCCGTTCGCGCGAAATTTGCATCTGCAGTGCTGTTCAAACCTGGCGCGAGATACGCACAGAAGTACGTTTGTACGATTTTCTTGACCCGGGTTGATTTCAACCCTCCCCTTGCCCCTTGGGGGGAGGGTTGAAATCAACCCGGGTCAAGCGCAATGCGTCATGTAAACGCGCCATTCATTTTGTGTACATGGCGGGTTGAAATGCCTCATGTAAACACAGCCCAAGTCGACGTAGCTGGGAGATTCTCTGAACTACAGTGATACGATATTCACTCGACATCTGCCATATTATAAAGATGAGAGAGAGAGAAAGGGCAGTATGGCATTTCAGTCTTTGGATTGAAAACAACTACTACTTCAGGGCTGCTCAATGAAATCAGATCAAGTGAGTCTTGTACGCACCGGGCAGCACTGTGCAGCCCTAGACCTGCGAACACCGGGATGTGAACTAGAGCAGGGTGCAATGCTCACTTGGTCGGATTTTATTGAGCAGCACTGACTGTAGTATTCCTGTTAACTTGTGCTCTGCAAAACTGAGAATCAAAACACGACGGAAACAATTGAAAAAGGCAGGAACAAGAGACAGAGCATCACTATTTGGACACAGCACACCGTTCACACTGACCACCTAGGTCACGATTTAGCAAAAAAATTAAAAAGTCACAACGGAGTGCAAATCGAAATAATTGCTACCAGGAAATGTTAGCAAAGACGTGCAGAAAAGCATAGAATGATTCAAAGAAATAGATGGACCAAACACTCAATGGTCTGTGTCAGTATACATGTGATGTGAACAATTGTAACATTGTAAGTTTTGTAACCAGCCATGGAGTGTACAACTTGTCTTAGAAAAATTGAAAAAACAGACGGCAGTTTTGTACTGTCGTCCCTCTCTAATCCGGCACCTTTTGCAACGGCATTTTCTGCTGGATAAACAAGGGTGCTGGATTATCAAATCCTGCCCTCCAACCCGGCCCACCTATCAACATACATGTTTGTGTCGTACGTCAAAACGTAGGGATTTTCTGTCAATCCAAGTACTTTGTGGAATGCATGTCTATAACTGTGACGGGAATGGTCTTAGAGACTGCTTCCCCCATTCCCGTTGGCCTTCCAATCACATAATGACTTACACTCTTTCTGCAGGCTCTGTATGGTGATCCCCGAATTACTTATTATTATTCATGCATAATGGACAACTATTTCTTTACACACATCCTTATTTTACCTCCCACACCGTACTCTGAACACAGCAGGGAGTCGAATATGACTCCCTGCATTTATTCTGAAATATGAAGCTGGCCACGACGAGGGTTTCCCCTCAGTTCTTGGTTAGTCCAGAAGGAGTGAGTTCGATGTGTTGTCGGCTGGAGCTGCTAGTAAATTAGTATGCTTACTGTTACAATAACATACACTTGGGAATATCCTATGCACTGGCGTAGGATACTCCCAAGTGTATGTTACATCTGTTGTGTATGTTACAATGCTCCCTGACGGTATGCGATGTACAACTGCTGGATTAGAAAATCGAATTATGTACAGTTTGAGTTCAAAAATCCGTTTTGCCAGAAAGTGTGCTGGTTTGCAAGGGTGCTGGATAAACAAGTGCCGGATTAGAGAGGGACAACTGTAGTGGGTTTGTGAGTGTGTACACGTCTACCCGTGATCCACCCGCTATGTGCTGTGTGTGTATGTGCTGTGTTGATGCGATGTGCTGTGTTGATGTATGTGCTGTGTTGATGCCATGTGCTGTGTTGATGTCATGTGCTGTGTATGTGTGTGCGTGCGTGTTTGCTGTTAGGAATCCTTGTCACAGCCCTGGTATTTAGTATTGGTGGACGAGAAGGACAAGGCTGGTGCCACGGCTTACGTTCCTCAGCACTCTCTTAGTGCAGATGAGCTGGCAGTAGAAGGTGTAAGTCACCTGCATTGATGCTGCTGACGCTGATGCTGATGCTGCTGCCGCTGTTGTTGTTGTTGTTGTTGTTGTTGTTGTTGTTGTTGTTGTTGTTGTTGTTGTTGTTGTTGTTGTTGTTGTTGTTGCTGCTGCTGCTGCTGTTGTTGTTGTTGAATTCTTTATTCTCACGATGGCACCATCGCCAATAAGAGGTTGTTGAATTCTTTATTCTCACGATGTTGTTGTTGTTGTTTGGATTCTCGCATCGTTGTGCTGAATGGTAATCCAATGCCACTCAGCGGGTCAGTCAGGGGAAAGTTGAAACCCCACCTATAGATCTGGAACCGTCTCATCATGCTGAGGAGACGCTAGCGCTACCTTAGGTGCTATTTTATCACTGTTCTGACCGGCAAAGTGCCGGCTATAAGGACTTGCTTGCTGCAGTGTTTTTTAAAAATCACCATTGTATTCGACTTGAAAAGTAATGGTACGAAAGGCCTAGTTGAAACTACAGTATATGGCTTCTGTGCTTCGTGTGCTGATTTGTTTCCCTCCAACCGAGAATCTATACGGTGAGGTCTAGCCACAATTTGAAACTGCAAAGCAGCACACTGCCAAATTTGGGTGGCTCAGAAATATGGAAAATAACAGTATACAAGGAGACGGTGAGGCAACGATAGTTTTAGAACGAATGTGATGTGGAACGATGGGTGATGCTTCCACATCACTTTAAATGTAATGTGGAAGCGTCACACATCGTTCCATGGAGAAACAAACACGGAGAAACAAAATTAATTTGTTTCTCCATCCATGTTCTTCACCGCCTTCGTATCCAGTTCTTTTGAGTACAATAAAGCCTTTATGAAATGTCAGTTCAGCTCTTTCTCTTGATTGCAGTTCTAAAATATTTAAGGGAAGCTTACTCAATACTTCAAACATTTGTTTCATGTGGGATGACGACCACGCCATAGCTCAGTGGTTAGAGCATCGCTGGCCTCAAGCGAGGGTCCCTGGTTCGAGTCCTGGTGGTGACAGTCCATTTTGTTCTTCAGACTTTTCCCGTTTGCGTCTTTCCCTCAAACCAGTGAATATTTTTCACGTTGTCGGCTTTTTTGCTTTAGGTTTCGCATCCCCAGCTTGTAACGTACTTCAAGTCAGCACGTCGACCGGATAATAGGTATGTAGCTCAGCCATGGCTGAAGGAACGCTATCCCAATGATTAAATCAGACTACTCTACAGCATGTCTTGTTGCTGCTTTCTACTGCTCATTCACTTGAACATTCATGTAAATAGCAGACATTATCAAATGCTGATATTGCCTTGAAGCCTCATAGTCATGTACATAGACCACCCGGACCCCCCCCCCCCCCCCCCCCCCCTGTACATTAATATCTATTGCAGAATATGCAACTATTCACACAGGAAATGGCCATTTCTTGCTGTGCTACTTCGAAATAGCACTGAAGTACCAATTTCCCTTCCCCGTTGTTTTGTTCTCTTCACTGCAAATTTTCAAGAGCACACCGAACTGAACATACTGTTAATACTGTATATACGCATTTCAATTGAATACTAGTACTTGTATTCAAGAATGATTTCCTACTGACATGGTCTAACTTGCAAACTCATCTTCAGAATATTCCATAACATTTCCTTTCTCTCTCTCTCTGTCTCTCTGTCTGTCTGTCTCTGTCTGTGTCTCTCTCTGTGTCTGTGTCTCTATCTGTGTGTGTGTGTGTGTGTGTGTGTGTGTGTGTGTGTGTGTGTCTCTCTCTCTCTCTCTCTCTCTCTCTCTCTCTCTCTCTCTCTCTCTCTCTCTCTCTCTCTCTCTCTCTCTCTCTCTCTCTCTCTCTGTGTGTTCTGGTCTCTGTTATAACGTTAAGCTTGTCCCTATTTTCTTTCTTGTTTCTTAGTGTCCAGTACTACGTGTAGTGTGATTAAGTGTATTAACAGAACGAGCTAGTCTGTCGTGGAGCGATGGGACCTGCAAGAAAATTGACTGATGCATTGTATTTGTTGATAAAATTACTCTTTGGGCTAGATTACACTCAAACATTCCAAGTTCGCAATTGGAGGAGAGAGTTTGTTAGATATGCTGGTGGGTCTATGGACGACCCTCTACCTTTAAAGTTTAAACAGAGGAGTGAGTGCCACTGCCTTCCGTTCTGTGTAGTAGTTGTTTCAACTGACTGTGGGTTTAAAGGGGAACTACAGTCTCGTAATTATTCCCGTACATGTATAATGACTGACGAGGTTTTCTTCTTCGAAGTAGTCATCAGGGAAATGTAACTGTGTAACCCTAAACAACAGCACATGGACATGTAGATGTGGATCTACCGGTGTTGTGCAGTCTTGTATTTGTGCCCGTGAGTGTCTTTCCTTGGCCCGGCCTAGTAGTAGTAGCAGCACTAGTAGTAGTAGCAGCACTAGTAGTAGTAGCAGCATGAGTAGTAGCAGCACTAGTAGTAGTAGCAGCACTAGTAGTAGTAGTGTAGTACAGTAGAGTCACGTGCCGGAGAACGTCCAGCCTGAAATGCTAAGAACACCACAGCGTATGATGTTGGCTTTCCGGCAGCTTTTGGGATAGATATGATCCAGTACGAATTGTTTCTAAGAACGTGCTATAAGAACGCAGCCAGATTGCTAAACAAATTAAGAACGCCCCAGGCTAACCACTTGGGAACAATGTTTTTGGACGCGCGATCCTACTGCAGTTCTGGCTCATTTCAGCTTGAGTCATTGCGACCGTCGCTAGATAGTATACCATTACTTGCAAGTAGATAGGAGCTTCAGAATCCGAGTTTGATTCTGGAGCTCCTATCTACTTGCAAGTAATCACCGGGCATCTAGCTCCTAGGTAGTAATGAGTGCTTACACTGTAGTCTTGGCTTGGCAATCCAATAGGCAATACCACAACCAGTTCTGCCTGGCCTGCAGATGCCTTCATCGCTGCATAATCGGCTGCATACCAGCAACAGTACATAACCCCCAGGGTTGTGTACTCTTGATAGCAGTCTGACTGTAGGCTTTTTTGTGACGAGAGCATTGCATTTACGACCATTGTTTCTAATTATTATTCTTGTTTTGGGGAACACATCCCCATGCTGTGTGATCCGTCGTGTTGAACATGTAGTGCCTAATAGTAATAGTCAGTGATGCTAGTGATGACAGACGTAATCATGGTAATGCTGCCCTGTCGGGACATGTTGCCAAGCCACCGCCTGCTACACTGTGACCATGGTGACACGCTACATAAATACACTGTAAACGTTTGCCCAAAGCGTTCACGATACTTGCCTACGTAGAGATGTCCTTAGGACACACAAACACACACACTCACACACACACGCACACACTCTCTCACACACACACGCACACACACACACACACACACACACACACACACACACACACACACACACACACTGTGTGACACAGATGCGAAGCTATCACACGTTCAGTGTAAAGGCATGAGCTGAGTGAGCAGCAGCCATCTGTCTCTAGTCTCTAGAACTGCTACTGTGCTAGGCTCTAGAGTCTGGACCCAGCTATTACTACCTACCTCGGCCTAAGCCAAAGAGCTAGAGGGCGTTAGGTCTCAGACAACTGAGCTCGAACTGGAAGATCACGTTGCGGACTAGCAACACCGTCGGTACACCGCAGAGCACAGTGAATGCGTGTGCGTATACAGCAAGACTGTCTCTGTTACGAAAAGCAGACTTGCAAAGCTGGCCCGGCCTAAAATCATTCGCTACCACTGGATTAGAACCATACATCATTTAATTTATTATTTTATAACATCCGTCAAGCAACGTTACGTATGGCCCATTGCAAGTCGTCTAGTATTACGTCCAGGGGAAAATAACCATCGCCGTCATAGCGTTAGTGCATGATTTGCAATGTAGCAGGTCTGCTGGGCCTGCAGGGACAGAGCTGCACTGCCCCGAGAGCGGCATTGCCACAAGCTGTCTTGCGGTCAACTGTAACCCCTACATTCGTGCAATGCTCCCGGAATGTCGCTATGCCCTCCTGCAGGGTGGCGACCCAACCCAGTCGGAGAGCTGTCACAACGACAGGTAGTAGTAGTGGTAGTGGCAGTGGATATGCGACTCCAGTACGCTATTGTTACGCCACACCGAGTGACACAAGCGCGCACCTGTCAGCTAAACAGAAACAGAGTCACCCGGATGAGTGATGAATGATTATTGCATTATGCCAGTATAGTCTGCCGACTGAAATGTGAAAAGCCTCCTGTACGGGCAAAGCAAATGTGCTTACATAATGAAATCACCAAACGTAAGCACTAACAATGAAGTCGTGGTCTCGCCGCGGCTACGGCCATACGACTCCCTGCACCCGCGGAAGCATGTTATGGAGCAGGGTAAATGACAGGCTTCGGAGCTCGCCCATTACTGCAGACTGAAATGAGTTTGCCAGCCACGGGTGCCAACCTGGCAACCAGCTGCGTGTCAACATGTCATGAAAGGATGTCAACTGCTATCATCGAGACACATGTACACTGGTAGAACACGTGGAGGTGCATTACGAGTGACATACATATACAATCATACAGTACGACTCGTACATGTACGACCAAGAGTATAACCCATACTCTTGGTACGACTCGTACCGTGGAAAAAAAAGTACTACATTTGTAGTACTAGCAACAGTACATAAACTTGGTACTATTACGACTACGAGTAGTTTAGGAATGGGTTTGCTCCCACACTGGAGCTCGCGCTATTCCGCCGACGACTTGACACTTGACGAGGTGACAGCGTTGTGAATGACCGAGGGTCCTCTACGTCTGTTCTCACCGTCCAGGAGCGATAACTGACTCACGCTGCTATCTGGTGTTCACGAGGTGTTTGTCGCGCTGGAATCGGAGTGTCTCTGTAATAAGTTTGTATCCCTGGTGATGTTTGTGCCTGGAGAGCACTATATCAGTGGTGCTCAGCTCTTCAGGCACTCAGCCTACTCAAGCTCAACTGATGAGGGGTGAATTCTCCGAAACACTGTGTATTGAGCAGGGAGTGGTGCTTTCTTGCAGGTTTGCCGAGTCGAATGTTCGATGGACTTCTCGTGTTCTCTGGATGGCAGTCGTGAGTCAGTCAAGTGTCAAGTCGTCGGCGGAATAGCGCGAGCTCCAGTGTGGGAGCAAACCCATTCCTAAACAAAATCATCGCCGAAGTCGCAACCTCTATTTCGTACTACAGTAGTAGTAGTTGATTATGGTATTATTAAAAAAAGGAGAAGGACAACATGTTACGAGTTATGACAACTGTCCACCAACGTAACCAGATCATCTGCAGTCAGCGAGTGCGACAAAATGCACAAAACTGACTTCCCCTCTTGGACCTTTCCGAACCTGTGCCTTCCAAGTTGGAAGGTTGTTGGTTTGCGCCTTGGAGAAGTGTTGGAGCTAGTGTCAGGTCGCTGAATGTCTCTGTACTCCTTGTCAGTTTTGTGCCATTTTGTCGCACTCGCTGACTGTATGATCTGGTTGCGTTGGCGGACAGTTAGTCATAACTCGGAACATTTTTCCTTCTCCTTTTTTAGGGGAATATGGGGAAGAGGAGCATACAGGGATACACATCACTCATAGTCATACAGTGTACTACTGGGAATGCGGATAGCTAGACAGCCGAGATACTACTCTGTGCATTACGGTACGAGTCCTAAATCGCAATACACAGGCATGTTCATGTGCATGCCTTCTCGTCATGCTGATGAGTCATGCTGATGAGGAATGGATGATGATGGCGGTTAACACTGGTTATTTTAGTTCCCAAATACAAATGGGAATTTCTTTCCAGTAACAAGGTAGCGAAGAGATACGGTATAAGAGAGGGAAGAGATGTATGTGAAATGGGCGTGTGCGGTGTTCACATGTGTGGAAAGGGTTCACAAATACGTTTGTGTAGGGAAGCATGTGGTACGCTCGCAAGGAGATAAGAACCACAACGTCCAAGGCTGCAGACATATTGCGCAAGTAGTATTGTAAGGGAGTCGTATGGAATGTACCCGGTAATACGGCCCATACCACACACTGGAGCAAGAAGTCGAGAGGCCATGACTTGTGTCGCCACTGCCCTCGTACCATCTGTTGCTGATTAACACTTGCTAAGCCACAACTTATTATCGTCTTGGTGTTGGTGCAGGTTTGAGGGAGGAGGAATCGGCTCAGTCTCGGATATTCCGACTTGTTGTGTCTAGATGCAGCTAGGATCTGTCAGTCCTGACTCAAACTTGACTCAGTAGTCAATATTGCACTGGCTACACCACACCTATAAATATCGGTGTTGATGGTGCTGGATGAAGGAGGAATCGGCTTCGCCAAGGACAGTCGGAATTGTTGTGTCTAGATGCAGTAAGGATCCGCCACTTCTGACTCAAACTCCACACGTTCAAGCCAAGAGTGTGACCAACACCACTGTATAGTCTGTAGTCTGGACTGTATACAAGGTATATGTGCCAATAACAATCACGCGGCTCGATGGCACGGTTCGATGGCACGGCTCGATGGCACGGCTCGATGGCACGGCTCGATGGCACGGCTCGATGGCACGGCTCGATGGCACGGCTCGATGGCACGGCTCGATGGCACGGATGCACGCAAAACGCATACCGGTACTGCTACCGAAACGTCTTGTTACTTTGCGGGACGTTCTCCTTCCACTGCACGCGCGGGACCAGCAGTCAGCACGCTAATGACCGTGTGATATTGATCATGATACAATCACTGCGGGCGTGATAAGCAAGGGGTTGTGAAAATCACTGAAATACGGACAACGACACGTAACCTGGATACGTAAGGACACCAACAGGGCAATGACTGTAGCAGGCGCCGCAGTGTTCTCTTGTTGGTAGCACTCTGCCTTAGCACGGCCCATACAGTCAGTAGGTCTTTGTGATCTCATAGTAATACTACTTATGGTCACAGTCAGTCTCTGCTGAATGGTAGGTCTACCCGTGGTTTCTAGCGAACATGTCGAAGTCGTGCATGGAAACTGGAAACTGGAAATAATGACATTGTGCAATGCAAGCATACTAACATACTAACACTGCATTCCCAAACTGATCCGTTCAAGCAGCCCGGCAATGGTGGATCATTAGTCATGTAATCCTGTGAGGTCAGGACACATCGCAAACATGCTGTATGCATGCACAAACCTAGCTTGCCGAGACAATGTAGTTTGTCTGGGATTCTCCAACAGATGGCAAGTCCTCGGCACGTAAGCTAGAATCTGCAATCAACGAATTTCAAACTGCCAGCAACGCGTTTTGCCCCTGGCTCCTGGCTCCAGTTTGCGGGCAGCTGGCAGCTGGCGTGTTGATCGTCTGGCTCGCTAGGTAAACAGCATGAGACTGTGTCCCTTAGCTCTACTCGACTTATCACAGTGCAGCATTCTAATACTACAGTAATGTATGTATACACGTCACCCATGTTCTCAACCACCAGCCGCCGTCGTCGCATATATGTATCGCCCGGACGCGACACCACGTCCATTCGCCGCTTTTCCAGTCTGTTGCCCACATCGTCCAAAAGGTCGCTTGAGACGGAAATATACCATAAATCAGTTCATAGCTGGGTGACCATTAAAACCATTCTTCATTGACTGTCTTCCAAGATGAAGACGGTGATATTGCTGGCCGTGGCTGGTAAGGATGATCATTTGCATTTGGACTCCAGTCGATAATGCGTCGTTTTGAGTGACTAGTACTTCCGCTATCCTGTTCCGCTATCACTGCATGATAAAGATCTCTGCAGTGCTGCTCAGATGTAACTACTTCATTAGTTTGAGCAGTACAGATGCATAAACCTGTAGAATGCACCGTGTTGATTTGTTCCCTCCCCTGTTCCATTCATTAGAACATAATCCTCCGACATATAATTGATACGGTGTGCACTGTGTGCTGTGTGTAAAAGTATGTGAATGTGTGTGTGCATGCGCGCGCGTGTGTGTGTGTGTGTGTATGTTTGTGCTGGGTGTATTTGCAGCCATAGCCAGCTCCCAGCAGCATCAGCAGCAGCAGCAGGAGCAGCAGCCAATCAACACCAATACGCACTTCATGCCAAGTTGCCAGTGTGATGCCAACTCTGCATATACAGGTAATGCCCCGATTATCACCTACATTGTACATGTACTTGGAAGTAGCCACGTGACAATGTATCGCTGTGTTCACTCTATTCACTGCATGCAGGTTCTGTGTGTGATCATTATGTTCACAAAAATTCAGATCTTACTCATACCTCGTGTTTCTGAAAAAGTCTGCCAATCCCAAACAATCTTAAGACAGGCGAGAGAGAGAGAGAGAGAGAGAGAGAGAGAGAGAGAGAGAGAGAGAGAGAGAGAGAGAGAGAGAGAGAGAGAGAGAGAGAGAGAGAGAGAGAGAGAGAGAGAGAGAGAGAGAGAGAGAGAGAGAGAGAGAGAGAGAGAGAGGAGAGAGAGAGGGGGGGGGGGGAGAGAGGAGAAAATGGCGTTGTGATTTCGAGCTTTATCTTCACCAAATTATCTTAATCTGATAATCGTGTGAACGTGAACTCTAAGTCGCAATGACATTTTCCTCTCTCTCTCTCTCCTTGCTATGAGTACTAGTAGGCAAGCTTAGTGAAATGCAAAAGTGAAGAGAAGGATAAGAATAGATATCATAATGATGAGTACCAGCAGAATCTGGTTATCCTTTTCGGGAAAGATTACGGGGGTCACCCTGATCATCTGGATGCCAAAGCTACCTGACTGGCCCATGCCCCCCCCCTTGTCCCAGTGCTGAGGTGACACCGGCGGCATGACGATTGTGCAGATGACATACTCACTGTGTAATAGAGGGACATAATAATTATATACTAGTAGTAACCATGGTAACCTGGTGACTAAGCTAAGAACTAGTGACTAGTGTCGTGAGGTGATTGTAGCGGTGCTGCCGGTCAACGGTTAGCACTGTAGGTGGTAACGACGAATTGCACGAGATCTGGAGAAGCCTCAGCTCACCATCAGCACACCAAGCACGTGTCCCATTGTATAAACGCAAAGGCACTGTCTCCTCACTGTCTCCTTGTCCAGGTCTTGCCTAGCTGATGTATTAAGTCCAGCAGACTGTCTGCAATACCGGTATAGGCTGTAATACTGGCTTTAATACTGGCGGTAGTGTCACAGAATGCAGTGATGTACAGTAATCGTGGCGATGTGCAGTGACAGCTGCCTTCGTCCCGTCGACACATGACAATGTTACTGGCGCAGGGCATTCATCAAGTGTCAACGACTAGACCGCTTGCTGCTTGCCAAACCATGCGTTGACAAGTGGTTGACGTCTGGGAATTCTCCTCTTTGCGAACATGTAACCTGTACTAGGCTGCAGTGGACTGCATGCATGCAGTGGGCTGCAGTCTGCTGCAGTCCTGTAGCCTGTGTAGGCTGTAGTACTGGCACTGGGTGAAGACTACCACACTCCACAGCACCAGTCACCGGTTTAGGCCAAGTTAGGGCAATACGTGTGTGGTCTAAGTGAGTCAGTGATTACTGCATTCCCACACTTGCATTTGTATGTCACACTGTCATAATGTTTGAGTATACTGCCTAGCCACAGTACCAGCAATACAAGCAGCAGCACTACAACTTGCAGCAGCACTACAAGCTCGTAGATCTACTGGTACAATCATAATTATTGCAATCGTACCAGCTAGGCCGGGCACAACACCATTGTCCCTGGGCTTTGCTCCGCAACCGGGTCATTGTGTGTGAGTGTGCTCATCCAACAATGAATACCGGTACTGAGTATTACCAAGAGTGCAACCCCCCCCCCCCTCCGGGAGGGGGGGGGGGTTGCACTCTTGCCGGGTCTTGGCATGACACATCGTGTTTCCTATTGTTGTTGCTATTGTTACAGACTCATGCATGGGGGCATTCAGCAAGAAAGGTCGCTTTACCTATCGCTACGAAACAACTCTGGAACAATACATTCCAGGTTACAATGGAACGTCTGAGTTCCGAATGTCAGCTATGGTTGACTTCTGGTTCCATGAGAACTCCTGCATTGGAGAGATGCAGGTGTATGACGTCATGGCATACGATACGTCATTCCGTGGCGTCGAATATCAAGGCGACATCTACAATTTCCTCCGGCAACAAGCGGAGAAACATGACGAACTTGAGTTGTTCTATCGATATAACGAGACTCTGCCACGCTATCGTCTCTATTTCTGCTACTCGGACTTCAACTTTCAGCACCTTTATCAACACTTGGAGGAGCCAATTTGGAGTCTGAATTTCAAGCGTGGTATTCTCAGCACCTTCCAGGCAGAATTTTGCCCAACGCGCTATCACTACAAATCCATGGAGGTTAGTTGGCATGACGTCACAACCATTATTATCATTATTCTAACTACCCGATATGTTTTCAGATACTCACCCGCGCAGGTCTTACACAGGTCATGAAGATTCACCATTGATTCACACCGGGAAACTCGGAGTGTGGTCCGAAAGGACGATGATCTTGTCACTCGCGGCATCACCAGCTAGCTAGCCCTATCCACAGTGGCCCTCATGCTCAGTACCGCATAGTGCCGTGCTAGCACTTAGCAGGAATCGTGGCAGGTAGTGTGTCATGCTGTCGAAAACCTCGGAGTTGAATGAGGCGATTTACACGACGGCAGTGCAGTGTTGATGTTGTGCACTTTGCACTCGGTGGTGGTCTATTGCGTGAAAGGTCGCTCGCTCGCTAGCACTGCAGTGATTTGGTAGGGCTGATGAGGTGCTGCGGTTCAGAACGAGATGAGCTCGGCTAGGGGATAGTCAGTACTATCCACACTATGACGGGACCAGAACTGTTCAGCAGTGAATGCTTCCAATACGCAATGGCTTGCTCTCTTTTCTAGATCTTTTCAACTCCGACTAAACATTAACTGGATACAGTATTCGATTGCGAGCATCGAGCAGTCAGTGCAGATGCATATGAACCAGGGGCGTGCTCGGCCCCCCAACTAGGGGGGTGCACGGGAGCCGAGGGGAGCCCCCCCGGCAATTTTCTGCAATTTGTTTGCAACCTTTCTTGAATTTTAGAGCATATTTGCATACATTACAATTGCAATTACCCAGATTGAAAATTTTTGGGGGGTGCACGTGCCCCCGTGCCCATCGCCGAGCACGCGCCTGTGAACTAGTACTTCGAAGTGTTTTTAGAAAGTGGAGTTCAGGTTTCTTGTAAAGCCAACCACTGACTGTTCATTGGAATGTGAGTTTGGAGACCATTCATAGTCAAGGCCAGTTCTAGCTACACACCAGTCTTTTCCTGTTAGCTCTGTTTGTCCAATACATGAAATAAAACGTCTTTCTTGTTGTTTTTCCTTCTACATGTAGCTGCTTCCAGCATAGTAAACGACAGTACCATGGCCTTTTCAGATTTTCATTGTACCTATTTGTAGTACCTCCCGGGATCAGTATTTCCACTTGAAATAATATCCACCCCAATGCCTCATTCTTAGCATTCTTTTATTCGCTTCCATGTAATTGGGCTTATATTGCCCGTTTGGTATTGCGAATTCAAATAAAAAACAAACAACAACACCCACCGTTACCATGGTTACTGCCTGCTATACTGGACTGAGTGTGAGGCTGGATCATGGTATGCACGTACACGTATTTGTATATTGTTTTTTCTTTCTGCCGCATTACAGAATGCAGTCAATGCTGACATCTGTTCGTATGAGTATCGCATCCGTCCCTACAATGCCGGAAACTTCACTGTCACCAAGGAGATGCTGTGGGACCAATGCCAGCAAAGGAAGTCCAATACCATGTCGTCTGTTTATGGACGCTGGTTTGCAGAGGTAAGTGACTTAACCCAGGGTTAATAATAAAAATAATAAAAGAACAAAGAAAAGACCAAGGAACTACAAGTTACTCTATAATGTCCACTAACACCACCAGTTACTGGATAATCAGCTCATGTGATAATATTATAGTGTAACTTGTAGTTCCTTGATCCTTTTCTTTATCATAAATTGATTAAAGTCATCATTGGCTCTCCACCCTAAGAATGAAACAGGCCGCGTAATGAAGCAAACAATTGATGTGCAAAGTCATGCGGATGCCTGGTCCGCTTCTGTCCTGGGTTGGGTTAACAACCCAGGGTCGGTAGATCACTAACTCCGGCCAGTGTCGTCTACAACTGTGGAGGTACGCTAGCTCCACGTACAGTGCATGTAATGCACAGGACGGTGTTAGTCACAGCATTCACCGATGTAAAGTCTAACTTCTGGTTATGGTTCACGGTAACCACGGTAACGTGCTCATGCTGTGTAACTTAGTACAGTGGTCCCTCTATAATCCGGCACCATTTGTGCCACGAAAATCTGCTGGATTAGGGAGGGTGCTGGATTAACAAATCTGATTTACTGCTGCAATGTGCATGAAGAGGACATTTTGGTTACTGAAAATTGTGCTGGTTTATCGAGGGTGCTGGATTATAAAGTGCCGGATTAGGGAGGGACGACTGTACTAATATTCTTAGTACGCAGTCACAGGTTACCGCTGTAAAAATACCTACAACCGGTGACATCAGGTTGTGACACCATGACATACATGTATTGTAGCCTGCACTTTTTATTTTTTTATTTTTTTTATTAGCTGGTTTGAGGGAAAGAGACAAACGGGAAAAACAATTTTATTATTATTATTTTTTTATTGGGAACACAGCCCTACAAAGAGACATGTGGAGACAAACACAAGACAAGACACAGGGGATGTAGGGACGACGTGTACTCTCTGGCATAGTCATGAGCAAGTCTGCATACTCAAAGGATGTGTTTGGAGATGATCCTAGGAGCAATATAGCACACCAAATCCACATCAATACCCAAGTACATACATGATTGTAGTAACGAGTGCTATTGACACTCTGCCTACATGATTGCTGAATGTTAGTATTACTGGTGGATGGCTATTGGCTGATTGTTGTGAATTGACGGTTTGATCATCGTAACCATGGGGATTGTGGTCTACTCTGATGTCATAATGCAGGGTGAGAAACCAGTGTACACCAAATCCAGCAGCATGTACAAATACTACAATAATATCACACAGTATATCTGGTATGAAGAGAGCCATGAGCTGCGCTTGTCCGGATTCCAGTTACAGTTCACCGCCGATGAAGACTGGGGCTCTCTGTTCTCGATTGTCAGGTAAGTAGTTTCTAACAGGCCAGTCACAGTTGGTTAGTCAAGTTGTACTCGGCTCATCATCATCTTCACCTTCACTACAACTGCTGAGCAAGCGGGTAGCACAGACATCTGATCATATTTGTTGGCATGTGTTACGTGTTATGTGTTATGTGTTATGTGTTATGCTGATGGCTCTTGCCCTCGTGTGCAGTAACAGACTAACAGTACAACATTCTCTCCGCAGTCTGTGAATTTAGTTAGTTAGTTAGTTAGTTAGTTAGTTAGGGGGTAAACTGATTAGCTGCAACAGTGGTAGATACAGTACTAGTACATAGCTACAAGTAGTGTTGATGACGCCATGGTCATGTCCAAATTTTACTTCAAACTACTATTCTTGGTCTCAGCAGAACCTCAATGCAAAGCGAGGAACTGGTCTTGTCTGTGTGTGTGTTTTATGCTACAGGCAATACTTCTACTTCCAGAAGTATGACCGTGTGGATACAGTGCCACAATTCATGGGACTTGACCGAACGCACTACTCCAGTCGGTCTCGTAGCTTACAATACGAAGAGTTCGACTTCTACTCCAAATATGGGCACAACTATGACAACATGAATGAGGTAATGAATGTGATGTGAAAATGCTTGTGTATTCTCAGCATCACACTCATCCACATACATCCGAGAAATCTGTACTGTCTCATAGCAAAGCATTGGCTGTTGCTGGGTACATTGTGTGAATATGTCTGTGTGTGTGTGGGGAGGGGGGGGGGGGGCCTTCACTTGCAAATTAGGCTGATCAGGGTACGGTTAATTCCAGGTAATTTCTTAGTACAGACCAAAGTGCTTGAGTGGATGTCTACATCAGAGCCTGGGTTGGAGGGCTATATAAGTAAATCATGCGGCCTTATTTGACACAGAAGCCAGCGGCAGGACGGGTTGCAACTCCGAGTTTCATACTGAGTAATCATCAGCCAACAAATTCGAGCACGGTTTTGAATAGTGGACAGTGACTACTACATATATGTATGCCATATTTGGCCAGAGCCTATCGTCCATTCTATTTTCGTGCCGCGTGTGTATAAAAGTACAATTTGGACTGACTGGAACTTGTGCACTAGAGAGATGGCCATGTTTCAAAGTCTACCTGACTAGGGAGTGACATCAGCACATTCTGTAGTATGAAACCGCTGCTCAGGTAATTATGTTGTCATATCTGTCTGCCTCTTCTCCAGGCTATGGAGCTGGTCAGGAAGATCACCGAGTTCAAGCGTGAGCCGATGAACGGAGATTTCCTGGACATGTTCTACGAGCTGCAGCAACGATTCAGGCATTTCACCTATGCTCAGTTCCGCACAATGTTTGAGCAGTTTGAGAGTGATGTAATGTGCATGTAAGCGCAATGTTTGAGCAGCTTGAGAGTGATGTAATGTGCATATAAGCGCAATGTTTGAGCAGTTTGAGAGTGATGCAATGTGCATGTAAGCGGCCGTTGTCCACAGTAATGTTTGTTCATCATGAAGTGGGTCATCCCAGTTTCACACACGCCGGGTTATCGCTTGTCATGGCAGCCTGCCTATTGCCACCTTCTATTTACATTGAGGGTTCTGTCTTGGAACCATTGAGGCCAGGGATACAGTGCATTTGTTGTGTTGCATGTTGGTTTTGTATGCCAAAATGCTCAATACCGGTTTGCCGGATGAAGTAGTCGTCCAGATGACTTGATTTCTAACGGAATACACTGTACAGGTACCTACTGTCCTCTTGTGTCTGCTGTGTTGGTCTAGGCGTTTTGAGCGCGAAGGACGCTTCACCTGCCGCCGTACTCTCTTTGAGGCTGTGATGGCTGTCGGTAGTGACACGTCAGCCATGTTCTTCCGTTACCTGATCCATGAACATAACTCTTACTTCAGCATGGAGGACCAGCTCTTTGGCATGTGGAGCTTCATCTTCAGCGAGCATTCCAGTGAAACCATCCTTCATTCAATCTACGTACGTCCATTGGAATGTGTAGGGGGTCTAAGTTATGTACTTTTTATGTGCAATAATGGGTGCTCAATTACTCCCCCCCCCCCACGTACCTTGTCTTCCTGCCTCGTTTGCGGGTATATAGTCACTGCTTGCAGTCCCGTCGAACGAATCGAGGAAGTTTGAAACTGTCCTTTGGGGCTGGGGTGGGGGTGGGCATCATGTACTGTCCGTCTGTAGCACTTGCTAATGGGGGTGCTTGCTGTGCTCTCACTGTGGGGTGATATCGTTATAATTATTGTCATAGAAACCAAACCAAACAAATGAATATGTCACCGTGGCAACACATTAGGACAGAGATTTGTATGCAGTCGCAGTGTTCTGTGGCTGGCGTGTGTGTGTGCGTGTGTGCGTGTGTGTGACCGTGATTCGGTGCGGCGCATGTTGAGTATGAGCAGCGGGTCACGAAGCAGAGTCCGAGTCAACACGGCATGCATACAGGACCAGGATCACAGGTGGATTATTTTAGTGACATTGGGTCACCGTGTTCATGACTGCACACTGCCATTGTTTGTTCTGGTTCCTACAGGATACTTGCGAGTACTACCGGAGCAATGAGAGATTCTGGGGCCGCTGTGCCTTGGCTCTGGGAGCAATGACTAAGAGATACTGCGAGTACAACTACAACGAATGCCCGTACTTTGACTACACTGATGAACGCTGGCAGAATTGGAACGGAGGGTACAATGTCATATCAAACTTTGAAGAGGAGATTGAGAATACCCCTCCATACTATGCCAAGATCTTCCTCTACTTTTACCGTGTCTTCGAAAGCAACCGTTTCACCTACAACTCACAGGCTTTCTTTGCCCTGAAGGCAATCAACAACATGGCGTCTGCTGACAATTATGACTACATGCGCACGTTCTACAGATTCCATAGAGAAGTGGCGTTCAATGTTCAGTATCCGATGCAGTATCGTCTAGCCGCCATGCAAAGCTTTGCTCGCTGCATCCCCATGTTCTATGAGGAAGTAAGTCATACGGCATTGCCACCATACTGATGACATCACTTTGTACACTGATGACATCACTTTGCACACTGGTGACATCACATTACACACTGATGACATCACTTTGCACACTGATCTCACCATCAATACCAGTCCATGACCTTTGCCTAGTCGATGGGTGGTGGTATCTTGCTGGGCAGGCTGGGAGTCTTCAAACCACTGTTCTATATACAGTACATGTACATACAATGGCTTATAATAATTATAATAATTCAGATGGTGAGCCAAGGAAAAAATTGCAACATGGAAATTGTGGGCACAAGTTATGCGATCGAGTCCACCAACTAAACCAGATTTTGAACAGTCAGACGTGCACAATCTAGCACAAAACTGACAAGGAGTACTGAGACATTCCACGGCATGAAAGTCAGCTAGAGCACTGCTCGATAGCGCTAACCAACGGCCTTCCAACTAACTTGGAAGGTTTATGGATATTAGTGCTAATTCCAAAGAGGCGCTCGCCTTCCCCTCTTTGGAATTAGCACTAATATCCATAAACCTTCCAAGTTAGTTGGAAGGCCGTTGGTTAGCGCTATCGAGCAGTGCTCAAGCTGACTTTCATGCCGTGGAATGTCTCAGTACTCCTTGTCAGTTTTGTGCTAGATTGTGCACATCTGACTTTTCAAAATCTGGTTTAGTTGGTGGACTCGATCGCATAACTTGTGCCCACAATTTCCATGCTATTATTATAATGTGTGTGTACATGTGTGTGTGTGTGTGTGTACACGCATGTATGTTTATGCATGTGTACGTGTGTGTATGTGCATGTGCATGTGCGTGTGCATGCGCTGGTGCACGCTTCCATGCTTTTTTCCTGGTAGCTCTACCCGGAATTCTTTGCAATGTTCAGAGATGAGAGTCAGCCAACGGAGATGAGAATTGTGGCCTTCAACAACATGATGTACACATTCAAGTTTGGCAGTTTCTACCTGTCTAGTGCCAAGTGGCAGGAAGTGTTTGGTGTGATGGACCAAACACATGACTACCAGCTCTACTGCTACGCTTACAGCTATCTATCACGCATGGTGGAGACGGCATACTTCCCAGACAGATTCTGGTAAGTTCACTGCTACTGAAGACGCTGGTACTGTATTGTGATACTGTAGCGAATGATTTAATTAGGCACTGATCAGAATTCATGGTGCATGCATGACGGTAGTGTGATGCATTGTCCGTTGCAGTGCCGCCGGGCTGTTGAAGCAAGGCTCTTTGACAGTGTATTCATCTTAGCACACGGTTGTACATGAGTGATGATGATGATGCTAATCGGTTGTGTATTGATGCTCTGTGTCTTTAAAAGGACTCGTCAACTTGCTTACTACTTTGGCAAGAGTGAATATTTCTTCACCAGCCGTGTTTACAAGTGCAAGAACATGGGTTACCTGGGATCTCAAGTCCAGCAATACTCACTCCCAACAGGTAATGAACTACATTACCATGACATAAACATGATTTAGCCATGATGTAACCATGATGTAACCATGACACAACCATGACATCACCATGGTGTACCTAACCATGACTCAACCACGATCTAAGCATGACATAACCATGGTTTAAGCATGACATAATTATGGTTTAAAAATGACATAACCATGGTTTAAGCATGACATAACCATGGTTTAAGCATGACATAACCATAGTTCAACCATGACTCAACCACGATCTAAGCATGATTTATCACAACCATGTGGCATGTACACAGCTGCATGATCACATTGATGAGTTCCATTGAATGGAGCAAGTGTTTCTCTTCTCTGGCCCCAGACCATCCGTATCTAGTCTGCCATGCATGCTTGTAGCTACGATGTAGTCAGTGCTGTGCTTGAAGGCGCACGTATCTTCTTACCCCCGTCAGAGTACATCGCGCTGTGCTTAGGACTACGTGCTGCCGATGATAAATATGTGCATAGTATACTGCATGCATGTTCTCACAATGTACGTACACAAGCGATGTTCCACATGGTTATCGATAGGTCATGGTTACCTCATGTCGGCTCATGCATGATTGTCCGTGATGCTCACGAGGCTGCATAGCGCGAGGGTGCTCTCAACTGATAGCATGTGTGAAAAAGGCAGGGGACCGCGAAGCTAGTAGCTGAGCGATGTTTGAAGTCTTTTTTGGTGAATCCTCCGTCCAGTTCCAATGTGTCTGAATGTGCTGTACTGTGCTGTGCAGGCTTCTTCCCTCGTTTCACTGACTTCCGCTTCAGCAGCAGTGTGGAGTGCAGCAAGAACAAGACATTCACTTTCCCGCGCCGATTCAACTTCTTCTTAGATGGCTACGTGTACAATTATGATATGCGTCACTTTGAGGTAAGACTGGAAATAATCCGAAATAGTGTCCTCTGTCATTGCTGTGTTGTATCAGTAGAGAGAAAGAGAGAGAGAGAGAGAGAGAGAGAGAGAGAGAGAGAGAGAGAGAGCGAAGGTGAGTTGTGATGCTATGCCTCATGCCCTGTATCTTGCTTTTGTTTTGTACCGTCAGTGAGTATGATCTTAATTACTGCAGTGCAGTACCACAGCCTCTGCTTGCACTTACAGCACATCGTTATATGTGTGTGTGTGTGTGTGTGTGTGTGTGTGTGTGTGTGTGTGTGTGCGCGCGTGTGCGTGTGTACGTGCGTGCGTACGTGCGTGCATGTGTGCATGTGTGTGTGTGTGTGCGTGAACTTTCTGTGGACTACACTAACTGACTGCAGTTTGGTTTCGAGTCACCTGACTTCCGGCGTTTCTTTGACTACTTCACCAGCCCCGATGCCTTCGTTTACAGGGACCATGTGAGTATCACTGCATATCACTGCATACTGTGAGACTGACTGCATATACCGTATTTCCCTGTTTATAAGTTCCGACCCATTTTCAGGTCTGTTTCAACACATTCCCATAAGAAGAAAGTACACTCTCGATTGTAAGTCGCACCCCCTTCTTTGCCCTTGAAGTTTAGTGTGAAAGGTGCGACTCATATCCGGGCAAATACGGTATTGCACAATGGACATTAAAATCACCAATGCTAATCGATTATCAAGATCCATACTTTCTCATGTGCATTCTGGACGGTCAGTAAGCTACTGAAGTAGCTGCTTTGCTAGCCAGTCAAATGACTAGTCAATTTGCTCTAGGAAGAATAACAAGTACATCAGTGGGCGGGTATCACACGTACATCAGTGGGCGGGTATCACACGTACATCAGTGGGCGGGTATCACACGTACATCAGTGGGCGGGTATCACACGTACATCAGTGGGCGGGTATCAGAGGCTGTCTCTTCCGTGACACCACGAAAACAGTACCTCTTATGCAGAAAGCACGTTTTACCCGAGCCCATCGCAACAATATACGTTGTGTGCCGGGTCACCTGGAGGAGAAACTGTGCCATGAAATTCTTCCATAATGCGTGTACTCTGGTGTATTCTTTATCCGAGTCCACTCTATTCTGTATACTTTACACTGAATGAACGCATTGGTCCATAGTCAACAGCTAACACATTGGTAAAGTTCTTACACAGTCTAATCTGCTTGATCTGCTGCAGGAACAGCGCACAAACCCATACGAGTTCAAGTTCTTCTTCTTCATGCGAATGTTTGAGTTCGACATGTTGTGGGAAGAGTTTGACCAAGACGATGTTGAGCATATGTTTGAGAACAACTTCAAGTACTACAAGCTCTACAAGGCAGCTTACACTTTCTTCCAGGATGGATATAGCTATAAGGGTCTCTCCAACCTCATGTTTGAGATGAAGCAATGGCGCTCCTTGTCCGGCATCATGTCCTTCTTCACCGATAGCACTTACTGGAACCAGGTACTGTATACACAGACTGATGTAACTATGACAACCAACTCTACATGTACTTGTACCTGTACAGTACTGTAAAACCGGAGAATTTCGGTGGAGTTTTATTTTCGGTAACTTCGGCAAAGGTAATCTTTTGCCTACTTTGAAGGGAAATAATACACACTGAAACTTAAAAGTGCATGCTGACTAGACTGCAGTATGGAAAACTGGTTTACTGAAATTTTCGTGCTATCGAGCGCGAGCCGTTGATTTAGGGAAATACCTAGAATATTACACCACCGAAATTTCCAGTTTTACAGTACTGTTTCCAGTTTTACAGTACTGTTTCCAGTTGAAGGGCATATATATATATATTTTTTTTGATGTGTGATAAAGCCTCTTGTACGGGCAAAAGCGACACAATGATGAGAAACCAGGGTATGATAGGAAGATAATATTAAAAATACTACACAGGTGTGGACAATATGTCTCCGGAATGGCGAGAGTCACACTAAAACACAAATGGTTTTAGATCCGGCTTTCAACCACTGCCAGCTCCCTGAGCTCGTTAGCTGGACGATGGTATGCCGACCGAGACCCACGGACACACATGACAGCGGACCGGAGCAGCGCGAAAGACAGCCTGCAGCGCACATATGCAACATGGTGTGCATAGGGCATGCTGGAATCAGCCCTGGCAAGCAAGCCACAGAGGCGCTTAAGGAACCTTTCACATTCAGGGGCGGCAACACCAGAAGTTGACAACACCAGCGGGCTGAATGTGCCACGATCCACATTGACGATTCGCTCTCCGTACTGCAGCTTCTTCTGGCGCTCGTGCTGAAGCAGTAGGGCATCCAGTGGTTGGGCCGAGTAGGACGCCGCATCAGGATGGAAGACGCGTACATCAAAGAAAGCATCCTGTGCTCGGGTCCAGAAGCCACGGGCACGGACATCAGCGCGGGCATCCTCGGCGGTGTTTGTTGATGCAGCCATAAACACCTCTCCAGAGAGCGGGGCTAGCTGAGGCTCGATTGCCACTGCGTGGCAGACCTCCGTGAGTAGCTCCCCTACCATGTCACGGACTTCGTTATGGCGGATTGTAGGGAAGCCACCCCGGGGGCAACACATGGCATGAGCAGTGGAGAACAGAACTCCGCAGGCACACTTCGTGGGGACATCGAGGAGAGGCCAGTCATACCGCAATGCAAGGCCGTCCCTGAACTCCTGCTTCGAGAGGTGGAACCCATGTTCCTTGAGAGGAAGAGCAGTGAGCCAGGAAGAGGGGCCTTTGCGGGACAGCTCATCCATACGACGGGCCAAGGGGCGGTCCGCAGCTTCTCGGAGAGCAGCGAAAGAGGCAGCACTAGCTTTCTTGGAGGACTTGGCAGCAGATGCTCTCTCACGGCGGGCTAGCTGATCCACAAAGTCGCAGGAATGATGCTGCCACTCTCGATCGTGCTGGTGGATGATCTCGTCAACCTGGCTGCTCGTGATGACTTGGGAAGCCTGCAGTTGGGAGGTAGCAATTTCTTTGAAGTATGGCAAACCGATTCCACCGAGCCGGCAAGGTAGCCGTAGAAGAGAGAGGTCATCCGCCGTGAATGTGCGTTTCCCTGTCAGAGCCGGAAGGAAGTGCTCCGTGACCGTGTCATCCAGGCGCTGCAGCTGTTCAGCTGAGAACTCCAGTGTACGAAGGAGATATGTCCATCGACCACGCAATCCGTGTGTGAGGGCGGCATACGCCGCATGAGGTTCGGTAGTGGCAATCTCGGACAGTCGCATAAGCTCCTGCTGCCAGTCTTGTACTTTCCCAGCTGTATAGCCAGCGATGAAATCCGGTGTCCCTATAGCGGCACCCAGGTAGCGTGCTCCATCCGTGACCACTTCAATGCCAGTTCCTGCAAAGACACTGTGGGCCAGGTTGAGCAGGTCAGGCTTGACGAGGAGGAGAGTCTTCGAGGCGTTGACATGGTAACCGTAAGGTTTCCCGGTCTCGTCCACATCATCCCACCAGCGTCGAAGGGCCCGTAGCTTGCCTGCACCACTTGAATCATCGGCATACCACAATTGACGGATGTTGGCGTGGGTAGTGCGGAGGTGCCGTACGAATGGTAATGTAGCGAGGGCATAGAAAACCATCGACAGAGGGTCACCTTGTGTGGTACCCTCTGCGGAGGAAAGCTCACCACCGCCAGAAACGAAGAGGCGGGCATCATCTTGGTAGCAGTTCAGCAGTGTGGTAGCCAGGGAAGGACACAAGTGGCGAACATTGTGAAGAGCTGCTTGGCGGTTCAGGCAATTGAAGGCATTCTTCGCGTCAACTAGTAGGACTCCTTCAGTTGTGGCGTCCTCATACAAGCGCTTCATGGCGTGGACCGCTGCTTCTATCCCAGCTGGCAATCCAGAACACTTCTGGAGAAAACCACAGGCCTCCATTACATCGTCTGACGTTACTCGGAGAATGGATTTGGCTAGAATGCGACGGAGGACCTCAGACACCCCAATGGGCCTGACACCTGGGTTCTTGTCCAGGGCAATTAGACGACAGGCGGTGAAGGGGGTAAGAGAGTCTGGCGGCAAGGTTTGTGTTGCTAGCAAGCGGCCGAAGGACGCCATCGCCGAGCAAAGGTTGTTGGAGGCCCCTTTGTACGCCGAGCACATACGTCGCCATGCTGACGAGTCGAGACCAGAGGGACCTGCCGAGCCTTTCGCCTGCATGGCCACGGTTTTCACGAGGTCGGCAGTCAGGGAATCAAATCGGATTGGGTGGCACTGAGGCGCTGCTCCCGCTATCAGGATGTGCTCTGCTGCTGGAGTGCCGCAAGGATGCTTACTCTCCAGGGCTGCCCGCACGGTTGTGGTGGAGTCCTTGATGGTGATCGAGTCATCGATACCTAACACACCGGATGACTGCGTGGACTCAGCTTCAGATAGGGAACGCAGGGCATCGTGCACACGTCCTTCTGCCATGAGGGAACCAAAATGCCTTGCCTTGTCCTGCTCACCTCGTCGACGTGCTCCTCGGTGTGGCTCACGATGCCGTTGCAGGCAGCGTCCTTCCTCAACCAGAGCAGTGATATTACCATCTGCCCAGAGGGCCATCCGGCGCTGGAGGTGACTCGTGTTGTCCTTGGGCTTGGATCGACGATACGTTTGTTGTAGTAACAGAGCTGGGAGCACGGCTAGGTTGTACAGCGCTGTTCTGTGGGTACCAGCAGACTGAACAAAGTCCTGGATCTGTTCACACATCAAATGTTACAAATCGCTTCCCGGCCGAGCCTGTTGGGAGCTTGAAGAACCGCTTCTTCCAATGTACGACCTCAGAGTATACGTCCGAGACCGAGTGAGGAGTGGTGTTCGCCTCACTCAAGTGGGCAGAGTGCACAGATTGACTTGTGGGTTCCATAGGC